GGCTGTCTTTGTCCATCCAGTAGCTGATGACTAGAAAAAGCAGTAGTAATCATTATGATCAAAATCCTGCAGCCATGTATCTCGAATATCTCCAGAGACTGCCTGGTAAATCAGACCAGGTGAAAGAGATGTCCCATCTGCACAAATACAGGCTATGGTAGTAATCCACTCCCTATTCCCATCTTGAAGTCGTTGTTGGCTTCCTCCCTTCTCATACCAGTGTTATGAGAAGATTCTTTTGCCTTTTGATAGTACTCTAATAAGAAAACCTTTCTCATCCATATTGTACATATCTCTTGGTTTAATGCCATATTCCTCAATCTTTCTCGCCATAAGCTCAAAGTATAAAGCGTACTTGTAGGCAGAATCAGCCCTTTTGCGTGAAGAATCAATCCCAGTAGTATAGTGAGAAACAAGCTTATCTTGATGTCTCTCTAGGAAGCGGTTTGGCCAACATTTTCCAGGCATAATTCCAGTAATTTCCTTTGCAAAATTTCGCAACATTGAATGAGATGGTGGCAGGCCACGCTCAGTGAGGTCATTAATCCATTTAATAAGCGTCTTCGACTGTTGGTTGTTGAGAATTCGTTGATTTTCGTACTGATCCTGACGAGACCCTTGTACACCGCGGTGGCGCCTTGACAATGTTGAAGGGCTAACCCCATGCTTTCTTGCAATTTTTGCATAATTTATTCTTTCTCCTAGTTCCAGGAATTTTATTTCTGCAAGAGCTGCCTCAATTGATTCCATATTGATGGTGTTGTGGTCGTTTAAAATCTATCTAAAAAGTCGGTGTATAGATGAAAATCAGGCGTCAGGTGATATCGGGCGTCAGGTGATTGGGTACGGTACATCACCTACTTCTATAGGCTATAGTTAGATGAAGTATGCTTGATAAGTAGCCTGCAACTTGTTTAATACTAATGTGATTAATATCAACCCTAAGAAAGCTACTGTGCTGTTAGTAGATAGAGTAGTTATAGAAGCAGATGTAGTCATTTGTTAGTGGTATCTAGTGAATAGTGATCATCACAGGCGCGGAAGTGTCTGTTCTCAAGGACCCCATTCACCGTGCTCATTACCCTGCTTTAGCTCAATGGTTATTAATTACTAAGGCTACACGTCCAATATCCAGACTCAATGTTGCTTGTCAGCTGTCTTAAATGCCGGTGAAGGCGAAATCTTAATGTAGTAACTAGTGCCTTCGTATATATTAAGCAGAACCATTCTCCCTCTCCTCAAGCCAGAGTCTGGTATCAATAACTAATCTGCGTGCGACCCCAATTTCTACCCCCTGCTTGACAAGAAGTCTGGGTCTCCCCCTTAAATTTGCCTAAGCTCAAGGCAGTTGTCCAATGCTATATCACGTGTATTCTTAATATTTTCCTTATAGCTGTCACTGTTCAGCCGTGATAGATGCTAATTAGAATATTCATCACTGATGCTTCAAGAGGTCCGGGAATGTCAACGTAATCAGCCTGGCTAGATATTGAACTTGCTTCAGCTCCCCAGGAGAAAGATATCAAAGGCTAAGATGACTGCGTTAGAAGGACATTAATGTTTATTAGTGGAAGCATGGTGGATCTAATTGTGAGGTTGTTAGGAGGTTTATTAGCTTTTGAGAGTTGCTGACACTCTTCTGTATATAGTTGTTCACGCATATTGCTGGGAACATTATTATGAGTGTCTAAGATCCCGCCCTCTCCACGTATTTGACAAATGTTTTGAGCTTCAGGTTGATTACAGCAATCATCCATTTATGACAGATCTGCGATGCTTGTTCTTGATTTTGCATTCACAGAGGAGAATACCAGCAGCAGTCTGCAGTTTCAGCTTCGAAAAGTCATTGGTTGGACACATAGGAAGGTCCTCAAGCCAGCGCGAGGCGCTTTACCGCGACGTTTCGACATCACGTTCTTGCACGAGGTTTTACTTCGGCTAACCCCGATACAAGTGAGATGCAGGAGACGATCTGCAATGTTGCGGATGGCTAAGAGATCACACCAGTGGCGGGGCGCTTCAGCGTGGGGCATCGTGTTTTCACTAAAAGACTTGGATCATAAGGCGGATCACAAGGGGGCAATATACGATGGTAGTGAAAAGGATGGGGGATACTGTAGGGTACTGGCAAAGCTCTGTTCTATACTGGCCGTGACTGACATTGCCTTGCAGGTACTCTGGCTTATGCCAGGGATGACGCGACGCCTTGCGAATGTAAGGAGTAGCCATGCGGTTCTTGAGAGCAGCTGGGTAGTGTCTGGGGAACCAGCTCTCCTTAAGTAAATTTCATGGTGCTAGGGATATGCCATTCAGGGCGTTATCATTTCTTGTTAATTTCTTCTATTGGTATGATTTACCTACTAGAAAAGGAAAAGGTAGCTGATGGATGGAAAGCAAGGCAAGGTTATCTAAGCTATCGTTGTAATCAGCTATATATTCTAAATTCTAATAAACTTATAGTACCCATCCATGTATTGAGGCTAAGCTGCAACTCTGTAGTCTGTAGTATCAACATTAAGTATGAACACTTGTTTGGGCGACAGACATTTATTACCAGGCCAGAACCTGCCATTCCTACCTCACTTCCTAATGGATCCTTCTTCTGTAATCTGGTGCGTTTGGGTGAGTGACACTTGTATGGTGGTTCACCAAACTGCGTAGCATAGTATAAACCCTCTGCCGTTACTATTTATAGATACCATATCCTATTATCTTTTCTTTCCTCACGACATGACTCCTACCCAGCAGACAAAGTATCCACAAGCCTTAGCCTCAGCCAGAAATGCTCTGGTTGGTGTTGATCCCCGCCAAGCGAATACGAGCTCTCTTGGCACACTGTTTGGGTAGAGCCTCTTGCTTTAAAACACCCAAATTCCCCAAGTCTGGAACCACAAATAGATATTCCTCACTAATTTTCACACAATGTCCCCTACTCTTCCCCCCGAGCTCGTCTCGAATATCCTCAGTCATGTCGCCCCTCTCTGGCACTGGCGCCTCCGTGCCCTATGGAAAAATAACCGTGAACGGATCACGGCGGAGAACGACGTCCGCTGGTTTCTGAGGATTAGGGGTGTTTGTCGTGCGTCGGTCTTTATATCCTTCTTCTCTTATAAAAAGGCGTAGTAATGATCAATCCATCGATGTATGCTAACAAGACAGCAGGGATGTTTGATGAGTGCGTGATCGATCATATTTTGGCTGCGATCCGTAACGGGAAGTTTGATCCGGATTTACCGATTCGGCGCGGGCCAGGGACTCGGTCAATGAGGGAGTTTGTCGGGAGGTTATTCAAGAGTTTGATTCGTCATTGTGAGAATGGGGATGGGGTTGGGAGTGCGTACCCGATTGTTCGATCAACTGTGCAAGGTGTTGAGTTGAGTGTGAATTTCTTGTCCAACGAGGATTATTCGCCTACCGGCGGGAGTGGTTCTGGTACAGTAGGCGTGGGAGAATTACGGGAGATGCACACAGAGGCGATGGTCTCCATCGTTGTTGGGACTCTCGGCCCAGATTTGATGATTAGGCTTCTAGAAAACAGCCACGGGAATGGGAACGATCCAGAGGCCAACCTCAATGATGAGGAACAAGGGTGGCGCGTTGCTGCACTTATGGCAGCTGCGTACTTGGGCCGGATTGAAGATATAAAGAAAATTCTGGCACTCGGGGTAGCCGTGAAGCCAGACCCGGGGGATGGGTGGCTCCATCCGCCCGTCATGGCGGCGGCGTTGGCTGGACGGGTGGACGTACTTGAATTCCTGGTCACGCAGGGCGCGGATCTGCACAAACTGACTGTTGCCGACGGGGATAATGCGGTGCATTTTGCGGCTTTGGGCGGGCATGCCGGGGTTGTTGAGTGGTTGTTAGAGAAGGGAGTGGATGGGGACGTTGTGAATAAAAAGGGGGATACGCCGCTTCTGCGAGCAGCCGGGGCGGGATATGCGGATGTTGTGCGGGTTCTTCTTGCTGAGGAAGGGGTGAGGGCTAATACTCAGGATCGGCTGGGGAGGGCGCCTCTGATTTGGGCGGTTGAGAGAGGGTATGAGGATGTGGTGGAGGCGTTACTATCTTGTGAACGAGTGGATGTGAATATTGCAGATGGAGATGGGGATGCCAACCCAATAACGCCGTTGGTTCTGGCTGCTGCGACGGGGCATGAGAATATCTTCAGGTCTCTACTTGCGCATCCTAGAGTTCACATCTGGGTGCCTACAATCTTCAGACGAGTGATCACAGGCGGCAACGTCAATATCCTCAAAGCGATGATCGCCTTGACGATGGGCACGGAGCTGCAAAAGTATTTTCTGGATGGTAATGCACTCCTTCTCGCCGCAGAGCTCGGAACCGAAGAAGTTCTCCGATACCTACTTTCCTTTGGCGAAGTCGACATAAACTACCGTGACAACTCTGGAGCGACGTCAGGCATGACACTGCTCGACGCCGCCATCCTCTCCAACAGTGTCGGCCACGTCAACGCCATTCTTGAACATCCAGACCTAAACATGAGCCTCATCACGGCACCAGATAGAGCCCAACTATCGCCACTCCATATTGCAGCACAGCAGGACCCGCTGGATGCAGGTATCGTAGCTGCGCTGGTCGCGCACCCCGATATCGACGTGAATGCGCGAGACCTATACCAACGGACGCCGCTTGCGTACGCTGCTGTCGCCGGCCAGACGCAGATGGTTAACATCCTTGTTGCGCGGCAGGGTATAGATGTATCCCCCGTCGACCGTTGGGGAATGACACCACTGCACTACGCCGCTGAGAATGGACATCTGAATGTCGTGAGAATACTTCTTGATGCCCCCGGGACTAACGTATGGCACACGAGCATATACGATAAGACCCCGCTGGCGCTTGCGGCTGGAAGAGCATACCTTGATATCGTGAAGTTATTGCTGGATTCGAGGCAGGAGGTCCCCGGGGATGCAGTGTGGAAGGCTCTGAGCTCTGCGAGTAGTGCAAGGCCGAAGTTTCAGCTTGGGTTGGAGACTTTGCAGAGTCGTGGTGAGGGGATTTCAGTCAAGGATAGGTTACTGAGGGACACATATGCGCGGCGTTTGGAAGAGGTGCGTGAGATAATGTTATTATTCTGTGATCTTTTGGAGCGTGGAAGTTAGTGTGTTGGATTCTGTGTAGAGTATGGGTTATCACTGTATAATTAGTATACTAATTAAGGCTCATTGACCGGTTGGTTTGCATGTACATGGTCGATCATGGCTGAGGCGTCATTGATGCCTATGAGCTAAGACAAGCTCATATTGATAAAGATGGCGACCTTAATGCTATTGAGCCAGCCTGGCCACGGCTTAAATGGCGTACAACTTCTTGAGGGGCACCCCGTGATAAGAAGACAGGGAAAGGGACTTGGATGAAGGCATGGAATGATCTTCCGGAAGAGCATATTCAGCAGTGGATTGAGCGTCTTATACGCCACATGCAGGTTATAGAAGGTGGTAATGAATATCAAGATGGCGAAATGAGGATAATCATGATTGAAAGGGCCATCGAGCAAAGGATACTATCTCTTATAGGCAAGATATCGGAGATCTGGCCTGGGAAGATATTTTTTAGCTGTTTGAACAGCTCAGGTTACAGGTCAGGTGTACTCTTGAATAGCTTCAATATTCGATTCTTAGAGTTGAAATTAATCGAAGTCAGCTACCATATAAATTACTATGTAAGGCTGCCAAGCTTACTAGCACTCATGAATACGTACTGACCTCCCCGACTTATTCGAGATTGCATGTCACTGATCGGACCATCTTCTATAGACGCCACTTTAGCAGCACGCCTTGTTCTGGGATAGAGATGGAGACGGGCAAATCTTCCCTTGGGGCGTCTTTTTCGAGTTCCGAGAACTGGGCTTTAACATCCTCTTCTCCATCCTTGCCGTTCTCATCATCAATATCAACTTCTCCTACCCTACGCGACTGGCGTACAGCTGGCTTCCAGATCCGTTCTTTCGAGTATACGTCCGAAACAACCACAAAGCCAAGCACGGTTCCGACAGTGGCACCTACGATCCGGAAGGAAGATTCATTCCGCAGGCGTTTGAGAACCCTTTTTCCAAAAATGATCACAACAATGATGGCGCGTTGACAGTACGGGAACTGTTCGATCTGATGCACGGTCATCGCTGCGCGGCCGATCCATTTGGAGTAAGTAAATTCCAATGGCAGCAGGAGTCAGATCCCTGACCAGACACAGTGGGGCGCAGCTTTTTTCGAGTGGGGGACGACCTGGCTTCTGATTCAGAAGGATGGTAGAGTCTGCAAGGAAGATCTTCGGGGAGACTATGATTTAAATTCTTCACGTCTGTTGACGCCTGACCTAGATCGAAGTAGGGTTCTCTATTCTGGGTGATCAACGAAACTCAAGGACAGGCTGAAAGCAGGGATATCGGATAGGCGAGGGTTTATTGCAGCTCACAAAGGGCTGATTTCTCCCTCAGTGAATAGCGACAACACCGCGTCCATTCGCTCTTGTAATAATGCTGACAGTGAAGAGCTGACCGCGCCAGACTGGTTTCTGCTGAATGCCTATTGTCCATGTCTTTCGCAAGTTTGAACGAGAGAATGATAGTTAAAGAGATGAAGGTTATCCTCCTCGGCCACCTATATCATCCTTACAAGCAGCCGTAGCCACCTAGCTAGGCACCGTACCTGACACAATCTCGGCAGAATTTATGCCACTTGACTGAAAGTTCTTGGATATTTCTAGAGAAAAACGAACTGAGTTACGATTAAAATTCACAGGCCGTGAGGAGGATTCCCTATTGAGCTACTCTTTCACTATTCAATTCAGGAAAATTGAAGAAAACAAAGCCGTTGCCAGTCTATATCAATCCTCGACCTTTTCTAAGGTGCCTGGGTTATGCGCAACCTTTTTCCCGCGCTGATCATGGAACACGACCTTTTCACATTATCAGCACAATTCCTGACAAGGGAGAAAAGAACCAACCTTGGGAGGACGTTTCACTCCCTCCTGTTCAGCTTCTTCCTCCGTCCTGACGATCTTTTCAACCTTTATATTATGCCGTTAGCACATTCTTGGGATTCTGCAGCCTTGGATATGCTGGAGGTTGGTACCTCGCCTTCATGCCGGCCTCCACGGATTTTGGTGAAGACGTGGTCGCCGGGAGAAATGATTTGTCCGTGCTTATCGTGAACCTCGTCCATGTTGAAGCTATAGTTGAAAGCCGTATCGTTGTAGGATTTTCGAGCCACGGTCCATAGAGCTAATATACCCCACCGTTGGACAACCCCATGACATCAGTCGGTGCAACCAAACATTAGCTATACGCACCCCGTGGAACCAGCTTCGCCACCGCGCCCATTACAGAAGCAATACGTCAGGACGCTTACGTTTGTGGTCATATATCTTTTCTTAAAAGTATGACGGTAGAGTCAGTGATTCCGCTGACTGGGCCATCACGAGGTAACGATAACGATCCGAGGACACGGTGTCTCAGCACAGCTTAGGTTTTACAGTCGCTATACAACACCATCTCGTGTCCAAGTCGGATCAGAATGTGGGCCGTGCGCAAGAGTCAGTCAAGCACGTATGCAAAGTTTAAAGGGGTTCTGTGGCTGATAGGGAGGATTTGAAAGCAGTACCTGGCTAGTAGCTATTGTATGAATAAGAATACATCTATAGCAGTGTGTCAAAATTGTTCAATTGATCAACTCTACTAATTGATTCCAAATTATCGAGCATACCCTTTACCGCGGCAGCAGGGTCCAAACATCGATCTCCTATAGGTATGATCCTTTAAGATGGGAACAGCTCGCCGTTTCCTATGAATAGGCTGAAGCGGCAAAATCACGCGAGCAGCCTGTAGGGAACAAAGAGACCTATACCTTGTCGTATGACAACAATGTGGTTGGTTCCACATAGTCCACGGACATTATTCGCGTTGGCAGGGTGATAATTTTGGCATTTTGTCTAGGCGTTAGAGTAAGTTGAGTAGCTAATCGTATTCCACATTTCTGGTGATTTAAATAGCTACAAATGCCAGTTTTAGAGGCAAAGTATCCCGGAGGCTCTCTGAGTTTGGAAGAGTATATATTTGCCTAATGTAGAGACCGGTTATTGTCTTCAACCTCTGGCATAGTAAGGTACCACAGCTATAGCAATACTGAAAACCTACCAAGACCTCTGCTTGACCATGGAATGGGTGTAACAGCAGCTCACTGACCATTCCATCCAATCTTTCACTGGAGATAAGCTAAACATCCGAGAGGAAAAACCATGCCGGTCGTTATGTTGTTCTATATAGGATCCCCTGAGCAAAAACCTGTTATGGCCGTAACAACGCACTTGGTAGTAATCTAGAGTACGTTGTCACTTTAAACGAGAAATAATCTATAGATAGATTCTGAGCTGGGAGTGGTTTTTCTTAGTTTCTCTTAGCTGTTTGAGGCGCTCGAACAGTGCTATTATCAGCATTACAGATTAGGGATTAACTCATACCCCGACCCAGCTAATCATAACCGACGGCTATGCTGGTACTGCAGAGACCGCTCGCCGCAGTAATAATAACCTAGGCAGATGCCAGCAGTTGGCCATTTGGTGAGAAGGATATACACTAATCCCAACCCGAGTGGCCCTTCAACGTCTGGCAAAGCTCACCAGTGATGGGATCCCACAGCTTGATGGATCGGTCGCTAGAGGCGGATGCTAGCAGCTGACTGTTTGAGAAAGATTACTAGGAGATGGAGTTCCATATGTGGTATAGATGACTACGTACGTTAACCTAAGCTACCAGTCGCTGATAGGCTTGCTGGAGATTTACAAAAAGGAAATTGTCACACAGTAGCACCACATAAAGCTAATGGGCAACAGCTAAGAACGTGACATAGTTAAGGATCCAGGTCATCAGATTACCAAAATGGGTGAAGGTGTATCGGCAGACAATGACTCTGGATCAGGACCAGGAATTATATACACTAATCTCGCGAAGCGCGTAATTAGGAGACTCTCTTCTATATTCCAGTCTCATCACCTGCCACCTCGTTGATCGAACCCCTGAATCCATCTTCTTAAGCTCCTGCCATGAGGTGCCGTCAACAAAAATGCAACTAGTTCCTCGAGCGAGGACAGGTCAGACAGCGTTTTTAGAGCGCAGGGGGTAACCGAGAAACGAGTATCATCAGGTTTGTATTGACTGTTGCTGTCAACCTGTTGCTGGATCCATTGCACCGCCGATTTGTAGCCTGCAAATCATAATGTAAGATCTTGGTGTTAGCGTAAAGGAAGATGCAAGGATGGCAGAGAGGCAAACAGGGAAATAAGGATATCCACTTACTCTCAATGTCGGTGGGGTATGGATTGGCCTGACCAGAGTCTCCGTTGCGGTGCTCTGCAAATCACTTGTCGTAGCCCTAGTAGTTTTGGCAGTCAAAGCGCGAGACAACGTCGACGTACATATTAGAGTTTCTCAAAATTTGTCTGGATGGTCAATATTCACCTTACATCGTGTGATATCTTACTTGAGCAAAGCTCCATTGTTCCACTGGGCCTCTGTCTAACTCTGGAAGCCGCAAGGAGGGCGCGCAAACACGGGACACGACCCAGTCCTGCTTGAGGACACCAAAGTCGGGAGAGTCATAGGTCTTGCCGTCGACAGAAAGGTAGCTGTGGGTGTTCATATTCTCTCTGCAAAAAGTTGCTTAGCGGATCTTGTTCGAGGGATCTAGAGCCTGAGACTTACATTTCCAGCATGGAGATGGCGAGGTCAATGGTGTTTCCGCCAGATTGAAGAATTCCCTGCTTACGAGCTCCCAGACTAGACACGGTGTATGAGCCACGAATCAGCACATGTGTCGAGCGGGGCATCTGATGCTGGCGCCGCCAGTGCTACCGTCACGAAGATGGCTGTAATGCGGGGATCAGTAACTTAATCTTGGGAAGCAAATAATTCAACCGAGTGAAAGTGGCGGGCGGAGGAGAGAATCTAGGTGGCCTGGTGTGTCACCAGAACTTGCAGTTCGAGGAGTTAGCTGATCGAGAAACGAACAACGAGGTTTTACATGCATGGCATGCCGGTGTTGGGGGTTTTGTGATGAGCCTTCCTCAGAGAATTCAGAGCCTTCCTACTGTATGATCAGCCGAGTTGCCAGACCTGGAGATTCCAGTGACTTAGCATCCTCAAGCCCAGATCATGGCTACTACTTACTGGACAGGCACTGCCTCCCCACTTCCGTGTCAGAATGTCTTTGAAGCCCCCATTTTTCCCAGAGTGCATCCAATGCCATCATGTCATAGCGTGGATGCTACGCTGGCCTGCAAACTTCCATAAACCCATGGGATCATCTACATGGGAAACGGCCCGCGTCGAGAGGCGAAATGATGCCGCTTATTCGCAGGTACAAAGTAATGACAATTTAGGTATCGAGCCAAGATTTTCACGTGCGCACGAGATTTATATTCCGTCTTTCCTCAGAAATTAAGGACGATGTCCCCGGAACGGTACCCCGGAATCCCCTACATCCTATCATGTATCAGGGGTTGGAGAATCGCGTGGGATCGTGTGTAACCATGTCAGAGGGAGACATGCTGCCGTTGAGGTAGACGCTAGATATACAATGCACGACATTCAGGGGATAAACATGTCCAAGGCTGTTTCCGAAATCTTCATGGGGATAGCTCCATAAAGATAGTCTCAGAGTGAAACAATCTTTGCCCAATCGGTCACGGAGGTACGAGACGGAGACGCGAGCTATGGTCCGCTTCGGCTGCATTGCTCGCCATTAAACTTCTTGTTCGGTCCAAGGGTGACCCACATCTATGCACAAAGCAGCTTCACGCCAGTGGATTCAATGTGGATTCAATGAGGCAGTTAGACCCTTCCCCTTAACCAGCCCGTCGGCGTGCGCTAGTGACGTTCCACACCAACAACATGCAGAGCGACAGCCGGGACCGTCGGCTATTACAGGTTTGTTTCATGGGATGTTCCGACAGGAGATTATATCAGAAAAAAAAAAAAAATATGAGAAAAAAAATAGCATATTTTGAAAAAGTATAAATTGAGGTCCTTATGGCTTCGAATAGAGCGTTATCCCACTCAACAGCCTCCAGTCTCCCAGACAATCCCCCCGATCACTTTCTTCTCTATCCTTGATTAAAAATATGCGCCCATTGTCGTCTGCCGCTCTCCTATCCGCGATAGGAGCTGTCGCGGCGCAGGTTGGTCCTTGGGGCCAGTGTGGTGGGCAGTCATATACGGGTGGAACCTCCTGTGTATCTGGATGGGCATGCGTGTTTTTGAATGATTGGTATAGCCAGTGCCAGCCTGGTGCGGAATATACTCCCCCTCTGTGCGGTAGAAATGATAATCCTAACATATTTCAAGCTACCACGACGTCAACATCAGTCTCAGCGACTGCACCTCCTAGTAGCACGTCTTCCTCGACAGCATCCGTGTCATCCTCCACTTCATCGACACCTATCCCAACTAGCAGTGGCTCTTTTGTCAAGGCAGAAGGGCTCAAATTTAACATTGACGGCGAGACAAAGTACTTTGCCGGCACGAATGCCTACTGGCTGCCGTTCCTCACCAACAATGCAGATGTTGACTCTGTTTTTGATCACCTGCAGCAGACAGGCTTAAAGATCCTGCGGACCTGGGGTTTTAATGATGTGAATTCCGTTCCGAACCCCGGAACCGTATATTTCCAGCTTCATGACCCATCAACCAGCACCACGACCATCAACACTGGCGCAGACGGTCTCCAAAGGCTCGACTACGTGGTATCTGCGGCGGAGAAGCACGGAATAAAGTTACTTATCCCATTAGTCAATAATTGGGACGACTACGGCGGCATGAATGCGTACATCAAAGCGTATGGCGGCAGCAAGACAGAATGGTACACCAACTCCAAGATCCAGAGCGTGTATCAGGCATATATAAAGGCGGTAGTTTCCCGCTACCGGGACTCTCCTGCTATTATGGCTTGGGAGTTATCAAATGAAGCTCGTTGCCAAGGGTGCAGTACTGATGTTATTTACAACTGGGCCACCAAAACCAGTGCATACATCAAGTCTCTTGATCCAAATCACATGGTTGCCACAGGTGAAGGTACGCTAGTACTCCCCTCTCACGTACCTGATGCCACGCAGGCGACTAACTCCGGTATAGAGGGCATGGGGTTGACCGTCGACTCGGATGGTTCCTACCCCTACTCCACCTACGAGGGTAGCGACTTTGAAAAGAACCTTGCCATTCCTCACATAGATTTTGGAGTATTCCACCTGTATACCGCTGATTGTGAGTACTGTTCCACTCTCGTCTTCACTGTACTCTGTGTCAATTGACGCATTGTAATAGGGGGCATCACAGACAACAGCTGGGGCAACAGATGGGTGACATCCCACGCAAAGCTTTGTGAGGCTGCCGGAAAGCCATGCCTGTTCGAGGAATATGGCCTTAAAGATGACCATTGCTCGGCCGCGGTCGTCTGGCAAAAGACCTCTTTGACTACTGCCGGAATGGCTGCCGACTTGTTCTGGCAGTACGGGCAGACACTGTCGACCGGTCAATCACCCAATGATCGCTACACCATTTACTACGGCACCAGTGACTGGCAATGTGCTGTAATTGATCATGTCAGCCGAATCTAGCAGACAGAAGCTCAGAGGAGACGATCGATCTCGTGCTGTCACAGGAGCTGTGCGTAAGGAATGGCTCTGGACCCATCGGGTCCTCATCGTCTCACCTTGAACCGCTGCTTCCATCTTTTGGGTATGTACGTCTTTCCTGAGCCTGGCAAGAAATGATAAATCCCAGTAGAACTGGGTTTATGTAGATAAAGTACATACTTTTCTCTTCCACCACCCTTCTTGGAAGGATTTCGGGATTTAATTCTATGGAGGTCTTTTGCCAAAAGATACTTGGTGATATAACCATATTTAGTTCTGTGACTCTCCGCGATTACCTTTGTATTAAAAGGTGACTTTCTACTCTGCTGGGTAATGATTACCTTCCTTAACTAGACATACTCTCAAGTGCTTATCAAATATTAAGTTAGTGGGAGGGCCCCACCAAGTGGCGTAGGAGTTTGACTTAAAGTCCTTCGTTAACCAGTCAATCAACACCTACCAGATGTGTGATCGTTTTAAGCAACCCTACACTGGATAACCCACACATATTCTGCTCATGAAACACTAGTGGATGAACTTTTTGATTCAGGACTGTAATATAATATACAGAAGCGCCTTGCAGCAGCCTCTCACCGGGGATAGAACATAATTCCTCTCATTCTATCCACAGCGCAATCCAAAAGGGGTTGTCCTATTCTCAATTTTGTGCCCCTCGAGATCTCAGAGAGCTAACTCAATGCTCAATGCCCCGTTGTTGATCGATTCCGAGACCCCGTGTTCCCAATATGCCGTTCATGTGGTCCCCCTGAAGCATCAACACGACGTGCTGCTGCTATATTTGCCGTGTCCGATGCATGATGTGAGCCCTCTTCTTCCTGTTGCTTCGAGAGGATGGCGTTCTCGTAGTCGTCAACTGGCTCGTCGTCCCGGGTCACGCCGTGTACCTTCTTAGGTTGAAGGGGCGGGGAAGCAGTCGGTTTTGAAGGCATTGCGTCAAATGGAGAGTATTAGCGAGTATTAGTGATGAGTTGTATCTTATGCAGTGAGGTTCTTGTAGAAAAAGATTAGCACGGATGGAAGTAGACGGTTTGCTTTATACATATATGCTGCTTCATGTAGTGACCCTAGGATGACGTGCTGTCTGGTCTCCACATAACTGGTCATGTTTCAATTTTCAAGGAAGAAGGAAGCAGCCTGGACTAGTATTGTACAATCATAAGCTATACATAGCAGTAATAGCAAGTTACTAGGAAGGACTATGATTGAGCCAGAGTTCCCTGTATCCATTGTGGCGAGCCAAGCCGGCTGCGGATTGCCAATCACAACACTGATTCATCCCCAGAGACCCCGTATATCAATTCAGTGTGACACGGTACCCCAGAGGGGCGTATTTTCGTCATACCTATGTCAACCAAACGGTTACATTCGCTCTTTGGATGAGAGAAGTTAATAGATAATCAATTATATAATTACTGGAAGGTTGTCTAGGGACTTTGAATGACTGTAGCAAAGGCTAGTTATAAGAATATTGGATGAGATAATCCAAAATGCAGTGCACAGTATAATATTCTTATAACTGGTAGATGTATAACTAGTAATCTCTATATCCCTGGCAGACTAAAATAACAGGTCATCACGATATGGCATAGAATATAGCATAAAGCACAGTTAATACTAAGCCCTAAACTTAATACTAGCTAACTTTCGCGACTGCATCATGGGCCTAGTAAACTTTGAGTCACTTCCGCACTCATGCTTGTCTGAACTCCTTTATTTTCTAATTACTTAGGAATGTCTTCAGAGGAGAGCTGCTATACACCACTAGTGCTACAGGGTACTTATCACCAAAGCCCTTGGCATTACTTGTGCAGCAAGTCCGCCAGTCTACTGTGATGTAGATCATAAGTCACTGACTTATTATATTATAGTACCTGTTGACAAAGTTATGGTGTCAAGCAACCATCTAGGAATAGCCAAGCCCATAGCATGTCGCTCTATAAGTTGTATTCTGCATCCAGCGTCTAGGGCAGCATTTGGTTATCGTTGGTCCACCTGCTGCCGTTCTTCAGGAAGAACGGAGCAAAGGAGCTACGCGAGCACGAAACGAGGGGAGGTGCTGCTGACAAACGAAGCGATATCAGGAACACCCTGTCCTCAGATGAACATTGTTTTGCCAACCAAAGACGTCAACATTCTGTGGCCACCAGAACACCGGCTTTGGCACCTAGACGCTCTCCTCAAACATGTCTCAGCAAAATTAGCTTCATATTCTCGGTCCTCAGGGGCATGACTGTCAATAAATACGCATCCGAAGCGGCCTACGAGGACACAAATGGCTGATTTAGTGCGTTTGTGTTTAGCTGGCGATCCCTCGTGCAGAGCCGCCTAGTCTCCTATGATCCCTTTGTCTCGGAACTCCTCTCTGGGATCCGCTCATGCTGATCCGAACTCAATCGACCTCGGTTCAGGACGGATTGGAGAAAATGCATTCCATTCTTAGTCAGCGTATTGTTAGAGGGATATGCATTAACAAGGCCCTCTGGAAGCAGAGACGCAGATAGACCAGCAATATCTCTGATAACCCAACGGTAAACGTCACCTATTTCTCTCTATCGTGCACATTCCGTTGGCAAATAGGATGGCCAAAGACTACGCAGCAGTGTCAGGTTGACTGTGCTGAACACCTACGCCACCTACTTCTGTAGGCTATACTCTGTTCGTGCTTCGTAAGCCAACCTCTCAGTCCAATACAGGCGGACGGAGTCTGCTTGGTGAGCAGCCTGCAAGCCTCCCTCAAGACGTCATGATATGCGGTGGTATCAGCTCACAGCGAGTTCGCGAACTTAGGACATGCATAGGTCTGGCGGAGATTCATTGAGGAATTGGCTATTTGCAACAGCCCCATCGATGCAGTCATCTCAGAAAAGTAAAGATAGGTCTGATATTCACAGTCTGCAACGTATCCTAGTACTCATCTCAAATTACTCTTGTCAAGCTTTGGTAGAAATACAACACCGAGCTCCGATATCACCGAGCACAACCCCGAGGTTTCGGATAAAACGCATCAACGAAAGGCTCGACTTTTCGAAGGAAAATTGACCTGACTGAGACATAATAGTGCACACTGGCGATACGCAGACTGTTGTTTCCCTACGTTCCACGACAGCGGCAGGGTTATCCTAACGTCGAGAATCCCGAGTCGGCCTTTTCGGAGATACTGTGAGAAGATAATGGACGGGAGAAGCTCACCACAAGGGTTCCCTCTACTCACACCAGCTGATTTCGACTACAAGAAGGGCTTGCGGCTTCCTCAAGACAGTTGAATTGAACTTTTGGACGCATATCCTCGCTCACCATCCAGTTGCTATCTATTATCACCATCCACAAAGAGGCAGCCACCCGGGAACATGACTGCTGAAAAACTTCGCATTACCATCGTTGGCTCCGGCTTGGCAGGGCTAGCTGCGGCCAGGATCCTTCGTGAGCATCACAATGTCACCGTCTACGAGCGCGGTGGTCCGGATACGGCCACCGGTGGACAGGGTATCTGTCTGTTCTCTAACGGAGTCAAGATCCTTCAAACCATGGGATTTGATCGTTATCGTGCCGGTGGTGTCCCATGTTACGGTTACCGGCTGTTTGACAAAAATGGCAATCAACTGCAGGACTTCCCAATTGACTTCAAGGGGCGGTATGGAGCTGATACCCTCAGTATGAAGCGGTCTGATTTCCGTGACGAGCTTGTTCGACTTGCTACTGCCCCATCGGATGAGCTCGGTATCCAGGGCAACCCGGCGCAGATGGTGTTCAATACAAGTGTGATTGACATCGACCCCGAGAAGGCTACTGTGACGCTGACAGACGGATCGGTTGTGGAAGCAGATGTAGTCATTGGTTAGTGGTGTCTAGCGATTATCACGGGCGCGGAAGTGTCTGACATTGAAATATAGTTGCTGATGGCGTGCATTCACGTCTCCGTCGCCGGATTGTTGGCACTGACAGTTATCAGGCCAAGAAGAATGGATTGACTTGCTACCGAATTGCCGCCTCCGCTGAGGCCGTTAAAGAAGCGCTCGGATATCTCCCAGTGTGGTGGGAGCCGAGTACAGCCGAAGGTCGCATCTCTGGCCTACAGGCAGGGGATGGGAGTAATCGCATGATTGCAGCATACGCCATCCGAAATTATGAGTATATGAACTTCTCGTGCCTCTTTCCGACCCGGGAGCGTAAAGGAAATGTCTTGGAGTCCTGGTACGCAGATGGCGACCGACGGGAAATGATTGAGGTCTTCAGCGATTACTACGACCCTATACGCAAGATTCTCAGGTAAACGCCCTGCGTCTTTTACGGGTTTTCGAAGCTAACGATTTCAGTATCGCCACGGAGGTGAAGGTGTGGGAGCTCCAAGATATGGACCCCCTTCCCAACTGGAATCGAGGACGCGCAATTGTTATTGGGGATGCGGCCCATGCGATGACCCCATTGCAAGGTCAAGGGGCGAACATGGCAGTCGAAGATGCTGACAGTCTCCGCTTGTTGCGTCCAGGTCTTTCCCATGCAGAAATCGAAGCGGTGCTTAAGCAAGTGGACAATGTTCGCCGGCCGCGTGCTTCAAAGGTCCTGGAGGACACCCGTGTCATGGCAAAGGATATAACCATGGAGGAAAGACTGGCCAATTTAGACTATAACTGTGGTTACGATGGAGTATTTGAAGCTCTAAAGGAGATTCAGTGAATGTTTGGCAATACCGAGGGATTTTTTGTCACTGTTGCTTAATCATAAGTGCTTTTCAGGCGAGGTGCGTACGGGATGTTACTGACAGTCAGTTCGATTTCCTTCTCCCTTGGCAATAGGGATAGCAAAGCAGAATAGAGGATTGGATGCGAATTAATCCCGTAGATTTCACTCTTCGTGATGCCACTTAAAGGGACCTTCAAACTAGAAGTAGTATGTCCACGTTCTTTAGCAGATATCCCGCCTTAGTTCTACCAAATCCGACCTTTCTGGGCTGAGCGCTGTTTCCTGTCGGCTTCCTTATTTCTGCTTCTCATACCGGCCGGAACCCTGAACTTCCTTTGAGAGGAAATCCACTAGGTTCCATAATCGCCGATCTAGAAAATCCATGCCTGTAAATGACAGATCAGCTTACAGGATATAATGATAAATCCGGACTAAGTCACTGCAGGTGGTTGTCACTGATGTGCCAGTTTCGGAGATATCGGCATCTTACGACGTCCGACACTCTTCCGGAGATAACATTTAACACTCCTTCGCGCAGAATCAGCCTTTGGCTACTTTGTCCGAGCTAATCTATCCCCGACCTGACGAAACGAACGAATCTCTACCTTTGTGCGGTAACTACACCAATGACTGGGCCAACTAAACCCATCAGAAGACGCCGACGCCCGGCGCTTTCCTGCGTAGAGTGTCGGCGGCGCAAGGTCAAATGCGATCGAAACAGCCCTTGTGGGCAATGCAGGGCGCATAAGTCGACCGTTTGTACATATGCGGTGGCCCGCGCCACGGGCTTAGAGAGACAAGAATCACAACGGGCCCAGGGACCGGTGCTGGCAGAACCGGCCGACCAAGGCGCAAGCGCACCACAACAGCCTGCCTCCAGTCCGCCCAATCTAACAACTGGCGAGAGCACTGGACCAGGGACATCTACTGTGCTAGAGGGGCCTGTGCGATGCACCCCTCCGGATCTGGACAGCACCCACACTATTCCGCAAAATTTGAGCGTCAGCTCATCCACACTCCAAGCTCCTCCTGGCCCATTCCACGGCATCGTGTCCAAGACAAGGGTCTTTGGCCATGGCCATTGGATGAGCTCCGTACCTCTGGTACGTCGCCCAGCTACGTCGAAGATTTTGGCTCCTGATCTATACTAACATCACCAAAGGTCGGCAGCCTACCGTTCAGCAAAGACATGCCTGCTGAGCGCTCTGCCGAACAGATCTCAGAGGCAATTGCCGAATGCAAACAATTGGCTCGTGCTATTAAGAAGCAATTGCCCAGTCGCAGTCCACTTCCTACCAGTATCCAACAACTTCTTCCCAGCTGCCTGGTACTCGACGTGCTAGTGCAACTGTATTTCGACACTTTTGAAACATGCTACCGGATTCTCCACACTACATTGTTCGGAGCGGAGTATGAGAGATATTTGAGTAACCCACAAACAGCAACTACCCCGTTCAAGGTAAAGCTTCTCCTGGTCATGGCTATCGCAGCACCGTTGCACGGTGATGCCCAAGCATATAACGATCTAGCTGCCAAAGCCAGAACATCAATTCATGTCGCTCAGGGATGGCTCTCTGCGCCTTTTGAGAAGGATCGCTTGACACTAGATGGCATTCAGATTCATTGCTTGCTTCTACTTGCTCGTCAGGTCAACCGGGTAGGAGCAGATCTGGCCTGGGTTTCCGCCGGTTCATTAATCCGGATGGCCATGCAGATGGGCTTCCATCAGGATCCCAGCAACCTAGGCGAGACGAGTGTTCTTCAAAGGGAGCTACGAAGACGACTGTGGTATACAATCTTGGAGCTGAATGTCCAGGCTGCGTTGGATTCTGGAATGGCTCCTATGATTACTGCTGCGGAGTATAATACCCAGCCGCCATCCAACCTAGACGATGACGATTTGCTCGAGACATATGGAGAGACCCCTCCGGCCAAAGCAAGTTCGATACCGACCCAAACTTCAGTCCTGCGTCTGCTGGCCGATTCTCTACCTTTGAGACTGGAAGCTACGAGAGTTATCAACAACTTGCAGGACAAAGCCTCCTATGACCAAGTTCTTCGTCTTGGGAATGAGCTGGCATCAGTTTGCCGTAGTGCAAGAACCTTCGTGGATCAGCTCATGTCAACTGAGCATGATATGTCGACTCATGAAGCACGTCAGTTCAGATATAATTTCTGCGAGCATTGTCTCTCTCGCTTCCTCCTAGGTCTTCACTATCCTTACGCAATCCAGAGCAAACGCAGTCCTTTATACATCTACTCCCAGAAAGTGTCTCTCGAATCTGCGCTTGACTTGGTTTCGCTCCTCGGGGACAAACTGTACCGTCGCTTGCTACTCTCCGGGGGTGGCATGTATCGAGATATTGTCACTCGGGGTGCCGTGGTGATATTCGTAGAACTGATTACACAACTGGAAGCAAACAACTCTATATTTTCAAAGCAGCGAAACCGTGCTCGCAGAGAGCCATTGCTGGAAGACGCGCGCAAGGTGGTCCAATATACACACGACCGACTGTGGTATGGTGAAACAAATGTGAGAGGCTACCTTTTTGCCCGTATGGCAATGGCCCAAGTAGAAGCATTACTTGATGGACTGCCTGTCAATGAAGCCGTAATCAACGCGGCCAGCCAGAGCTTGGCAGTATGCCGCCATATTTTGGAATCCATGGCAGCCAGTTCCCTCGCAACCAGTGCCAGTCCTCCGGATATTGCATCCTGGACATACGGGGATATGCTGGCTATGCCCACTGTGGCTGACACCGACTTTGACTTTTTGAGCAGCGAGAACATCAATTTCGATCTTTCGGATCCCGGTTTTGTTCAGCAATGGACAGACCAGTGTTGGCCTCAGCATTTGTTTAACCCAGAAGAGGAACCGAGACAAGAGCCATCACTCGGCGGAGTGAATCTTGGCGTAACGGCAGAAGAGTGAACCGAAGCAGGAATAGGGATACGCGATTCCATAATAATTGGAAGCCAGCTGTTAATGGTAAATGCGTGGCAGGTGTTTGTTAACTGATTTATACTGAGGACCAATCCCAAGCTCTTAGTTGACATTAATAGTTCATATCAAGGATACTTCCGGTTAGAATATGATCTCCTCGTATCGCCTGTGAGATTCCCCTTTATATCCGAGCCCGGAGAGGTCACTTCATTGTCCCGAGCACTGCCGACGTCCTGGCCCGAATCCTGATACCGAGACATGAGACCCTTAACGGAGATAAAGCTGCACTCTGGCCGTGTGCCTGTTCGGGAGTGCTCGGTGATACTGTCCCACCCGAGGCCGACTGCTATCTCTGTCTTGAAATAGCATGGCAAGACCGGAGATATTATTCCCGTGGGGAGCCGACGGAATAATCGTAGATGGGAGTATATAGAGGCCCTACTAACATTTCCAGTTCCTTCAATCAACTTGGAGAATTCTTGTTTTGCTACAGATACATATCTACCGTTCTAGCACCGAGATAGCCATGGCACAGTTGAAGATCCTCATCAGCGGCGCAGGCATTGCCGGCAACGCCCTTGCTTTTTGGCTTTCGAAAATGGGCCACGACGTTACGGTTATCGAGCGGTTTCCAGCCCTGCGCGCCACAGGCCTGCAGATTGATCTGCGAGGCCATGGCATCGAGGTCATGCGACGAATGGGTCTCGAGCAGTCCTTCCGCGAAAGATCGGTTAGAGAGCAAGGCTTGGAAGTTGTTGACGGCTCCGGCAGGCGAAGAGCCTATTTTCCGGCGAACAGGTCAGGAACAGGGATACAGAGCTTCACCACCGACTTTGAGATATTGAGGGGAGACCTATGTCGACTTTTGTACGGCGCCACCGTTGACCGCGTCAAGTACGTCTTCGGAGCGAGTCTCGAAAGTATCAATGACAATGACGGCTTTGTCGAAGCAGTCTTTTCAGGTGGCCGGAAAGAAAGGTTTGATTTCATTGTCGGTGCGGACGGCCAGGGATCACGCACTCGGAGGTTGGCCCTCGACGCTGACGCTGAGGACCCTTTCTATCCCCTCGGAGTCTATATAGCGTATTTCACGCTCCCTCGGCCCGTTGGAGGGGATGAGTATCTTGCTTCTGTATACATCGCTCCTCAAAGGCGGTTTGTGGCTGTGCGCAGGCATAATCCACGCGAGATTCAGGTGTACCTCGCCTGCATGCCCGATTTGTGCAAGCCCAAAGACCGACTGAAGAATGCCCGGAAGGGTGACGTTGTGGAAGAAAAGCATGGTTTTGCGGAGATATTCCGCGGCGCAGGATGGCAGACGGACGATATCCTCGAAGCACTCGAGTCTGCTGATGACTTTTACTGCGAGCGACTGGGGGTAGTCAAGTTGGACTGTTGGTCCCGCGGCCGGGTGGTTCTCCTCGGAGACGCAGCGTTTTGCCCGTCGGCAACCACTGGCATGGGCACCACCAGCAGCCTTGTCGGTGCTTATATTTTGGCTGGCGAGATAGGTAAACATTGCAAGAGAAGTTCTAGGGGTGATATCGACGGAAGTACGACAAAGGATGCTCTGTCTCGCGCATTCAAAGCGTATGAAGAAACCTTTCGGCCTTTCATTGACCAGGTCCAAAGGGGCTTATTGGATGGTTCTAGTTTCTGGGACCGGGTTCCATCGACATCCTTTGGTATTGCTGTTCTCCATTTTGTCCTCGCTATAGCGTCATTCTTCAGATTGGATGTCCTGGCCAGATTTGTCCTCCGCGAGAATGTACAGGGATGGGCACTCCCGGATTACGATATGTTGTAACTGTGACATGACCAATTGAGCCTTTGCTTCTGTTGATGGTGAACAAAGGAAAGTACATATGCATGTTCACGTTGATATCAAAGATTCAGTGGTTGCTGAGTTGCTAGGACTCGACTAGAAAGGTCGAGGTTTGTAAGTGGCGTGGAAATATATATACAGAACCTATCCTTGACCTCCGCGGTTAACAACGACTTGTAACCACCTGTTATCCAAAAAAGACATCATACCAATATTCTAACATAGGTTAGAATGTGGTGCTGGATATATGAATGCATAGAAAGATAAGTCTTCTATAAGTTCCTAGAGAGGCGCAACATGTGGTCATCTATGTAAGCGCCGGAGTCGGAGGAATACATTATTGGGTGGTTTAGATTAGCCCGACCAAGACTAACATCGTGTACATAAGATGTATGAGTCGGGCAGACAGATCCTCCGTTATTATGAATCTCTGGATGACGGGCTAAATGTTAGTTCCCGTGGCCATGAACCAACCACTTGTTGCTCCGAGCCCTACGGTGGTATATTCAGCCTTACCGTCAGCTGGAGAACGGACAGGACTGAAGTCATGACTATATTAATCATGGTCTCCTCCTACAAAGTTTCTGATTCCACACACCATCATATAAACTACTTCTTTGCCTCTCAAAATGAACTCCCAGCGAACCGCATATTTCGGCGCCACAGGCGGATGCACAAACGCATGTCTGGCCTTCTCTCTCCGACAAGGCCTCAAAGCCGTCGCACTGGCGCGGACACCCAAGAAATTGCACGATATGCTGCTGGCCCAAGGAATCAGTGAGGACACCATCAGCGCAAACCTGATTATCATCCAAGGCGATGTCACCGACATCGCAGCCGTCAAGAAGGCCTTGATGTCCGGAGACGAAAGAAAACTCGTGGACAAGATCGTCTCTGGCGTTGGTGCCCGGCCGTCGATCCAGCTTTCCCTGACCACTCCGGTCAAAATGGATAATCCGCATATCTGCGAGCAAGCCATCACAACCATCATCAAAGCACTTGGGGAGATATATGCCGAGTATCCCGATGAGCGACTGTGCAAACCTATCATCACCGTTATCTCAACAACTGGTGTGGACGGTCCGGATGATGTGCCATTTGGTTTCAAGTCGCTGTATTCCGTTCTCCTTGCAGTGCCACATGAAGATAAGAAAAAGCTGGAGGAGCTGGTCAAGTCCGATGAGCTGAAGGACGAATCGTCGAGGGTGTTTGGTGGAGCAGTGATTGTTCGTCCGTCGTTGCTGGTTGGAGACCATCAAATCGCCAGCATTGGGTCAAAGAAGCTGCGGGTGGGAACAGAGGAGAATCCACCTATTGGGTATACAGTCCATCGTGCTCGTGTCGGCCAATGGATTTTCGAAGAAGTTGTCACCAAGTCCGAGGTGGACTGGGTGGGAAAGATTGTGACTTTGACTTATTGATGAGGATTCTGTATGCTCTTGTTTTGAACTTTTGAACTGTTCTCTGGTGATACTCCGTTTGTTCTGCGTGTTATGTTATAAACTTAGACTAATTAGGAATGATGATATTATGATGATAACTAGGAATATAGAAGTCCTATCCGGAAGCAAAGAAGCATGAAATAATATGTAACTTGTATGGATAAGAAAGACATCTTAGAGCATGCCTCATGAGGTGAAACAGGATGGTGTACTCCATCACATGGCCAAGATGAAATTACATTGCAGATCTCAGGAAGCAGCTGATCAGATCAGTTAGATTAACACACCTTGCCTATTTAGATGATTACAGTGGCAGAAACATTTAGACTTCACTACTCTCTTGAATGTAAGGATGTATGTACGCCTATTTATACCTAGCTATGTATATTATCCCTACTTTTCTAGCCACATATATAGCTATCTAGCCTAAAAAAGCGAGATAGTAAGAAGTAATCAACTCTATTAAATCTAAAGCCTGTCGAGTTAGTTCATTAAGCCTAGGATATTATATTATAAATGTGCTAGTTCTGCTGCTTCAGCTGCAGTCTTCTCCTCTATCCTTGTCATCATTATTCAACCAGATGCGTGCCTAGTACAGCTAGTTGCAAAAGCGGTGCAAATATTTGTACACTTGAATAATTTCAAGATCCGTCTTGTGAAATGATGCTAATCAACTGCTGCAAAGTTTTCTGAGAGTGAGAGCTCCTATTACATGTTTCTGTATTGCATGGTACAGGTCGTCCCATGGCTTGAGATATTTTACATCACCTGTATCCCCACGTATAAACAACATTTTTTGAAGATGCAAGTGTCGCCACTGGCTGCCATTCTCGGCCAACTGTCAGAGCTGCATTCGCAAAGGGCAACTCTTAAACACATCATAATTATATCATGACCTATACTCCATTCAGGAAGATATGAAATTTCCCCGGTCTCCTCTTGCAGGATATCCTCTTGTAATCTGCCCTCTGCTTAGCACCATTGGCCTCAATATAATAGATCAAGCACATCAATAGCACAGCATGAGCGGGATAACGGACGAGGCAGCCATAGAAGGCCATGACCTCATCCACCAAGCTGAACTAGAGGAAGAGAGGGTGAGCCACACTCTAACTGACTCTTTGAGCCAGAAATAATCTAAACCAGTCTGTAGATGCATGAAAGTGACAATGCACCACATTCTGATGCTAGCCGGACAGCACCATCGCTGAACCAAACCAAATATCCAGATACTAGTCCGAGGGATTCATATGACACCCCGCTGTCCCAGGATAAAGAATCCATACTTGACAAAATAAAGGAAGCACTACATCTCAAACGTTAGGCGGGAGGATTCAGAGGGTTATGATTTTGCTTAATTTACAGATAATATCAGTATGGTGAATTGACCTTTTAGTGCGCTACTTCCAGTTGTTACTTATTAGTTGGCCTGTTATATTTATTTTATTCCCATTGCTGCTCACCATTACTTCAATCTTTAACTCACTACTCCTTGCGCATCCTCTTCCTCACTTTTCCATCTTTTACAGGGCTGCGGTGTGTAAAGCACGTGTCAAGAAGTACGGAATCACACAGCAAGGCCTATTGAACCTTGTATAAAAGCAGCTTAGTGTGTTTCATATAAGGGCTCCTGAAAGTATTGAAGAGTATAAATACTTATGCTGATTCCAAATAGCTTCAATTTAAGTCGAGTAGTGCATTCGAGACAGACAGTCACAGGCGGGTTTTCTGTCTCCTGCATGCCGCGGACCTCCTGCAATATTACTGTTGTGTAGCAGTGATCTAGCCACATCGTACTTAGTAATAGGCTTCTTTTTGTATTAGGGAGTCTAGGAATCTCTACAACGTCTAAGGGAGTAACATATTCATGCACTTGAGGTTTTACCCATTGGAGTCGGTGTAAGGCACACGCTCCGAATGTCTTCAGGAATCCAGCAGAGGAACGTCAGGAATGTGGGAACTTTGGTGACACAGGTTTGCAGCATTCCATCATCACTTGGAATGTTGTGATCCTTGTCTCTAAACAAACCTTGTCAACACTGACTGACATGGAATATTATTACCGGTCACGTCCTCACTACCAGACCATCCTGAACACCCTTCTCTTCTTACGCAAACCTACTACATGCTTGTCACCATGAGACTATCTCTGAGTATCGCAGTCTTCACTCTCGTCACCTACGTGACTGCCCTTCCCTCCCTCCAGGTCATTCCACGAGGCGAGCCGCAGTTACCGCTGCTCGATCCTACGATGACAATTAAAGAAGCTGCACGCAAATGTGGGGATGAAGCGCAGCTTTCGTGCTGTGGTCGGGTCGTCAAAGCTGGGGATCGTACCTCAGTCGACGAGGGGATCGGCGCTGGACTTTTGAGCAACCTCGCTGGGGGTGGTTCAGGAATAAGCAGCATTCTGGCTTTTGATCAATGCTCCAGGTTGGATGCACAAAGTCAGCAGTCTAATCTCATCTCTTCCGCTCGTGAAATGGCTAACAGTCGCAGTCGCTGTGCTCATTGTACCTGTCCAGAACCTGCTGAACCAGCACTGCAAGCAGAATGTGGCTTGTTGTCAGAAAAACCCCGGCGATTCGGTATGTATCCGGCATTATCGGTGGCTGTGACTCGTGCTAACAGATTTAGTCTTCATCTGGTATCGCTGCCAGTCTGCCGTGCATTGCTTTGGGATCCATCGCGTAAGGTTATAGTGGCATATGGACGAAGCTGGCTATCATCTATAATCATCGTTGGTTCTATTACATTGTACTTGTGGTATTTATATAGCCAATGCTGAGATTCACGATATGTAGATCCTCCCCTCGTACGGCTGTAATGTACCCAGTCCCGAGGAGGGATAGTTGCTGACCAAAAGCTTCATCTCCCCTGCCATGCCAGCTTGTGTAAGTGGCTGAGGTGAAGAGGTGAAGTTCAAGGCAACCAATGCGCGCTTCTCCTCCCTGGACTTCACAAAGCAAAAGGTCTCGAGATTCTCAAAGTCCACGACCTCAAACGCACCATGGATGAATAACTCGCGGTACTCCTTGCGCAGCCGCAGTACCCTCTTCCAGAAGGAAAGTACACTCTGAGGATCTGACTCCTGCTTCTTCACATTGATTTCTCTGTACAGGTCGTGAGTGCGCATCCATGGTGTTCCCGTTGTAAATCCGGCGTTGGGAGAATCATCCCACTGCATCGGCAGTCGGGCATGATCTCGCGCCAGAATTCGCAGTCCATCCATGATACGTTCTGGTCTGCTCGGATCGGTACCGTTCGCAGCCTGGCGCTCGGCCTCTCGATAGTATCCCAGCCCTTCAATGTCCTTGTACTCATCAATGGACCAATCCCGCGGCGCATTGATCATCCCGATTTCCTGCCCCTGATACAAGAACAATGTTCCGGTCATGGCCACCATCATCAACGCCAGCATCTTCGCGGAGCGTTCTCGGAACTCAGGGTCATCGGATCCAAATCGTGACACTGACCGGCCATTGTCGTGGTTCTCACAGAAAGCCGTCGTCCACCCGTCCGTCCCCTCGACAAAAGACTGCCACTTGCCAACGATGGCCTTCATCTCAGTGAGCTTCCAGGGCTGGAAGATGTACTTGTCTTCCAGGCTGCTGCCCATGCCGATATGACCAATATCCAAATGGAACACCATGCTCAACTGCTTCGCAGACGCACCAACATACTTGAGCACATCTTTCGGGTCGGGCGTATTCGCCAACTCACCAACGGTCATTACGTCCCCGTACGGCGCCAGCGCTTCGTCGTACATTTCGCGCAGGAACTCATGGATGCGCGGACCATTGCACCACATCTCCACCGCAGGCTGAATATAGCTCTTGGGGTCGGTGACAGGCGCATCAGGGAAATCCGTCCGCTTGCTATACTTGTTGACGGTGTCAACACGGAAGCCATCCACCCCCTTATCAAGCCAGAACCGAATCGCGCTGTTATAGATGGCTTCTCGCGTGGCCCGGTTATCCCAGTTCAAGTCGGGCTGCTCCTTCGCGTACAGATGCAGGTAATACTCTTGCGTCTGCTCGTCCCACGTCCACGTACTCCCAGCAAAATAGCCCCGGTAATTTGTCGGCGGAAGGCGATTGCCCCCCTGGTCATACCGTGCTGGCCGCCAGAAATACCAGTCGCGTTTTTCGTTGTCCCTGCTGCTGCGACTTTCCTTGAACCAGGCGTGTTCGTCGCTGGTGTGATTCACCACTAAATCAAGGATGAGCTTCATGCCACGCTCGTGGCACTCGTCAATCAGCTTCTCGACGTCCGTGACTGTCCCGTATGCCGGAAGCACTTTTTCATAGTCGGAAATGTCGTAGCCCATGTCGTGCATCGGCGAGTCGTAGTGCGGTGAGAGCCATACTACGTCGACGCCCAGTGAATGAAGGTATGGGACCTTGGAGATCAGACCGGGGATATCTCCCCATCCGTCGCCGTTGGAATCTTTGAATGATGCGGGATATACCTGGCCATGTCAGCTGTGCGTGCGATATTCGTCAAGGCAGAATACCTGGTAGACAGTGGCCTCTTTCCACCAGTTGTTGGTCCCTGTGGGGACGGTTGTTGTAGCATGCGGTGACATACTTGACTCCAACTAAGATGCTAGAAACTCATTGTTTTTCTGAATTATGTGGCTTTCATTTGATTATTTATGTGCGGGGATTGAATGGGCTATTTGGTCTTTCCGACTTGCATCCGCATCAACTCCGAATAGAGTCCGCCCCGCAATCTTGGACGTGGGGGATGATAACTAGTTCTCACGAGACAACTTAAAAATGATAAGGAGACAGCTCAGTAATTCATCCTGCTGCATTCTAACAGCTCATCTGATATGCGATTGTTCGAATCGCGCGGACAACATCCGCGAAAGACTGTTTCATTCTGGCGACAGTAAGGGCACTCGAATCGATCATTTGTATCATTGACAAGTTCATCCTCGCTCGGCGCAAACATATCACACCCTATCTTGGTTTCTCCAACTTCAGCTCGCCTTGGCCACTTGTATGGATATACACCGCCCTCAGTCATTCTCAGATAGTTCACAATGGGGTCTGAATGCCTGGAGGTCGGCACCCATTGCTAGGTGCAGACTCAGTTCATGCTTGCCTACTTGCCAGATATTCTTGAACTGCTCAGGATACTTCTAAGGGACGCCTCCGGTATAAGGAATATAGTAATGCATGGAAATATCATGATATTGATGGAAGTAGTTTAGCAGACGTCGAATTGGTAAAACATCCAAATAAGCGCCACCTAGAACCAAGCCATGTCTCCCGACGTGGGTCGGTAATACTTGGATTGTTAGAGCACTTCTAATTATTTACTGACAAATGCATAGTACGGAATCTAACTACTGAGTATTCTGAGCTAATTCCTAACTTAAAGCATGTTGACCTTGAAATCCTTCAACATCGGTGTTTCGGCCCGGAAGCCGTAAATTGCATGCTCTGCAGCATCACATCGACGCCACGTTCGTAATTTTAAGGCTGCTTGTTGGTCGAGGTCAAAGAACGTCTTGATGCTGTGCTCTCTATGTTAGTGATGATTTACTCTGCTTGACATGGTGAGTCATGCCTCGTATTCAATATCAGAAGTCACCCATGGCTCACGAGAGCTGCGTCACGACTATGCAGCATTCTCATGCCTGCGATGATAAATGCTGCCGTTCTCCTCTCGATGAGCGATTCAGCAACTGCGAAACTGCCGACTCGCAAACAAGATGTCTGCTCCAGAACCCAAGAGCCCTCTAGGGTATCATCGCGTCCTTGCACCGTCTGCAGGCGTCAAAGTGTCTCCACTATGCCTGGGTGCGATGAACTTTGGGACCGCATGGTATATTCCTAAAGAAATTTTCGGATTATGCCAATGGCGAGTTACTGACCATCGCATAGGGAGGAGTCCATGGGCAAATGCACGAAGGCGGATGCCTTTGCCATTATGGACACGTTCTATGAGAATGGGGGTAACTTTATCGACACGTATGTTGTGCAGTCAACCATAAGAAAAAGTGACTAATCCTCCCCAGTGCGAATAATTACCAATCCGAACAATCAGAAGAATGGATTGGGGCCTGGATGACAGCCCGTAGGAACCGCGATCAGATGGTGCAAGCATCGCCCGTACCGAACTCATTTCCTTTCATTCCTCTGACTGAACAGCATCGCGACCAAATACACCACAGGCTTTCGCTCCGCGCACTTTGACAAAGAACCCATCCAGTCCAACTACGTCGGCAACTCCCTCAAGTCGCTGCACATATCCGTCAACCACAGCCTCAGGAAGCTGCAGACGGACTACATCGATCTCCTCTACGTGCACTGGTGGGACTTCACCACCAGCGTCGAGGAGGTCATGCACGGACTTAATGCGCTGATCTCTGCAGGTAAGGTCCTGTACCTCGGGGTTTCGGATACGCCCGCCTGGGTGGTGGTCAAGGCGAACGCGTACGCGCGAGCCCACGGGCTGCGGCCATTCTCCGTCTACCAGGGCAAGTGGAATGCGCTGTGCAGGGACATGGAGCGCGAGGTTATCCCGATGTGTCGGGATCAGGGCATGGCGATTGCTGCGTGGGCGCCGTTGGGTCAGGGGCGGTTCAAGGCGGCGAAAGCCCGCGAGGCGGCGCATGCTGGCAGAGGACGGTCGGCTCAGATGAGCGAGGATGAGGCTAAAGTGTCCGAGACGCTCGAAGAGGTTGCAAAACTGAGAAATACCAGTCTGCATGCTGTGGTATGTTTATGTTTGCTCGTGATATGCAGTCACAGTCACTGATTAGGGTAGGCTCTCGCGTATGTCCTGCACAAGTCGCCTTACGTCTACCCCATTATTGGACAGCGGAAGGTTGAGCACCTTCTGGCGAACATTGAGGCGCTCAATGTTGAGCTGTCTAGGGAGGACATGGATAAGATCGATACCGCTGTATCATTCGATCCGGGTTTCCCGATGAATTTCATCTTCCAAGACACACCCTATAACTTGAATTTGACGGCCGCTGATGTGACTTATACTCGCCTTTCAGTGCACCTGCATTCCCCTCCTCACCAACAGCCAGTCAGGCCGCGCAAGGATATTTGAAGTGGTAGCTCGATCTCCGGTGGGCTTCCATCCTGCTCCTTATTATGTGCCTCAAGCCCTCAGCAGGTATCAAGGGTCATGGACAAGCTTCCCGTTCTGTATTGAGTACGGATCCTCGAGGTAGAGTCAGCTCACCAGAGGGATAGAAATAGTTGGTGATTCCATAGAAATACTAGAAAATATGCCAGTTAAGAGAGTCACCTTTATCCTGTTCCTTCCAGCGAGCCGGGGCATAACTGAAGGTGCCAGAGACGAGGTGTTCGAGGCCTGAGACCAAACCACGTCTTTACCCACGACCTTTACGCGGACTATACCTTAGCTAGCTACGATGTGGACTTTTTGTACTTTTACAATGATTACATATTTACTATAGTATTAAATATTAAATCGTTATCTACCTTAGTATCTTACTATCACTCTTAGCATCAATATCGAATCATGATCTAGTATCGATATCGAACTATCACCTAGTAGGAGTATCGATACCATAGTATCAATATCAAGTCATCACTAGTAAGGTGTCATCTTATTCGGCTTCATTTTATCTCTCAGCTTGATGAGCTTTTGCCTCACCGTCTCTCTCTTCCTGATGATATGCCAGTGATGATGGCTGACCGTTGATTCAATCGCTTGCCATACTATGCTCAGGCCGTCTTCATCTTTATCAAACATTCTCTCCTCACAATCGTATTGCCAGGCTATGTCCCGCCAGGCAGATAGTTCGTCTGAGGTCATTCTATCGAATGGCTTCGCTGGCTGCGGCATGATTGGTTCTACCGGCTTCTCCACGGTAATCGTCTTATCGTCTGGATCAATGTATTTCCAGACCCGTTTCTGCTCTGCGAGCGTTTGGATGTATCCGATCCATGCCCACCAATCGTCTGGCAGATCCAGAACGATTGGGACCCTCTGAGTGGACATGAAATCGGTGGTGATCGCATAGTCAGGCATATCGGCTTACTAAGGCGCTGAGATACCCGTTGCGAATGGCCTCACCTTTTTCCAAAGCGGTATCTCGGCCTTAGAAGGGTGTAAGCGTTGCTTCGCAGGTGCGGTATCTGATAGCAGTTGATCAAACCGGGCTTATAACTGTCAATCGATCCCTGATAATAGCGAATCTATGGTAATCGCTAGTATACAGTATAATTCAGCATGAAAGAAGGTCTGATTTCTGGCATCTAGATATCTAACTAACTATTTATAATCGACTAAACGAAATCTCTGTAAAATCTGTTCCATTTGGCGAGTTGAATCCATGGTAGAATCGAGCAATCTGATTGGCCCAGCCAGAATTTGGTTAAATATTAATTTCCGATAATCGCCGGATTCGATAGTGGTGAGATATGGCTGACATATCCATATTAATGTTAGATCCTTATCTACTAAGGTTGTGCCTGTATACTCCGTAGTTACGGAGTACAATTTATATATATCTAATCCTTTCGGGCTTGCAAATTGCTCATCCTGGTGCTCACGAGTCTACCTCTTACACGGACCTGGCCAAGCGAAACTTTATCTACAACACTTACTAAGCCCTGGTTAAGTGTACTGATACCTTAAGTGATGTAGAGTTTATGCGTGTGGTAAAGCTTACCATGCTATCTTAATAAGTGTAGTAAGTAATCCCTTACTATCTGTAATATAGATAATAGAGTCATCGTATCCTACTATTCTAATTTAGGAATATTAACTAATGCGAACTATTTTTCGAAGAACCTAGTCCATATTCTTACTCCTAAGGGCGAAATTAGACCCTTTTGGGTGAAGGGCGATTTGATTCGGCATGATATATCCGATGGCCAGGCAGGCATCCCTGTCATCGACGAACAGCTCGTCGACCTCAACTCCTGTGAGCCCGTCCCAGATCTCTACTGGAATGTCTGGAACAGCAAGCAACTCTGATTTGCTCTTTGAGTATGCCTATCTTGGTGACTCCATTGAAGATGGCTTTCTAGCCTGAGTCACCCTGGGAGTCGACGTTACGGCCAACCACGACTCGGTTGTTTTGTATGCTGTTACCCTTACATCTGATGGTGGTATTGCAAACGACGATCGCGATTGGGGTGACCAGGTTCCCTCCGGCACTGCCTATGTAATGCCGTCCGCATAAGAGTCGCGAATTTATGTTCAATGATCCTGGTTTTGAGGCAGGTTCCCTCGCAGCTCATGGAAATGAAGCTTCCACAGCCTACTTCTGGACCAGGTCCTTGTAAACGGCTGGAGATAACCTTCTTGTGCCTATGGTTCTCTGTTTTCCAAATATTTCAATTATTGTATACTGTAACCCACATAGGCTTTCCTTCAATCCACTGACTGTTTCCGCCTTGTACCCTCCGCATTCCGGTGCAATCTTCCAGGGTCAATCTCATTTTACCTTTCTTCAGGCTTGCTATCAATAGCTAGCCCATTAGCCGCGGCCTAAGGTTGGCACCCCGCTGTTCCGTACAAGGGTCCAGGGACACTCCATGTGGCAGTCCCAACTTCAAGGTAGCCCACTCCACAGACGCCACAGGTATGGATTTCTTGTTGTTATCAAGTCAAAAGAACAGTAAACATGGCCATTAGGAGCACAATAGCACATGCTTTTCTGCAACCTCATAGAAACGCAGAGGTGGTGGTGTTGTTGGTGGCTGCAGAAATATACCACGGTGGGGTAAGATGAATTGCCTTCACCAGAGTCAGAATGCCGTCTTCAAGGGCTCATGTGCACGATCATTTAATAAGCAAGATAGTTATTCTTTGAATATATGAGTCAGGGCTACCGGTTTCCGGTCGGATTCCCATGAGCCAAGAATCAAGATGCCAAGAGAATAAGCATCGAAGAGACTCTTCAGCTCGCATGACTGCAGCTCTCGTCCCTCGCATAAGGGGAAATTCCTATCACGAGGTCCGGGGCAAGGTTATCACAGTATTATGACCTGCAGCAGCATAGCGCTGCTAAGACTCATCTATGTAACCCAAGGAATTGCCAAGCATTTTCTCGAGTCAAGTCCGACGGAGAATGCATGCGTTCCAATTGGACGCAGCGAGCAAAGTCGCGGCAATTACTTCCCCTATTGTACACCCCAAGACCGGCTTGTACCAGCGGCAATATAAAAGTCTTGGTGCAGTAGATTCTTCAGCAAAACGACGCGGACATCCGACGGACAGGTCCCTGAAATCCTCGTGAAGATTGTGTCCATAGTCCACGTTCCAATCAACCATGCAGATCGTTATCTTCAGCAATTCTCACGCGGTCATGCACTCGATTGAGAGTACACTCCGCAATGCTTACAGATGAGCATTATGTCTTATCTCTGTTAATGTAACTGTCTCGGAGCGCGATGCGGGGAAACCGAAAATACCAACTTGCAATATCCCATGATGTGAATAGCTCCGGACTGGGTCGGGCCAAGATCGGACAGTTCTACGCTTGATCACGATGATAATGATATGGAGCAGATAGGAGATGAAGAATCAGTAACGCCAGATGCTCTGGTATAAATACTCAGCTGAAGCTCATAGAGTCCCCAGAAGCATCCCACATTGAATCCGGCATCATTCTCCGCCAGATCACATCCTCAACATGCGAGGCCTTCTTCTGGCTGGGGCTCTTGCCCTACCTGCTTCTGTCTTTGCCCATCCCGCTCACCAGTCTTACGGACTCAATCGTCGTACTGTTGATCTGAATGCTTTCCGCTTGAAGTCCCTGGCCAAGTACGTCAATGCGACAGAGACCGTCATTGAGGCCCCGTCCTCCTTTGCCCCTTTCAAGCAGCAAAGCTATGTGGAAGCGGCGACTCAACATGTCAAGATGATTGCCCCTGATGCGACTTTCCGCGTGGTCGATGATCACTATGTTGGTGACAATGGCGTTGCCCATGTCCATTTCCGCCAGACAGCCAACGGTCTCGACATCGACAATGCCGATTTCAATGTCAACGTACGTATCGTTCAAGCAGTGTATGTCTCTTGCTAACAGGTGTGCAGGTCGGAAAAGACGGAAAGGTCTTTTCGTATGGCAACTCTTTCTACACCGGCCAGATCCCCAGTTCGGCTGCATTGACCAAGCGTGACTTCTCCGATCCTGTGACTGCTCTCAAGGGAACTACAAATACACTGCAGCTTCCCATCACTGTGGATAGCGCGTCGTCCGAGAGCACAGAGGGGAAGGAGTCGTATGTTTTCAAAGGCGTCTCTGGAACTGTCTCCGATCCCAAAGCCAACCTGGTATACTTTGTCAAAGACGATGGAACCCTCGCCTTGACATGGAGAGTTGAGACAGACATTGATAGCAACTGGCTCTTGACCTACATCGATGCCAAGAGCGGCGAGCAGATCCACGGTGTGGTGGACTATGTTGCTGAAGCAGACTACCAAGTATAGTGAGTATTAAACCAACTCCAGCAGAAGAGCCTTACTGACATGTTTCAGCGCATGGGGAATTAATGACCCAACAGAGGGCGAGCGGACGGTGGTCAAAGATCCTTGGGACTCTGCCGCGTCGGAATTCACCTGGATCAGCGACGGTAGCACAAAGTATACCACTTCTCGCGGCAACAACGGCATCGCCCAATCCAATCCCAACGGTGGATCGAGCTACCTGAACAATTATCGCCCTAGCAGCTCGAGCTTGTCATTCAAGTATCCGTATAGCCCGAGCTCATCGCCTCCATCATCCTACATCGATGCATCGATCATCCAGCTCTTCTACACGGCCAATACCTACCATGATCTGCTTTACACCCTGGGCTTCAACGAGAAGGCCGGTAACTTCGAGTACAACACTAACGGGCAAGGCGGTCGTGGAAATGACTATGTCATCCTGAACGCCCAGGACGGCTCTGGCACCAACAACGCCAATTTTGCCACTCCTCCTGATGGCCAGCCCGGCCGCATGCGCATGTATGTCTGGACCGAGTCGACGCCGTACCGCGACGGCTCCTTTGAGGCCGGAATCGTGATCCACGAGTATACTCACGGTCGTACGTATACCTTGCTTGTTTTATTGACGCAGACTAACATTTGCAGTTTCCACCCGACTCACTGGCGGCCCTGCCAACTCCAACTGCCTGAATGCCCTCGAGTCAGGCGGCATGGGCGAAGGCTGGGGTGATTTCATGGCTACGGCCATCCGTCTTAAGCCCGGCGACAAGCGCTCGACCGACTACACCATGGGCGAATGGGCTGCCAACCGGCCAGGCGGAATCCGCCAGTACCCGTACTCGACCTCGATGAGCACCAACCCTCTGACGTACACCAGCGTCAACTCGCTGAACGCGGTTCACGCCATTGGCACGGTCTGGGCGACCATGCTGTACGAGGTGATGTGGAATTTGATCGATAAGCACGGCAAGAATGATGCGCCGAAGCCTACCCTGCGCGATGGTGTGCCGACAGATGGCAAGTACCTTGCCATGAAACTAGTCATAGACGGGATGGCATTGTAAGTTGCCGACAATTCTTCGAGAGTTATATTCATACCGCTAATCAGGAAACAGGCAACCATGCAACCCCAACTTTGTCCAGGCCCGCGACGCTATCCTTGATGCTGATACTGCTCTGACTGGAGGTGAGAACCAATGTGAGATTTGGAAGGCATTTGCCAAGCGTGGATTGGGTGCTGGTGCGCAGTATAGCTCGAGGAATCGTGTTGGAAGTACTGAGGTCCCCAGTGGTGTTTGTTGAGAGCACCCATACTGAGCAATAAGGGGAGTTTAATGAGGATAATGACAATTCTTGGCACTGTTACCTTGTCTCCAGCAAAGATCTCGTAATAAGCGGGGGAGAAATAGGGTGAATCCCACAGCGCTCCATGACACAAGTAACCAATCCTGGACTTCTGGTACCTATCTAGTCTGTTGGTGATTTGTAGACGATACCACCTTAATTTCTACTAATAGTAATCCAATTCTTGTCAGGAAATGAGCCCGAGATTCTGAACCAATTGCGCCCCTGAATTTATAGCCAAGAAATTAGCCGATGAACTGTCTCGAACACGGCCAATCACTGTCCATACTATGATAAATGACTGTCCCAAAGAGGTTACGGGAGGAAGCAGTCCAGGGCCATTAGATGATAGTTGATCCAGTGCTGCTCTCTCTTTTGATCATGGGTTTGTCGACTCTGCCACGCTACTTTGGTTCATTTCCGGGGATTATACTCCGTAGTAGAAGCTTAGAGCAGTTCCCTACTTAACCCCCTCGTGGTCCTCTTTTCCCATCTTCCAACTGTCAAAGCATCAGTCTATTCCAACTACTAGTCATTCTTTGCTTTGCATATCAGTCACTCTTTTAAGTTCCATTCGTTTTCAGACGTGTCTTGTTCTACCTACCATTTATCCCCACAGTAGATCCTGAAACCCATCCCAGCAAATCAAACCAATAAGAATACGAGGATCAACATGATGCGCTCCGTGATCCCCCTGATTGTGTCGCTTGGCTCGCTGGCTGCAGCCATCAACATCACCAGTCCTGCAGCCAACATCACCTACGCAGCCGGGTCCACTGTGACCGTCAAGTGGACCAGCGTCGATACCGATCCCACCAACTTCAGCCTCTACCTTTGGAACTTTGTCTCCTGGCCTCCGACTTATGTTCCGCTGGCCCTTGACATCCCAACGGCCGATCTGTCCCACTCCGTCCAGATCCCCTGCGACACCAACCCCGAATGGGGCTACCAGATCAGCGGCATCAACGGCACCAACGTCTACATCATCTACGCGCAGGGCGACAAGTTCACCGTCTCCGAACCCGTCAAGCCCTGCGTCGACCCTGCCCCCGTGCCCACGCCGTCCACCTGCCCCAGCGCTGCGGCGTCTACCGTTTATGTCACGGTGAGCCCTACCGGTTCCAGCTCCCGTCTTTTCCATCCATCTTCCTCCCACGTCTCCTCTTCTCCTTCACCCAGCACCACCACCTCTGCAACCTCCAAATATGTGAAGCCCGGAATCGTGCCTAAGACTATTGGTTGGTGTTCAGACTACTCCCACCCTGTGACCTTGGACAAGGTTCCCACCCCGACTGCGGCCCCGATGGTGACCCCCGCCCCTGGTGAGGGCAGCGGTGCTCGTGGTCCTCGTGTCAAGACCATTACTACGACTGTGAGTGTCGAGGCTTGTCCGATCGATGCGATATAATGGAGGTCTCTGGAATCTGTTGAACGGTGCAGTCAAACTTAATTTCTTCATGCCGATATATTTTGTCAAGTATTAGGTATCCTTATTAGTAAGTCGTATGTAACAATAGTCGAGGCTATTCTCACTCGAGCTTGCGAAGCATATTTTAGGCCTCGGCTGTTAGTTTTCGTCCAATCTCTCTACATATGCCTTGTGGAAGACAATAAGGAAGCATTTGGTTCAAGTCAACACGCTCGTTGACTCCGGAGATCTTTCAGAGCCAGTCAGTTGATAGGCTTAATACGAGTCATAAATGTCGAGAATCTGCTGTGATGCCAAACCATTTATTTTGCGACATATAATGTGAGGAGTTTCGCACGGTGGCAGAAATCAAGCTGACGGAAAGGCTAGGGCATTCAGGTCTTGTTTCGCGAGGTATAATATATTGATTCTTCAACTTTAGAAGGTTGCCATTCTTGCTAGGAAATCGGAGAAATGACTGTGGGCAAGGCTGGATACTACCAGTCTCCAAGCATTCTTGGACATTCTCTACACCGACTTAGACTCTGGTAAAGACTGGTGAATAACAAGATACAAAACAAATAAAGACTCGCCAAGATATCCGCTCAATCATATTTCTGCAGAGCAGACAAGCAATCATTGTCGCAGAGGCTGCGTCTAAATTTGGCTGTTCTCGCTGATCGACACGAGACGGGCTCTATTTTTGGGATACGAAACTGTGCCCTGGCAGTCCCTGTGCAGGAACACGAACCGCTAAGCTTCGTATTATGGTTGCATCCGAGATCAGCCAGCCCGACCACTCCAAAACAGGCCAAGCTAGGATTGTTGTCGATATATTTCACGAGATCATACGAGATGGACCCTGATCAGTCCTACAGGTGGGGCCAAAAATTTCCCCAGGGGCCCTCATCCTGCGAGCCATTCCTTCTCATATACGGACGCGGGCTGTTTGAAGTAATTTCCGAGGCAGGCCAGGGCAACTCTCATTTGCCCTTATCCTTGTTCTATACGAGGATATGGATGATCACCCTGTTCCTGCTCGGGTATGGGGACATTACTGGCTCTTGCGACTCGCGGTTTGCATCCTTAGAAGATCATGAATAGGAACATGACCGTCCAGATCAGCTATATAAAGGACAATTGAATCCCTCGAAGTTGGATCTTCTCATCCGCATCAGCATCAACAACTTCATCCTTATCTTCAGTCTCGAACAATCTCATCAAGACTCTTGGAATCAACCGACATCATGTTGTACCTTCCTCTCGTTGCCCTTTCCTTTGCCACCACCCTGGTGAGCGCATACCCCATCACGGGCGATGGAGTCAACTGCCGCTCTGGCCCTGGCACCAACCATCCCGTGGTCAAGTCCTACCCCAAGGGCCATGATGTCTCCATTGTCTGCCAAGCGCCCGGCACCGACGTCAAGGGCGACAAGCTCTGGGACAAGACCTCCGACGGCTGCTATGTCGCCGATTACTACGTGAAGACTGGCAGCACCGACTATGTCACCAAGCACTGCGATGGCGGCAATGATGGCGGCAATGATGGTGGCAGCGATGGTGGCAGCGGCAACCTTCCCGGTCTCACTGCTAAACAGTCCTCTCACGCCCGCAAGATCATCGGTGAAGCGAAGAAGGAAGGCCTTGGTCGTCAGGGTTGCCTGGCTGGTATTGCGACCGGCTTGGTCGAGGTGAGTCAATCCTCTACACCTTATTTATACTCGTACTAATTGGTGACAGTCCAACCTCTTGATCTATGCCAACAGCAAGGTCCCCGAGTCCCTGAAGTACCCCCATGACGCCGTCGGCCACGACTACGACAGCGTCGGCATCTTCCAGCAGCGTGCTATCTACTACCCCAACATTGCCGCTGACATGGACCCTGCCCGCTCCGCCGCTCAGTTCTTCGCCAAGATGAAGAAGGTCAGCGGCTGGAAGACGATGGAAGTCGGCAAGCTTTGCCAGAAGGTGCAGGTCTCGGCTTATCCCGATCGCTATGCTCAGCGTGTGCCTGCTGCGAAGAAGATCTGCGCTGCTGGTGGACTGTAACTGCTTATTCAGTTCTTTTCTCTCGATGTGTGAGCAACAGCGCATAGAGCTCATTAGACGCTCGAGTCTTCTTCTATTTTACCATTCTGGATTTCCGTCTTTGTTAGATCGTGTATATTGACTCTTCTATATTCTATCTTTTCGACTTTGTGATAGCAATTGATTGACTCAATTAGCTACGGTATAGCTGACCTTGGACCTGCCAGCCTTCCTCGTAATCTTTCGCACCGTAGTTGAACCACACAGATCCGTCGTATCGACATGCGTACCTCCACAGGGATACACCTCAGCTCCGACAATATTGACAACGCGAAACTTCTCGCCGGGAGCAATAGCGACAGAACCGCGATCAGGCAGCAATCGCTCCAATCCCCGCCTCCGAAACTCATCCTCATCCCACCAGTCCACCTCGACGGGCAACTTGGCATCGATAAACTCGTTCACTTTCGCCTGGATCGGATCCTTCCATTTCCCATCGATAGCACCTTGGAACTCACACGCCGCCGCGTCAGGGAAATGCGACGCCTTGAGCTCGTCGAACCCCTCTACCTCCTTTTCCAGGAGATGCCGCACCGCCGCGCCGAGGACGTGGCCGGCCGTGTGCAGACGCGAGTACAGCAGACGCTTATCTGCGTCTATCGTCTGTTCGACTGCATCTCCCTCGGAGAAGACGCTGGATGAAGATGATGATGTCGGGTTAAACCGGCCAAAGTGGAGGACTTGGCCCTCGCGGACTGCGTCCATGCGCACGGCTGCGACCGTGAACGCTACACCCGAGGCGTTGGTCATGGTGCCCTCGTCTGACGGCTGTCCGCCTCCCTGGGGATGGAAAATGGTCTGCTCTGTGATGACAGCATAATCTTCATCGGTGCCTTGCTTGAAGAGCTGGCGGTTGGAGTCTTCCAGGGTTGGGAAAGGGTGGATTCCCCTCACGATGGTTTCGAGATTGTGGAGCTTGGCATTGTGTTGGAAGGTGAGAAATGTGCGATCGGTTGAGGCCATGATCTTGAGGATCGGCAGGTAGATCTAACCTTATGGAATGGGAGTTAGTTACTATGGGTGTAAACACTATGAAATTGGAAGAGACAAGTTGCTTTATCCGTTTTCATTGCGATCTTCCCTCGGCACAAATTCACATTAGTAACGTAATCTCCCAACGGGGAATAGCGTCAACATATATCTCTTTCCATGCCAAACAACGATTATTTGGACAGACAAGACATTGAGGTTCGATCGTGTGTCATTATACACTTTACCGATACACTTTACCCAGCAGTAAAGTAAGTGATGCTTTTAACAGTAATTCCAGGATATAGCCATATATGCCCGTAACATGCCGACCATCAACAACGCGCCTGTCAAGCTAGCGGTGAAAGAGCGAATGACTCAAACTAAAAGAGACGAACGTGCGGCAAACTATGGCAAAGCTAGAAATATCTCAGTTGTCGCATAGAGCGCAGCATCCGGTACACCCCAAACAAGGTGGCATAGATGCCTCCGCCGGCTGTGGCCCAGGCAGGGCCCTGCAGACGCAAGGAGGAGACGCCAATGGGGCCTGGCTGTTTGTAGGTATCCGATCGGACGACGTGCTTGCGTCTTTGATTTGAGTCTGAGACAGTTGTGTCATTCTGGTTAACCCAGTTCTTGTTGAGGTTCACCATCAAGAAGTAGCGCACCTGGAGTTTGAAGCCTCTGCTTTAGAGTACTAAAGAGAGGCCTCGAACGACCGACAATTGCTTGATACATGTTCGTAGACTTGAATCGGTGATGGAGATGAATTGTTAGCTTTGTGAAGGGGATGGGATATTGTTCATCAATCGGTGGACGATGGTATTACAAGCATCCAAAATCAGCGACAAGGAGACAAACGTCGCAATAATAAAGAATTGGGGGGGCGACTGGGAATGATCAAGCTGTCATAAGACCCGACATTCTTTGAGTGGCGAATTCATCATGACTTCCCCGGAATCGAGAAAAGCATTGAACCCACCATCCTACCAGGGAACCAATGCTGTCAAAATTAAACGTTCACTGGTTCGTCGACTATCCAATCGTTTTACAATTCTTCCTTGCCCTGTGCGGTTGGCTCGATAGGGTTATGGTTAGCGCATTCAGGTGTACAAGAATTTAGATATAGAAATGTCATTTACGAGCTTCCTGAGACAGTCATCCACGAGCACGAGTACGAGTACGTACTCGTATGGTGGTAGTGAACACTATCCTTGTTCATCACTTGTGAGTGACAGTTATGGGATGGCGACCAACCAAGGTGGCTTGTAGGGTGATATCGAATGGCCGTGCAGAGTCAGGGCGCAAGGGATAGTACAGGCACGTAAGACTTGACCATCCCCACCATTCTGCCATCGTTCCTTCGAACTCGCGTTATCTTCTCTGGACCAGATGCCATCATCAATCGAGTTCAGGTCGTATAGCGAGAATGACGCCTATCTCACAGAAGGAAAGCCTGAGCCTAACGTTCGCTCCCAAATGTTGATTTACCATTCAGACAACTCCAAATGGTGGGTAAAAGTAACGTTCAAGGGCGAGATCTCCCAAGGACTGGAGCAAAGAACCCCGAAACGCGAACGTCGCAGAGAATTCCAAAATTTCGTCAAGGACGTAGACTATTCCTCGTTGCCGCTTCTGGATGACACTGTGACTGAGGTGCTTTTGGAAGAACTCTCAGAACCTCAGTATGCCACTCTGACGCTACGAGAAACTGAAGGACTCGGCAGCGGCCCTTTTGCAAGGCTTGCCAGGACATTGAGATACACGACGCGCGAAGATCCTTCGAGGGTCATCTATCCCTCGTGTCGCGAATTCACTTCATTTCCACATATAAACATGGCGGAATTGTCAGATGAGGTGATGATTACTGCTGGAGTTTCCAAAGTCTTCAACATCCAGAACAAAACACCCTATATCCTCAAAGTCGTGAATCGGCCCCTTTATTATCCCTATGACACAGAAGTTATACGCAGGGAGCTTGAAAATCTTCAAATCTGCAAAGGCGTGCCCAACATCGTACAAGCAGCTGGTATTGCAGTGTCTAAGAACCCTTATATGACGTCCAGCACGAGTAATCAGCCTCTTGTTGTGATTGGTATCCTGCTAGAATTTCATAGCGGGGGGTCTTTACAGGAAGTCCTGAGTGAGGGTTGTCTACTAGATCATCCTTGGGAAAGGTGGGCAATACAGATCGCAACCGCGCTGGCTCATCTGCATGGGGCTGGGGTAACTCACATGGATATCAAACCTTCGAACGTTGTCCTTGATTCAGATGGGAACGCGATACTTATTGACATCAGTGGCATTGGCGGAGTCACATATGAGTGGTGCGCCCCGGAGATACGAGATGAAATATCACCAATTGCTCTCCCTTTCGAGGTGCGCCGACTATGTGATATATGGGCTTATGGTCATCTCTTAACAGAGATTGTATCCCATGCAGAAGACAGCCCTGTTGCGACGACTTTGAGGCAGATTGCGGATTGTCTCACAGGAGAAAACACAGGGTCACGTATGACTTTATTGGAAGCTATCTCACAACTGGAAGCTGCAGGCATTGGAAGCTGCGTGACATGTAACTAGAGAAATGCTATTAATATCTCCAAGCGCTACCTTTTCAATAGATATCTGACCATCTCAGGATACACCTCTTCTCAAGCAGATGGAAGAACCCAGGTAGTCACAGATTGGCTAGGAACGTTCCCACTCCACTTCTGCCCGCTCTTCATAGTGACAGTCACATAGACATCATTGCTAAAAGTGTTTTCAATAACCACAGTGCGGGTTCCATCGGGATTCAACGAAGCCACGGACTGGATACCGCCACTGCCAGAGTATGTGTAGCTGCCACTGCCATTGAGCACAATCGCACCAGGTGGCATGAACTTGCTGAATTGCGCCATCATGTAGTATGCGGTGTTGAGCGTGTATCCTCCGTTGTTAATGGTCACCAAGCCTTGACATGTCGCGCAGCCGCCAGTGGACAGATGCGGACCATTCTGAGCGTTGGTTCCCAGAGTCCATGCTGCAACTCCCGAGGCCCAGTTCTGCAGGGGACCAATGGTGAAGTCAGCCGCTTGATGCCATGCGCCAGATGCTGAAGTCCAGCACTCGGTCATATATTGCTTCACTCCAGGGTTTGTGTTGTGGAACTGGCTTAGCACTGTCCAGTCGACGTTGGGAGCGTAGCAGTGCCAAGCGACCGACTTGACGTACTGACCGGCCCGGTTAAGGACAGTCTGAGGGTAGGACGGGACATCTGTGACATGTCAGCTTCTTTGCTAGAATATCAACGATAACACGTATCGTACCTGTGTTGTGGTCATAAGCCCAGATTTCGGTATCGAGTCCGGCGTTGGCAAGAGCTGGGCCGATGTAGTTCTGGATCAGCTGCGCTGACTCATAGTCATAGACATACATGGTGGGATAACCAGCTGAGCTAAACAGCGGCTCGTTCTGGATGGTAATTGCGTCGACGTGGGCACCGAGATTCTTATACGCTTGGATATACTTGACAAAGTACTGCGCGAATTGACTGGCATACCCCGTACTACCAGTTCCACCACTGGTCAGGTATCCATCGTTCAGGTTGTTGTTGTTCGTATTGCCATCGATGACACCGTTTAGCTTCATCCATCCTGGCGCGCTCCAGGGAGAGCCGAGGATCTTGAGGTTGGGCTGCAGAGACTTCATTGTTGCCAGCATCTTGGCCATGGCCGTTCCTCGGTCCCCCAGGTTGAATCCCGACAGTGACGGATCCGCTTTACCACCATTGTCATCGTATGTGTAGGCTGGGTCACCGGACAGATCGGAAGCTCCAATGGTATGTCGCATCAAAGCAAAGTTCGCCCCGGCCGATGTCATCAATTTATTGAGCAGGTCCTGCAACACGGAGGCCGACAAAGTGTTGAACGAGGTGACCGTGGCATCGGTGACGGCAGCACCGAACCCAACGATCGTCTGTCTGTGACCGGACGAGGTGTCGTCAACGGTCAATTGCCAAGTTGATTCAGAGCCGGGATTTCCTGTTCCTTGGACTGGGGCTGCTATGGAGGACAGCTTGTAGTTGCCGGCCGAGTTGGAACAGTATGCAGAAGCAGATACGGCTCGTTTCTCTGGTGTGGCATGGCTTAGGGCTGTCAAGCCAAGCAGAGCACCGACGGATATACGCATTGTCAAAGAGAAGTAAGTCCTTGTCTTGCTCTTGGTTATTTTCTGGTGTCGCCAGAGGCACTGATTGAGAGTTCTCCGAACAGACGGGCGTATTCAAGACTTTATACCCACAGTCAGCCCATAGGCTGATACTAATTCGGCACCTGGTTTGGCAAGGATTAAGCTATAACTCCTCTTCAAGTGCATTATTGGCCAGAACAATCAAGGTGCATCTTTAGAAGCTACACAAGCATTACCCCGGCGGAGTACGGAGCTGAGGAATACTACGCACAAGATGAGGATACCACAGTATCATGGACTAATGCAAGCCTCAAACCTCTTAGAAACCAGCTCAGATCAACATGGTATTGATCTTCGCCGCTTAATCGATGCCGACGTCTTCAGTTCCCGGACTTCGCCATGGCTCGATTTTAGCCCTGATACCTCAGGCGGACTCTCGACCAACGAGGCAAAGCCTGCCCCCGTAAACAAGCATTATACCTCTCCTGTCAGTAGTAATTTATATCAAAGCGGAACATAATAACCCCCAACCCCACCTCTCTTAACTGTATTCGTCTTACGTGAGAATTTAGGATCATGCAGTGGGTGGGTATCTTGACAAGGCCGTTCAGTATGGGGTATGTACTCGGACTTGCCTGGAACAGGCTCCGTACATCATCGGCCCTTTGAGAGAGAGCATAGATAAGTAGTGCATGACTACTTGAAGCCCCTGAAGATGTCTAGCTCAGTCATAAGCCTCTACCATTTCTACGCCATAAAGCTAGCGCCCCACAGCACGGTAGATGAAAACCCCCGGCCCCCGCATCTTCACCGTCTGTTTCTCAGCAAAGAGACCATTTTCCGGAAAGGGTAATGCAGAATTACTCCATCCAACTCATCCAATTCTCAATGAGAACTTAGACACATGGTTTAATAGTACCTTGCTCCCATACATACATGGTCAACCAAGGAAGTAGATGGAAGAAATGTTCTGCCTCAGGCATGCACGGCATTCCCAAGCTGGCTTCCCAATACGGTTAGCACCTGGTACTGCCGTGCCCCTCCGATGTTGTTGCGTCAATCGAGCATCGTCAAAGTCATCGGATATACACTCGTTTCCGTCCTCAATTGACTGCCCAAAAGCCAGTGTTTCTCGTCAATCTGCACAATGGCATCCATTCTACCCCGTACCGGCTTGAGAGCCCTTTCTGCGCTCCCCAGAGCCGGCCCTGTCTCAAGAGTGGCTTTCTCCCGCCAGCTTCCGCGCGCCCAGCCCCTCGTGCAGCCCTTCGGTCGCAGATTCCTTGCAACTGTTCCCCAGGAACAGCCTCGCCTGCGTCTTGGTTCAACCGGTACCTTATTCTCTCCGTCCTTTGGTTGTAAACATCCTGCTAACATATCTTATGTATTGTAGCTCCGAACTTCAAGGCTCAGACCACTCACGGCGAAATTGATTTCCACGAGTTCATCGGAGACAGCTGGGCCATACTCTTCTCTCATCCCGCCGACTTCACCCCAGTATGCACGACCGAACTCGGTGCCTTTGCCAAGCTGAAGGGTGAATTTGACAAGAGAGGTGTCAAGATGATCGGTCTGGTGGGTAGTCCTCTCAATTGAAGCATGGTACCATACTCATTGATCATTTATAGAGCGCGGACGATCTCAGCTCTCACGGCGACTGGGTCAAGGATATCAACGAAGTCGCATCGACCACCGTTCAGTTCCCCATCATTGCCGATCCCGAGCGCAAGGTCGCGTTCCTCTATGACATGATCGATCAACGCGACCTGGACAACATCGCCGAGAAGGGCATTCCTTTCACCATCCGTGCGGTTTTCATCATCGACCCCGCAAAGAAGATCCGTCTGACAATGCTGTACCCTGCTTCCACTGGTCGTAACTCCGCCGAGGTCCTGCGTGTAATTGACGCTCTGCAGGCGGCAGACAAGAAGGGCATTGCCACTCCCATCGACTGGACCGTTGGCGAGGATGTCATTGTTCCGCCCTCCGTCTCGACCGAGGACGCTAAGAAGAAGTTTGGCAATGTGCGGGAGGTCAAGCCCTACCTGCGCTACACCAAGTTCTAGGTGGCTCCGACTCATTCCGGTCGATACATGGGATCCAGTAGATTTGTAACAACAATAAGATTTCCGTTATATGCAGCTGATATGTCAAAGTAGCCTTGCATTGGCACTGCCTCAGCTCTGCCATACTGGCACAGCAATGTGCTCGGTTTACTGCACTGACGATAGGTCACTTTCCAGCTCGCATCGAGTAGCAACAGCTTCGAAACTGTAGATTCGATCGATGTTACCAATTCCTCACACTACTGACGTTCCGCAGTTATGTATGCTGTGTCACTAATCCCTAATGGCTGGCCAAGTCAATTCCAACTTCTACCCTTGCAGGAGGATTTCGCACCACCCGTTTCCGGGCCGCAAGCGGGCTGACAGTCGCACAGCAGTTGTCAGCGCAATGGGACAAAGGTTATGAAGCTGAGTCCTTCGCAAGCGACAACTCTCAGCGGCCTTCACAGTATCATAGTAGCTTTATGTGAAGATTCAAGATGTCTGGAACGTATAGCCAAAGTTCGGTCCAGATATACCGAATTCTTGAGCAAACCAGGCACATACAACTCGACGATACATCAAGTAAGACGACTCTAGCTTCTATCCCCGGAAGGTGAGAGCAAAGCTAAGTATTCCAAAGCAAAGATTGCGTCCGCCATCGGACCACTTTCTCAAATCAGAAACCTGATCGAGTTTTTGCAAAAACTGGGCCACGTCCGCGAATCGTCTGCTCTAGCCGATGTGCTTCGCGTGTGCATCCAACCGCACGACCTTGGAGGGCTGGGTCTGGACGATGCGAGTGACTTGGCAGCGCAGCAAGAATCAGAAGTTCTGTTCCTCGTATCTGCCTGGCTGGAAGCGCTTAATTCAGAGGATAGATCCAGATCAATGCCTGCTCCGGTAGCATCAAGGCCTCCAAGTCGGCGCGGGATGACTCTAAGCGAGAAAATCTTTGCGTTGCACGAGGTTACTCATAGAGGTTGGGTGGCTCCTGGAGATTTGATTCTGGTCGACGTCGACTGGGTGATTGCCTCAGAGGCATCATGGGCCGTGAGGATTTACCTCAATGATTTCTTCTCCGCCGCTAAGTCAGTTCATTAGGGCATGGAGACTACGTACAGCGACTTAGGAAACCCTGGGATTCATCGAAATGATCGCTTCTGGCTCGCCGGTGATCATGTCGTAGATCCTCGAATCAGACACATTCCAAAAGTTCGCGCGCTGATCGATGCAAGCGAGAGGGCAAAGCGAGTGTTCAAATTAACCGAATACCAGGGAATGAACGTTGGTCGATGATAAACCTTATCTCCAGGGAGATGCTGACACGGTTTAGTATACGATCCTCCACACCGAGTTCTACAGGGAACGAGCACAACCTGGCATGCTGATCATTGGCTCCGACTCACATACGTGCTCCTCTGGCGCATTGGGATGTCTGGCGATTGGGCTCGGGGCAGCAGATGTGACTTTGCCCTTGGTGACAGGGGAGACGTGGTTCAAGGTTCCCGAGTCCATCAACATCCGACTCGTGGGTGTACCTAAGCCTGGGATCGGTGGAAAAGATGTTATACTATACATCATGCAGCAGTTGAAGAGGAATACTGTCGCTTCTGATAGGATCGTCGAGTTCTCTGGTGCTGGTGTGCAGTATTTGTCGGCTGATGCTCGATTTGCTATTTGCAACATGACAGCGGTACGTCGATGCAGTTGAAGACTTTATGCCTTGCTTATTGAAGAAGGAACTCGGTGGCATCACCGGGGTATTTGTGCCTGATCAAATCACGCGCGACTTCGTGGCCAACAGACGCTTACAACGACACAAGAATCTCATCACGTACTTCCGACCCGATAGCGATGCGCAGTACGCCGCAGAACTCGACATTGATCTTGGAAATGTCCAGTCATTCTTTGCTCGATACCCGAGACCGGATGATGTGGTTCCTGTCTCGGATTACGCAGGAATGCCGTTGGATGGTTGCTTTATTGGAGCTTGCACCACAACCGAGGAGGACCTCATCCTTGCTGCTCTTGTGCTAGAGCAAGGACTGAAGAAAGGCTATCGGTCGGTTAAATGTGGGAAGAGGAAGATGGTACCCGGGTCATTGCCGATCCTGCGTAGACTACGCGAATTATGCCTCACCGACGTCTACGAAGCGGCGGGTTTTGAGATTGGAATCCCAGGCTGCAGCTATTGTGTTGGCATGTCGGCAGATCAGGCAACTCCAGGAGAAGTCTGGCTCTCATCCCAGAACCGGAACTTTGAGAATCGCATGGGTAAAGGTTTGTATGCGTGCCGCTTATCTGCATTCTTTAGCTGAAGATGCAACGCAGGGTCAATAGGCCATCTAGTCTCTGCCGCAACTGTCGCTGCATCCTCATTCGAAATGAAATTGACCGACCCTCATGACTTGCTTTGTGGGATCGATTGGGAAAGATGGATGTCGTTGCGCGGGTCTTTTGGACTGACAGCGAAGATGGACGCGGCTTCTCGTCTAACCTATGTTGAGCCGAGCGGCTCTCTTGCTCTCTCCAAAGAGAGACCTGAATCAAGTATCTTCTCCGGACCCACGCAAGAACCTCCGTTTTCTGGAACCCTGCGTGGCAAGGTACAGCTTCTAGGTGATTTCATCGACACAGATGGGGTATGCTCAATTAACTACACGTGTTCTTCTGCTATGCTTCATCCTGCTGATGACATCCACAGCTAGCACCGGCTGAATTCTTGATGGACATGAAAACTAATGAGCAAAGTGGTCTACATTGCCTGCAATACATCTATCCGTTGTTCCGTCGACGAGCCCAAGAAGGTTTCAACGTCGTTGTAGCTGGTCAAGCCTTTGGCTGTGGATCGTCGCGCGAACAGGCCGTCATGGCATTGCTTGGTGCGTGGTCCAGTTCCCACATGTACTTTTGCTGATAACGTCTCAAGGCTGCGATGTCAAATGTGTGATCGCGAAATCCTTCGCCTTTATCTTTCAACGGAACATGCCCAACCTCGGCCTGTTGGGCATTACCATGCCTAACGAGTCGTTCTACGCCGCCGCCAAGGATGGCTCAGAGATATTAATTGACCTCCATGCGCACGTCATCCACGTTGATGGACTCCGGTTTGAATTCCAATTAAGTCAGATGGAACAAGAACTGTTCCGCCACGGTGGCATTACTTCTGCCTTTCGAAAATTCGGGAACAGACTCTTCGAGGAGCTCACAGCGGCGAAGAATGTAGGGACAAGTCACAAGGAAGAGAATTGTCATGCACCTAGCGCGCTGCAATGGTAATGATATCATCCTTGGTCTTGGACCATCTCATTCATTAGACAAGTCCATGCCCTAAAGCAGCTAAGATAGTGGCATTGGCACCTGAAAGTGGCACATTCCTTTCCTTTTTCTATTATCGACAGATAGCATCCAAGAGGAGCCAGTCAATGCACTGGGCAATATTCATGATACGACTTTCTCGAGTTTCTCTTGCTAGGTTTCAGTATTGTTCTCCACACTTTTGTGGACCGTCCAAAGTGAGATGTTTCTGTTGTTGTCGGGTATCGGATCGGTCCAGCCAATCAGCAGTCGGCGATGACATGCTCAATAGAAACAATGCATCTGATAAGGATTTGCAGGATATAACGTTGGCATTATTTGACAGAAGTTCCTGGTTCAGGTTAAGTTGCAGTTGTTAAGATCTTTTTCCTAGTATCGACTTAATCCATATGTGGTCAATAAATCGCTTGACCCCGAGAGTCATCAGAATACCCACTCCGACGCTTGTCCCATCCGCTTTCATCAGCAACAGAATGACACATTCCGCCACAGTGACCCTACATGAGGTCAAACATGAACATATACAGACACCGCAGCCCTCTTTCAGGACGCTAGCCATTCCGCAAAATGAAGATGACCCGAAAATCCGCGAGAAATATCGCCCCTTCGTCCTGAATCCACAGCAAGCGGCCGAGGATTGGGCCAATCGCTTGGAACTCGACACCGTGCTGGACATGGCGGAGAAGGATCTCAGGACGACTCAGAAACGCATCAAGGTTTTAGTTTTGTACGGTTCGTTGCGGAAGAGGTATGGATCTGTTAACACGCAGTAATCCTGCCAAGCATCCGAGGCTAACATTGTTGACAGATCGTACTCGAAGCTCGTAGCCTTTGAGGCCAGTCGAATCCTCTTCCGCCTCGGCTGTGATGTCCGAATTTTTAATCCAGAGGGCCTACCGGTCAAGGACGACGTCCAACATACGCACCCCAAGGTCCAAGAGCTGCGCGAGTTGAGCACATGGAGCGACGGTCATCTGTGGGTGACCCCCGAGCAACACGGCAACCTGGTAAGTTCCTCACCATCCAAAGTCTTCCAGAGCACTACTGATCCTTTCCAGACTGCCGTCTTCAAGAACCAGATCGACTGGATCCCGCTGTCGACCGGTAGCATTCGACCCACTCAGGGTCGTACCCTGGCCATCGCTCAAGTATGCGGAGGATCCCAATCGTTCAACGCCGTCAACTCGCTTCGAATCCTGGGGCGGTGGATGCGCATGTTTGTGATCCCGAATCAAAGCTCAATACCGAAGGCATACACGCATTTCCCGGATGCCGGTCAACCGGGAGACTATCATCTAATGCCAAGCGGTAACCGGGATCGTTTGGTCGATTGCATGGAAGAGTTTGTAAAGTACACGATCTTGATGCGGCCTCACTTTGATCTCTTTGCGGACCGGTATAGTGAACGCGAAGAAAGGCGGCTGAAACAAGCGGCGCAGGCGGCAAAAGCCGGACCGGTTGCCTAGAAGGAGATTAAGGTACGGCCGCGCTGAACATGTATATAGACATAGACCTTGGACTGATGCCCGCGATATCACTGATATGTCCGAGCGGCAGCCAAACGAATGTGGTCTAAGGAAAATTAAGCCAGCAGCCCCGACACAGAAAGCAGCAACACGCTGACTGGCGCAAAGTCTCTCCACACTTATTCATCAGGATGGCTGCCATAGGATACTCTGTAGTCAGGAAGGCGAGAGACCATGAGCAAGGAGAGCGTCACAGAGAACAAGACCAGCAGAATGGAGACTTTTGTTTACAATGCCGCCGCAGGCACTGTCACCTTCATCCTGTACCTCAACCTTATACTCGTGGACACTGCCCTATGGAAGTAACTGAGCTTGGATATATCAACTTAAATTAATACATGATCAATTAATGAGATCAGAAGTGCTGGTATCTCTTGCAAAACATGCATAGACAAATCAAAGTAGAATCATCAGTCGTCAAATATCGCTCCCGCATTCCTGCAATCACGACCGCTGTTCTTTGCTGGACGAGCCTGTAAACCAGTTTCCAGCACTCTGAAATCCTCCAGAAATGGAATTTCCCACCGTCTGTGCCCCAGAAGTGACACTCTGACCAGCACCCTTGGCCCGGTCCACCACGGGGTCTGTGACGCCGCCGAGCGGACCGCCATATGAGCCATTCTCGTCTTTACCGTTTCTCTCGGCGCGATTGATCCCTTCTTTGGAGATCATGTTACCGACAGGGGCAAGGAATCCGTTCTCGCCGAGCTGGTTGCCGACCAGATTGTTGACGTCGTCTTGCACCTGGTCGACCTGTTTGATGCCGGTGACTTTGGACTTGGAGAGGGTATCTAGCCGGGCTCATGTTAGTCTATGAGATTCTCAAGGACATTTATCCAATATAGATGAGAAAGGGACACTTCTTACCTTTCGTGACGTATGAAGCCTTGTTGTCGCCCTTGCCGAACCATTTCAGGTACTGCTCCTCGAGCCACGGCATCCACTTTTCATATTGGTCATTGTATGCCTCTTTAACCCATTCGCTAAAAGTCTGCTTCTTCTTCTGGTCTTCAGTGAGGTTGTCATAAAAGTGTCGCTTTTGCTCATCCGTATGGGTTTCAGCACCGGTCTTTTGGTTGGGATTGTCCATGTTGTTGCTGTATTCGACGGAAATATGGGTTTCTGTGTCAGTGGCAAGCTTGACGCTAAGAGGAAGTTTGCTTGAAAACAGATATTATCATAGGACTAAGATCGCGATAGCCTTCTATATAATGCTGGTTGGGTATGGCTGTCCGCCACATGGTGGGCCAGCACCATGACGTGTGTGGATCTCCATTAGATCAATCACTGCTCGACCCTTGCTGGATGCGTACTGGCAAAGTCAAAGCTCATTTCCTTAGCATCAAGGATGACATCTTGGTTGGATCTCTAGCGTTGGCACTTCTGGATGGCCATTCGACGTGATGATCCACGCGGGCCCTGACGTCATTGCGCCGTGTCTGGTGAATCTCTTGAAATGACAACATTCGATGATATGATATCCATATACACCGGGGCTGATTCCCATTGAAATTAGATCGGTTTATATTACAATGCTTTATATTGATGTCATGTCGTGCTTGGCATTGTTGTAGCATTATCGTAGTCGAATAATGCAGATGCAAGCGCAACTGTCAGATGGCTAGCCCTTTGCGCTGTTGGTAAAGTTCACTTGCATGTCGATCAGAACTTTCTTTCGTTGATCAAGATCTCAGGCTCCAAGGCTAATCAATCGTTGATTTAATTCGATTGCTGTCTCCTTTAGACCAGTCTCAAGAAACCGTTTTCATACTCTCGGGGAGGTCGCTGGTTCTCTTCCCCAGAGCATTCCTCCCGAGGGCAGCAGTGTTCTCAGTGGCATGAATGAAGCGCGTGGGCAAGGAAGAAGAATTATATTATGCTACAGCCCTCGCTATCTTGGTAACGATTATAACCCTTTGAATGAGCCGGAACCTAGCCTGTTCGCGCTAGAATGGGAGATTTATTGACTGGACATCTGCTACACATGAGGCCATTTCAGAAGACTTTGATCTCAGAAGACTTTTAGCTCTTTCCCAAACCGATTGCTCCAGAAATGACAGGCTTAGGACCTGACCACTTCAGAGAGTACCGACTGGGGATGGATATGGGCAGCCTCGCCATTTCAGCCTTGCCAGGGGTACTGAGTTTATTTTATGAGCCTCGTGTAGTTGCCTCTAGCTCAGCCTATCATTGACCACTCTTTGCCAAAATATACAGGGCTGCTCCACCTTTACGAGGTCGACAGATCGTGCCGCCTTTGCGCCAATCGCTTTGCGGGATGCATCATCTCGAGATATAAATACCCCGGAATACGAACAGTGGAGATTACGGATGTGTCTGCCAAGACAGCATTATTGCCTCTTTAGGCTGCATTCTGCGGCTCTGTCGTGATGCCCACAGCTTCAACACTTACATGTGCTTTATTGGGAGACAAATTATCACCGTATATAAGACTTCCTCCGGAACCCATCATGATAGGAGCAGAACATCACTCCTCTCATCTTCACTACCACTTGTTTCATTCCAACCTTACTCATAATGAGATTCCTTCCTTGGGCTGCTGCCATTCTCTCAGCTGTGTGCGTTCAGGCAAATGAATGGCACGCCTACTACCGGCTGACCTCCGATGCATATCAAGCCAAGTTCAACGACCTTGTGGGCCAAGGCTACCGCTTGAATTCCGTCAGCGGTTACGAACGCAACGGCCAGCCTAACTTCGCCGTTATTTTCGAGAAGAAGCCTTCTACGGCCTGGAGATCTCACCATGGCATGACTTCTGCCGCTTACCAAAAGAAATTCGACGAGTATCTCAGCCAGGGATACCGTGTCGTGCAGGTCAATGGCTACACTGTCGGCGACAACGCGTACTACGCTGCGATTTGGGACAAGTCGCCTTCCGCCGGCTGGGTTACCCGTCATGGAATGACAGTCGAATCGATGCAGAGATATTTCGGCGAGTACCTGAAACAGGGCTACAAGCTCACTCATATCAGTGGCTACGAGCTCAAGGGCGAGGAGCGCTTTGCTGCCATCTGGGAGAAGAAGAACGATAATGTCGCCTGGTTCTCCTATGCGAACATGACCTCTGCCGAATACCAGTCGCGCTTTGACAAATATGTCAAGGACGGATATCGCCTGACCGACGTTGATGGATATCAGGTAGACGACCACGTTTACTATGCGGCCATCTGGGACAAGTCGGCTTCTGGTGCCTGGGTTGCCAGACATGGATTGAATTCACCAAGCTTCCAGGCGGCATTTGACAAGTATAAGAAGGAGGGCTATGTTCTACGCGCTTTCAGTGGGTACAATTCTGGAAAGGAGGATCGCTACGCTGGTCTTTGGATAAAACCATAGGTTGCATTTAGTCTTTAAACTTGTAATATAGGATAAATCTTCAAGGTGCACCATTACTAGGATATACCTTCGAATACATCAAAATCATGAGTTGAAAGTGGTCACATACACAGTCCGGTGTTTAGAAATATATATCGATGGTTTAGTGGCCGAATCGGCCATACTTATTTTGAATGCTGATAAAACTATTTATATCCTAACTTCGCAATGCAAGCATGATCGTATAATTTAATGCTTGATTAGAATAATTCAATATGGAATTGTGTATTTACAGCACACTCTGCCATTTGTACAGGTATTCTTGAGGGCCGCCAAGTGTGGCATGATAGCATGTATACCTCGCGCCAGCGCTCTGCTACATAAGCTTTAGCAAAGCCCATTATCTCAACAATTGCCTCTATGGTGTAGTTGGTTATCACGCAGGTCTCATATCACATGACTCTTCTGTCAACAGAAGGGATGTTCCTGAAATCCTGAGGTCTCCAGTTCGATCCTGGATGGAGGCAATTCTTTTTTCTTTTTGCTCTCATCTCCGCCCACCTCCTCTCTGTGCAATCATCCTCATCAGTTTTCTCAGCATTCTAACGATAATGTATATATAAAAAGATCGGCATGAATTATTGACTGTCTGTAGGCAAGATCTAGATGTCGGTGATAATTAGCAACCTGCGTAGACAAACAATCAATCCGGTCTGGAATCATGACCGGACAGTTGGTCTTCATTCCACTCTCCACAGACACTACTTGATCTGTTCACAGGCCACAAGTGCAAGCTGATCATGGAATCTCCTTCTTATACGCCAAGATGTATCTCTGGTTCTGCCATTCTGTCACAGTGTACCACTCCTTCTTCGCCTCATTGTAGCTCAGATCCTCATTACCGGGAGGGAAGTAGCTCGATCCGATGGCTGCCTCTCCAGGGGTCCATGTGAATAGATCACCTCCATTGTTCTGACCATTGCTTCTTCCCAGATAGAAAGTGTCATTCCGGGAGAATCCGCCCTGCATGCGAAGAATATTGACGCAGTATGCCCAGGATGCGGTTGCTACTGTCGAGCCGGTCTTGCGCAGCCGGCGTGTCGTATAGTCCAGGGGATATTTGACCAGGCGGATGGGAGTTGAAGCGTCATCGGTCTGGTACTCGCCGATCAGCAGAGTGTCGGGCGAGTCAAGACGATCAAGAGCGACCCAGGAATGCCGGAATTTGGAGTCTGGCTGGAGCTCAGTCCAATTGTAGACCCTATCACCGTCATTAGCATCTTCCACCTGGGATATATATACAATGGAGAAACGGAAACTCACCTCGTCTGAGGAAGGACATAGGCGTAATCGGCTGCCGAGTAGCCGCCTCCAGCCATCTTACCGATCCCATCGCCACTCTCGACCTTCCATATGTTGTCCATGTCGAACACCCGCAGGCCATGGTTGGTATCGACCACGTACAGGGCATTGCCGTACCAAGCAATGCCACCCGCATGGATCGGCACTGACTTGAAGTTATCGGCAGCGCTTGGTTCCACCAGCATTACGTGCCGGTACTTGTGCGTCGCGCGGTCCACAAAGCTCACGCGAACATTGGCATCGCCTTCCTTTTGGTACCAGCTGGCAAGCCAGACGTCCTTGCCCTCGTATGTCCCGACGGCCAGCGCATCACCGGAGCTAGTCATTCCTTGTGGAATCCACTTGGTGGTGGACTCGTCGCCGGAATTCCAGAGCCACCGCTCCGACATTGGGAAGGCGGCTGTGACCTTTTGCAGGTCCCGGTTCGCATCCGCGAGAACCTGGCTGACCGTAACCTTCTTGCCGGCATCGGTGAAGATCTTGGACAGCGCCGGGAGGAACTTGTTGTCCGTCTCATTAAGGGTAAAATATGACGGGTTCAGTACTTTGGTATCGCCAGTACATGCCCGTGGATCTGCGTAGACCGAAGTAAGGAGAAGCAGGGGCAGGGAGACGGAGACGGAGCTGAAAAGTTTCATCCTGGCGACTCTGCAGGATGTGAGTGGCAGTCAGGACGCAAATATTCCTCTAATATCCCCTCCTGTGGCCTTCTTGTCGAGCAGCGATATTTATTCCATGCGGCTTGTGATGATTGGCATGGCCTCTTCTGCAGCTCATCAACTTATACGAGGCTTGGCAGGCGCACAGGTCAATAGGAAGGGCAAGTTTTATGATGTGGAGAAATCAGGGGTATTGAAAGACAGGAATGATCAAATACCGAGCCCTTTTACGAATTTTCTACGCATCTGAATGGTGGAGCGGTATGATCGCTGCGTCTCGCCCCCGCAGCCGAAGGAAATGAATCTCGTATTTCGTGCGAAAGAATGGCTTCAGGTTTAAGATCATGGAATGACGAAGCTCAAATGGGGTACATAGCACTGTTCTCGATACCGTGGGACCCCAAGGAGACTGGAATATCGAACAGTTCCTACGGAGTACAAAGTATGATATGAGGCTTCGGACGGTCTTAATTGACAATGATACCTAAGGCATCAAGGGACCTCTCAACTCCGAAAATTCAGGCAACCAATCTAATCATGTGATGAATGAGTCAGACAGCCGAGGAGGTGTATCGCAACAGTCTGAAAGCGTACAAAAGTCAGACCACAAGTATACCACTCTGACTATGACTTAGAGAGGACATATCCGTCTTGCCATGACGCACCAGGCGCAAGCCACAAATGCGACCGTGTCGAGTGCATTGCCCTCGGGAAACATGCGCCAGCGGTCGCGACAGGCATGCGCGCCCTGCCGCCAACGCAAAAGAAAGTGCGATGGGAGATTCCCATGCTCGGCCTGTACAGGCTATGGATATGACTGCCAGTTCCTGGACGACTCTGTGAAGTCTGTCAAAAGAAACGCAGACTCGGTTTCGTCGTTGCCACTGCCCTCTACGAAGGCTGCTCGTTTGTCAGAGGCGACAGCAAAAAGCCTGGGAGGCAGCTCGGTAATCTCTTCTTCCTCTCATGGCATCCTTGAGCCTTCAAAGCTCAGGTATATGGGTCGACACGCATCAGTTGCGTTTCCCATGACGGTCGGCCTGGAGTTGCAGGCCGCAAATCCCCCGCGCCTGCACTCTTTTGCGTATAACCCTGGAGTTCGCGCAGAGCCCAGCTGTGGTGTCTCTTTTGACTTGACTGCATTTATCTCATGGGATAAAGTCCGAAGTTTGATGGATGTGTACTTATCCACTGTCCATCCCGTGTTTGGACTGCTGGACATGGAGCGGCTGTACCATCGATGCGAGGAGCACTGGCACGGGAAAGCACAAGGCCTCTGCCTGGAGGCGCTAATCAGCGGAGTCATTGCTCTCGGCTCTCTCTTCTCCGGTTTTCTCAGCGAAGAAGAAGAGACGAGGGTCATGCTGCATGCGAAGGAGATCCTGGAAGATGCCTCAGTCAGCCGGACACCCTCCATTGACAAGATCGCCGGGTGGATCTTGCGTACCATCTATGTGCGAGCGACCAGTCGGCCACACTCGGCTTGGATGTGTAGCTGCACCATGATGCATCTTGTTGAAGCTGCTGGCCTCCACCAGCCATTAGATGCGGTCATTCTGACGACCGGAAGTAGTGGCAGAAAGGCTTTGGAGGATATCGCTGAGACACGGGACCGCATTGCCCAGGTAGCTCAGTGTTTGAATATAATCATAGCCTACGACTATGGGCGGTCCGCGGTAGACCTTGGATTGACATGGAAGAGAGACTCGAAGAGCGATGCGCCATCTAATGACCTGACACCTCAGTTGTTCAGTCTGGTCGGAGCTGTCCCACTCGACAACAATGCTGATCCGGCTGCCAGGCGGGATGAGTTGGCCATGGGCCTCGAAAATCTGGTCAAGGTATCGGTTGAGCATGACTTTTTGATATTAGTCAAGGCAGACCTGGCATTTTGTCTCTACCGCCGACTTCGACTTTTAGAGTCTGTAACACCTCAAGCACAGCTCGACCGGGTTATCGAGGTCGGTTGTTCCACATTACCCTCTGCCCGACGACTGGTGGCACAGAATCATCCATGGTGGAATGTCGTTTGTACTGTCTTTCAGTTCATTTGCATTCTTGTCGCCATCGATACAGCCGAGAGTCTGGAAAAGATATCGGAAGCCGTGGAGACCCTGGAAATGATCGCACAGCGATTGAACACACATTTGGCAAATGAAGCGCTTCACACAGCACGTCATCTCATCAACGCATCATTGGATAAGAAGCGAAAGGGCATCTCGATCCTCGAGCGGGTATCGGGAATTTCTGCGCCGACTGACCCTGATCGCTTGGGAGGACAGTGGCTCCCTTCAGATTCATTGCTGGATTCCTTTCCACAAACACCGTCGATTGATATGGACTTTCTTCTCGGTATGGACTTGCTGCTTTGATGACATGCCGTCTTCAAATGCTACCATTCGACTCTGCAGTTGATTCAGCCAAGGTAGACACACTGTTTCACGATGATATGACGCGGAGAATGGCTGTCTACGGAGCGACGGTTCCTACAGAGCTGCGAAAGCTGCATATACAGAATTCCACGTCCAACGTTCTCCGGCATCATTAGAGGCGAAAAAGCCGCCCTCCAGTCGAGCACCGCTGCAAACAGCGCCAGAAGTGCTAAAATGTCTAGCGTTAATAGTGCGCTTGCCGATACTTGTGTGGTTGATGGAACTCTATTGGAGGGGACGATATCCGCCAATCCATGCAGATTGCCCAGTATGCGTAGAGTATGAGCTTCAGCTGCATGACCCATTAAGGAGAGGCGCTCACTGCCACATATGCTGTCGGTATGTTCATATGATACTACGCAAAGGCAGATGAGTAGTACCTAGAATACTGAAGACGATGCGAATAGAGGTTCGCTTCGGAGCGCATATAACATCGCTCATAAATGGAGCTACTGATGAAGCGCAAGTGTTCATATTGTTGCGTCGGCCATTGCCTTTAGATGGGAAGCTGTGTTGAACATTCACTCCAGGTCAATTATCGAACGCATGACAGACTATCGTACAGCTCATCAAACCCGAGAAACATTTCCTAAAACATTTTCTCAAAGACATTCTGATCACTGTCCAATGCGTCCGCTTCCTTGCGCAGCACGTCTGCTCTGAACTTCCGGAATGCGTTCTCGATGCGTTTCCTTCGCTCAGGGTCCTTTGTAATACTGCGACTTCCACTGGCTGCTCCGGCAAAGAAGCCTGTAGAGAAAAACAGGTTAGCGACCATTGCATCTTTTGTATATAAGTATTGCACCAGGCATACCCAGCTCCCCGCCCAAGAAGAGTCCACCAGCGGAAGCAAAGAAATATGTCGCAAAGTCTCCCCATGTTGTCGGCTTCAATAACGGGGTAATATCAGGGATTGCTTCTATTTCTCTGTCAGCAATTGCAATCTTTTCTTCCGCCGAAGAGGACTCTCGCACCAGTTCGACCATCCGCAAACACCACCTGCGTGGGTTTCTCCGCTGCGCGGAATGCCTCGAAAAACGCCTTGCGCGTGCTTCGCAATCGGAACGCGACGTAGAGGCCAAGGCCAATTCCAACTGCCGAGCCGACGGTCGTCCAGAGGGACACTCTGGAGGCGGCGCTTTTCAGCACGTCGCGATCTTCGGGTTGCAGGTCATGTTGCATGTGCTGGTCCGCCAGTCGCGTGAGCTCGTCGCCGCGACGACTGCGGATGGAGAAGGAGGATTCAGGCATGTCGATGGATCGAGGTAGTAGAATGGTTTTAAGATTAATATTTGATAGGAGAGAATTTGCTCGAGAGATGCAGGTTGATTAAATATCAAGGTTTATGGGACTCGACAATTGAAGCTGGTTGCGAGTAATGACGTCAGCGGAGAAGCGCGAATTATAGCATCATCATTTTGACATTGTGTCCCATTCTTCAGTGATTACTAGTTTTGAAATAATCATTGTATAGTTTGACAATCGATCTACCAGCGGGACGTATCAGTCTCAGGCATTGATCATGAAGCTTGAAGTTTCCTGGGAGTACTAGGTAGATAACAACGATATATGTATCATTCCCGTTTAGGTGTATGATAGTAGTGAGTACTGAGTCACCGCATCCTCCTAAGCTCTTGACAATTTCTATGCAAGAGCTAAACTCTTTCATAGAATCGTACGATAACCCTGGTGTCGTCGATTGTGGACACTGCCCAATATGATAGGGTATGCTCATTGTGATGACTCGACTTGTAGCCTACCGCTGCCGCGAGGATGGAGACATAACTGCGGTACAGCCAGCAAAGAAGTGATTCTGGTACTCTAAGGCATCGGCGACAAGAACAGGCTGAATGAGCAGGGGATCACGGCCCTTATAGTCAGATCAGATGTGGCCAGGGCTTGCAGAACCATCTGATGAGCGTTTTGCAGCACTGCTCAAGGCTCACCGCGTCGCAAAGACGTCTTTACTGCTATCTGAGGGTTGGCATCCCGAGACGGAGTAGCCGGAGAAATGTATTTTGAGAGCGTGCTGGTCCTGGAATCTGACCAGAACCCGTCATCCAGCGTTCTTGAGAATCCCGACAAACCTTCCAGTTTCCTCATCTTCAACGTCATGATATGCACTTATGTATTATCCATTCAACCAAAGATTGACACTTGTTTCAGATATGCCACCGCCACAATCTTGGTGGAATCCTGTTGTATCTATCAGACCGCTTTATCGTAATATGCAAGGGATGGTGCGCAGATCTCAGTCATCTCACGTCAGCTCTTCCACTGAAATTTGAAAAACGAGTTTGTCGGTGGCAATCGTGGCATCCCTTGCAAGATCATGTGTTCGCTGTGACAGGTTCCCATGCGGTTAGAGCGCCTGGCACCTTGGGCACCAGCAGATTGTGGCTCTAGTTGTGATCTAATCAAGCGTGATAGATCGGCAGATAGACCATGAGATTCTTAAGCTTTACCGGCGCACGTGCGACAGTATACAGCAAGGGTTGAGCTTCGACATATCTCGTGGCCTGATTGATGACGGAGTTAGTAGATAAACTATGTTGGTGTCACGCCATCCCCTCGTCTTCGGGTGTGGCTGGATCGACATGCAGCAGCAATTTGTCGAGGTCAAGGTTACTCGAAGTTTCAGGTATCCAGGCTGACTCCCTGGAAAATGCCATGGATTCTCGCAAAAGGGAGGATAACCTGCATGTCAGTCGTTTCCTCAGCAGGACCGTCCACAACAGGCTTACGGGTTGACTGCAGCTCAAGGTAAGGGTCACGTTCGACAGTCTTCCAGAAAGCAAGGGAGCATAAGGAGAAAAACTTCCATGAGTCTGCAAGGGAGGGACACGTGTACGTTTGTAGGATTCCTAAGAAAGTTTCCATGGGTCTCTCTGGGTAGGGTTCCTATGCCTACGCTGGACCAACTGGTACACGCATCTTCTAAGGCTGTCAAAACAATCTGTTGTGCTTTTGCCTCAACTGGCAAGAGTTTCTGTTTCATCGACGAAGCTTATGCGCCTTGATTAGTCCTGTAGTGATTGGTTCTCATACATATAGGTGTGTCCGACGACTGTCGGACATGGTCAAAGGGTTATCATCGGAGCCTGGCAGTTCATCATTGCTGAACCAGTGGAAGTGCATTCGGAGTAGCAGAGATGAACCCGCCTCTTTCCGAGAATCGGTCTTTGCTGGTTTCCAGAATGGTCTGTGGACTATATGCACCTCTGCTAAGCATGATGCGGGATTTTTCTGTTGTTGAATAGCACCCGTTGCTCAACCGAAGATTCCCAACAGAGGTGTTTACCCTTTGCTTGGCAATCTGCGATCTGACAATATCAGAGCAATAGTCACGTTTGCTCTAGGGCCCAGACGGCAGTGAGGACAGCAGTGACTCCAAGGTGTCTACTTCAGCACAATCACAACTAGGCTTGTTCTGGATTCCGAGCAGCCACCTTAGGTAACTTCGGATAACTTCCGTTCTGAGTAATCAGCACAACTGTCCCTGAATAACTCGCGCAATGAATATGCTTTACGCTCACGTCTCCAAGGATCGTCTCTGCAGCATCGCAACTTCAGCTTTCGACCCGATATTGTTTATAAAAATGGCTCATAACGGAGTCGTGAACGCGGGGTCTAATGTCCACCTCTCCGCATGGAGATCCTGAGGCTTCCCCAACAATATGGAGCAAAAGAGAGAGCGATATCCACAGTATGAACTGTATTAATAATGGAATCCCAAATAAACAGGCAACTCGTGTAGGATACCCTCGTCGAGATGAGGTGCAGCCGCGACATCCTCAACATATTACTGGGAAACCGATCCTGGCCCTGCGGTTGCCGGATCGGGACTAGTCTGAGACATTTTCATGACGCAAGCATTTTATGCAGTCAGCCAAAGCCTCAGCCGGTGACTCCCAAACGCATCGAGGATAGGATACAGAAGATGTCTCAGAGAAGAATAAGTCTATGTCTGATTCAGGGGGGTTCAGATGTACTCCGTATACTCCGCAATCAACTGACAGTAGTACACAGTATGGAGTACTCCGTACACAGGAGCACGCCTGGGACTGAGAGGGAGGAAATAATAATTTCGGCATCCAGGGACAAGGCAACCCGACACTAACCTGAAATAGCCTAGCCTCTTGGCGGAATTGACTTTTTTCCGGTTCCTGAAGTCGAACCTGTCGAACATGTCGAACATTCTTATTCGCCCTACTCCGTAAATCCGACGCAGCCGGTCGCACCGCTACATGCTTATCTTATCTCACCTGACCACACTAGACCAAGTTCGGCCCTGACTGCGCTGTGGGTGGCGGAAATTCCCTGCCAATTTCTGCCAATTGCTGCCTTGTCGTGTCTTGTCTGGCTTGTCCTGTTGCTTGCCGTGATGCCAGTTGCCCTTAAGATCGGATTTGGGCGGCGCCACCGTCGATCGTCCGCAGAGTTTTATTCATGTCAGTCAAGGTATCAAAGGCTTCTTCTATCATATCCCTTGCTTTCATTCTACACGTGTCGCTTCTCCAGAACTGTTCCAGGACCCCCGCAATGGCCATTGAACGATTTCCGGGGACTTTTCGCGGGGATCTGGGCTCATCGACATGACTATTTCCCTTTGGTGATATCTATTACCAAATGCAATCACTTTGGTGCTATCTCGACTCCACGTCACAATGGGTCCACGCAGCCGTGTCGTTTCACAGAGTGTCATTGACTGCCAGCAGTCTAACCTGTTTGTGGCAAAGTGTCCACCCTTCGTCTGCCGGTCATTTGCTGGATGATGCCAAATGCAGTAACCTGGTACGCATAGTGGATCGTCGCACACCAGCGCCACAGAATCTAATTAATAAAAGAAATTCCCTGCTATCGCTCGTGCCCTTGGAGAAAAAGGTCTCCAAGTCTGGCTTATGCAGCCCATACGCAGTGCTCTGTAATCCCATAGTAGTCCAATCATGCCACTGTATTTATTCTAATCGGCCTCTTTTCCCTCCTTCTCCCACCCCCCGTCTCTGCCTCACTTTTCCGCTCCACACCCATTCCCGCCCCTTCGGCCAGTTTATAAAGCACACAGCTGGCTTGTTCACTTTTCTCTCCCTCTGCTCTTCGCTCTCACGACTCGAGGAAGACGGTTCGATCTTGGGGCTCAGTCCACCTTTCTTCTCCCTTTCTCTCCCACCGTCTGCAACCTCACCCTCCCCTTCAACATGGGGTCCTCAGTCGACATTTCTGACTACTCTGATACCGGCAAGGCCGTGGGAGCCGACAATGAGAAGGGCGAGAAATTCCTTGCTCCTCCCCAGTACGATGGAGACATGATTGGGGAGATGAGCGAGGCAGAGAGACACATCTATGAGCACGGTGTGAAGAAATTCAGCCGTCTCGGATGGAAGCGTCTCACCGTCGTGCTCATCGTGGAGGCCATTGCGCTTGGTAGTCTGTCGATCCCCTCCTCCTTCGCGACTCTGGGTATGGTGGCTGGTGTCATCTGCTGTGTTGGTCTGGGATTTGTCGCCATCTACACCAGTTATGTGGTCGGTCAGGTCAAGCTCAAGTTCCCTCAAGTCGCCCACTATCCCGATGCGGGACGGCTCATGTTCGGCCGCTTCGGCTACGAACTGATCAATGTCATGCTCATCCTCCAACTCACCTTCCTGACCGGCTCACACTGTCTGACCGGCACTATTGCCTTTACCAACATCACCGAGAGTTCCATCTGCTCCGTCGTGTTCGGCGTTGTGTCTGCCATCATCCTGCTGCTGGTCGCCGTCCCTCCTAGTTTTGCCGAAATGGCTATTCTGGGCTACGTCGACTTTGTGTCGATTATTGCCGCCATTGGGATCACCATCATTGGCACTGGCATCAAGAGCGGCAATGCACCGGGTGGTCTGTCCGGAGTGGAGTGGTCAGCCTGGCCCAAGGAAGGGATCACCTTCACTGATGCCTTCATCGCCATCACCAACATCGTTTTCGCCTACAGTTTCGCCATGTGCCAGTTTTCCTTTATGGACGAGATGCATACCCCCAAGGACTTTGTCAAGTCGATCTGGGCGCTGGGTCTGGTGGAAATCTTCATCTACACTCTCACTGGTGCATTGATCTACGCTTTTGTTGGCATGGACGTGCAGAGCCCTGCGCTGCTATCTGCCGGACACACTCTCAGCCGGGTGGCTTTCGGTATCGCCCTGCCTGTCATCTTCATCAGTGGCTCCATCAACACCGTCGTCTGTGGCCGTCTGATCCATGGACGCATCTTCAAGAACTCCCACATCCGCTTCATCAACACCCCCACTGGCTGGGCCACCTGGCTCGGTCTGATCACCGTCATCACCGTCGTCGCATTCATCATCGCTGAGGTGATTCCTTTCTTCTCCGACCTGCTGTCCATCTCCTCTGCCCTCTTCATCTCAGGCTTCACCTTCTACTTCCCTGCGCTGATGTGGTTCCTTCTCATCCGTGAGGGCAAGTGGAATGAGCCTAAGAACTTGGCCCTTGGTGCCTTGAACGTCCTCGTCTTGATTATTGGTCTCGTCACCCTGGTCGGTGGTACCTACTCCAGTATCGATGACATTGTAAGCATCCTCCCGAGCTGTCATTTTCCATCAATCACTAACGTCGACACTAGATCATCAACTACAGGGAGGGCAAGGTTAGAGGTGTTTTCGCCTGCCACATGGTCTAAACTTCGAATCACCAACAGCTACGGCTGAAACTGCGCTGGTTGTATCATATATGAACGGCTTAAGACTTGTCGCCGATATACCACATTTCTCTTCCCAGTTTATGATTAGACGAGCCACCGGCTGGCTCAACATAGATGATGTGCATGTACATACTGCGTTTATTTCGATATCTGAGCAAGCGAATCATAAATTTATTCTACTCTGACCTTTCAGGATCTCACACATTAGTGACTACAACCGATAGGCGATCCAATGTCTGGTAAGTGGTAGAAAATTTTGACAGCGCCTAGACTAATCTCCCTCCTGATTTCTGTCACCAACCTTAATTATGTTGCAAGGAACCACGGTTAAGCTTCGGTCCTGAATATTCTAGAAAACCTTTACAAACCATCGCTGAATGGTGCCAAGTACTTAGCTGGTGGATCAAACTGATAAACCCAAATACACCAAAGTCCGAACCGCTGAAATGCCTTCAAATTTGCCATCGGGCATCGGCCGGAGACACTCGGGAAATCCCGGGTGATTGTCTTGTCTGCTGAGGATCTGCTCAGTATTCCTTCACCGGAGTCCAATTCAGGGTGGTTCTCGTATTCTTGGTCTACTATTATCATTTGCTTCGGATGATTTTCAGCTGTCAAGATGTACATTCTGGATTGCAGTATTGTTGATCAACACTGCTCCGAATCTTACGATTATGTGGCACAATGACTTAGCAATAATATCTATCGTCTTTGCTAATGATGAAGGCCCATGTAAGGATCCACTGTTCCACTTGCCCTACACTGTGGTCCTCTAGTCCGTACCTTAATATTCCCACTCTTATCTTTCGCCGTCTGTTCATTGAAAGTGCCCTATTGGCCAGTCATGTTGGATGACAATATTCTCGAAGTAAAATGATCTCATTGTCCTACTCCCGCTCTTGATTAAACAGCCTGTCCATGCTGATCCTCACACATAGAGAGGTATGGCTTCATGTCATACTTGCGTCGATATGCCTCATCCACATGCACCAGGAAGTAGGTTCCTGGGGCAAGGCTCTCGACACTTCCCTCGAGAGTGTAGTTCCTCTGCTGATATGCCTTTTCGCGGAGTTTACACATCTACCATACCTTAGTCAGCCGATGATCAGAACATCCATATAAAACAACTCACCTGATCATAGAACTCAGGCGATACTGCCGTTCGAGCACTCAGCCGATCATGCAAGCCAATCTTCCGAGCTATCTCGGTCGTGTCGCCCTTGACACGGAAGCTGAACAATGTGCTAGCCAGACCGCTCCCGTAGCTGAACATCCCGATGCGCTTGTCCTGCAGTCGGTCGCTGGGGACATTGCTGATCAGGCTGATGAGACCCGCATACACGCTGGCGGTGTACATGTTGCCGCAGTTCGTCGGGACGGTCAATGACGGCTCGACGCGCTTGACGAATCTCTCCTTGGTGAGACTGACACACAGCTTCTCTAGGCCCTTGTCTGTCAGCGAAGCGGCGAAGTCGGCCTCTTGGACTTGTGCCGGAACCTCGTCAAACGATCCGGGCTCTAGTTTGAAGTCGTTGAACAGCAACCGGCCATACCCCTTGGCCACCAGCCTGCAGTTTGGCGCGTGGAAAGCGAAATAGTCAAACGTGTCCAGGAAACTGGCCTTGTGACCATTGCTAATGGCTGTCCCATTCGTCTTTGCCTCTTGCCGTGCGCGCTGCTTGGCCTGATACCGCTGGTAGCATGCATCCAGTGCACCCAGGTAGCAGGTGTTGGAAAACTGCCCGTCGACCAGCGGGTACTCGGATTTGAAATCCGCCTTGTAGAAGTCATAAACGTGCTTCATGCAGGAACCCCGGACCGGCTCCAGCACCAGAGGGGCATCCGGACCGATGAGCATGGCCACGCAGCCGGCACCACCGGTGGGACGCGCCGCTGGCGTTTCATACAGGGCGATATCCCCCGCTACGACGATGGCGTCGCGGCCGTCCCAGGATGAAGACTCGATCCAGTTCACTGCGTTGAGCAGGGCGTTGGTCCCGCCGTAGCAGGCGTTGTATGTGTCGACGCCCTCGATATCAGTGTTGTCGCCGAACAGCTGCATCAGCACCGTTTTGCAGGACTTGGCCTTATCCAGCAGAGTCTCGGTTCCGACTTCGAGACGGCCGATGGTGTTGGGGTCGATCGAGTACTTGCGCAGAAGGGAGGATACGGCGGTCAGGGCAAGAGAGTAGAGGTCTAAGCTGTCAGTGTTGATGCTTCTTCCATCGGATGGGTTGCTCACCTTCACGGTCATCGCAAAAGCTCATGTTCTGTTGACCGAGTCCGATGGTGTATTTCCCTGCACTGGCTCCCAGAAATGTCTCTAGCTCGGTCTGGGGGACATACTGCACTTCTGTTAGCCAAGGTTCTTAGTAACTGCAACAGGAGAAGCACTGGCGAACCTACTCGACTAGGGAAATAGATCTCCAGGGCTTTGATGCCTATGTTCTGAGCAGAGGAAGGCATGGTTGGTCGAAAGAATGTCACTCTTGACTCAATATTGACTGATGAAATTGGGCGCAGGAACTCGATTATCAGGTAATGGAGAGCAGCTTGAGGACGCAGACCGCTTATTTATTACATTTCATGACATCTATAACGAGGGAGCTGAGGGGTCAACTGCAGGCAGCTGTGATGGGTCCTACAGTGTACATTGGAGCATCATCTGCACCTGTTGCTGTTCCTTTCCACCGAGACTAGGCCTCCCCCTGCCTCTTGGGCTGGAATGTTGCGTTACAAGTAGATGGATAAGTTAATTTTATTGGACATTGGATGACACTTCGATCTGGTGTCTGTTGTGGTGATGGCATCTCACGCCTGTTGTATGCACAATGCTGTCCTGTATCTACCAACTGTCTGAGCACATTAAGATTATACTTCCCCTCAGTCAAAAGAAAGGACTCAGGTATAGCTATTTCACAAAGATGCAACCGTAACTGGATTATTTGGGTGCAGATTTCCCTAGATATCCATCCATAGAATACTTGTCGCGGCTGAAATATAGTGACGTGGATCGTCCAGGAACACCCTTGCAGTTTTCTTCTTTTAGGTTCCCATGACATCATGCCCATATGAATCTAAGGAGACTCTTGATATCTTGCTCGAAAGAGGTGTACTCCATTCGCTGAAGTAATAACAGTAGATTCATGTCTACCTCCCTTGGCTAGTGTCTGGTCACCACCTGAAAAGATCGGGTTACTCACCAAACAGGCAGAGTTCAATAGATTTGCGCTATGTGACCGGTCCATCTTCATGATGCACTTCAGAGCTCGTAGAAATCAGACTGGATCCAATGATGCCTCGATGCCCGTCATATCCGAGATTCGAATCGCAGAGCACAGCATGACCCCCCCGAGCGTCGTCCTTGGCCGGCGAAACGGCCGGCTCAAGTAAATTGTGCGTTCGCCAGTAATTACCTTTTGGGATGGGTTGTGTATTGCTTTTCCAAGTCTGCAGCATACTTGCGTCGTTGATAATGTAGTTCTGTCCGTCGTATCTGATGTGCGCAGGCAGCATATCATTGACATTTGGAGGCATCGCTTTTCCGTAGCAGTCTCTAACCTTCAGCTCCAGGTCGGCCATAAGATTGACTCGAGGGGAGCTCAATGTCAACACTCTTCGGGTTGTCCCTATTAACGCTGAATATGTCTTAGACACATTGACGATCATTGTTGTCCATGGTCTTATCTTATATCGGAGAATGCCAATAACTCTACTGCTCACAGATGAGAATCGGAGATCTCCTTTATAGTTCATGTCCATTACCTCTTATATCGGTAACTCCCATATAATCTTCACACAAGAGATCGAATTCACTTGCTGCAGTAACATCCACGTGACATGAGTATAGAAATATATAAACCATCTTCATCGACCTGCTTCCTTCTCTTCTCTTCCCTCTATCTTACTGAGACATACAGCAGCAAAATGTCTTTCTTGACAGACGCGGCTGCCATGATCTCATCTCCTCCCGTTCGTCAGGATGCGGACAGACGCGAAGCACCTTCATTCTCATTCAATGTGCTTCCATTGGAGTGCCGACAACAGATTCTATGCGACCTTCCAGACACTGAATCGCTCAAATCCGCCATACTAAGCCATTCTTCTTTGTACTCGGCCTTTTACAATCACAAGACTCCGATCATATTGCAAATTATCCAACGTCACATACCCAGAGACCTACTCGCATACGCTGTCCTGTGTTCCCATGCACGGAATATCGAACCATGGACGAGGGCAAAGGTTCTAGATATACTGGACCTGTACTTCAACCGTCGCCTGGTCGAGTCATTCAAATGGACTATTCGAGCAGCTCTGGATCTGGTGAAATTCCACGAAAGCGTGGCCTTTTTCGCAGACGACTACATCGACAACGCCCTGGGTCTCGTGGCACCCTTAAACTTTCCAATCCACGCACCCTCCGAGACTGAATGGTGCCGTGTCGCTCGGGTATTCTACCTACAGGAGACGATCGGCCATCTCTTCTGCTTTCGAAACCGAGGAGAGCGCTGGATTACTGGCGGCATCAACTACGCACGTCCATCCCCGTCCGAATTCCAGCATCGGGAAAAGTTTGACATATTCTTCGGCAAGCACGCGCCCTGGGAGATGGAACAAATCGGCGCGGTTAATGAGTACTTGTACTGGAGAATCTCACCAGGTATGTCTATCCCCTGCTACGTTTCTGTTTTTGTTTAGGTCCATCTCCCCGCTGACTTTCACCGTGACATCTAGCCTTTAACAACATCGCAGCACACGACGTCGAGTTGGGTTACTATACCGTCTATTTCTCCGACAACGAGACATGGGAAGCTTTCATGGGAAGCCAACACAAGAGGGGATTTGTAAGTAAGCTCTCAGTCCCATATTCTGACATATTGCTAACTTTTAACTAGCTGCTGAAAGGATTGACGGCCCTTCATCGATTTGTCATAAGAGCCAACCACCACAGCCGCATCGAGCTTATCTCAGTTCGAAACTCCCGCTGCTCGAACTGGCTCCTAGTAAATGAACTGGAATTCTTGCAGAGATTCGCCGTGGGCCCCCTTGGAGCTATGTTCTACAGAGACCTCACAGCTGAGCAAATTGACGAGGTTGTGAGAAAGCCGTTTGCATACGAGAGCGACTGTGGCCCCCAGCAAGCATGGCAATGGGCCCACAACGATGCTCGGTGCTATCAAATCATTTGCGACAAGGAGCATCGTGAGCTCCGACGGTTTGGGTATGTCATGTGGGACAGCCAGCGTCTCGAAAAGTGGAGAGATCTGGGAGGTCCTTTCCAGGTACCGCAGCAAGACGACGATATTCGGGCGGGCAGACGCTGGATGGCTATGTGGCCGTTGATCGAAAAAAGGCGAAAGATGTACGAACATGGGGCGCGGGGTTGGTGGGACGGGGAAAATGGGGAAGAAATAAGATGGATTCATGGGGAGAAATTACCAGAGACCCAGCGGAGATTGTTGCAGTAGCTGAAATTGATTACTACGGGCGTCATCAATGGAATCTCAATTTTGTATTTTGAGGTCACAAGTGATGTGTTAAGCATAATGTTGGTACTTCTGAAATTAATGACAGCTGTGATGCCCCTTTGCAGACTGTGCCCGTTCGCTATACTGCGACCAAGCTAGTAGACAGGCACAAATAATTGCTCGTCGTAGGTTGCTCCTGTTGAGGCCTTGACGACTGATGCTCCACGCCAGGGTCAAGACGGAGACAGCCAAGAAGAGAGGACGAAGTTTTTGAATGCCTGCTGCGGTCACTGAACCCGCAAAGACAAAATCTAAAACTGTCTGTATAGCAGTTAGTAGTGCATATTGAATAGTTATAGTTATGTCATGGAACGCACTGGTAACCAGCAGCATGAACAGGATAGCAGCGCTGATCCTTCCGGGACAACCGCTGACATCCGTTGAAGGGCACGGGTAGTGACACCCTGGTTCGTGGAGTCGGACTGTGAGGGTTTCTCGCAGGAATGACAGTCGTTGCACGACATTTTGATCTTTGATGCGATTGAATGTCGACTGACTCAAAATCCTGCTGGAATTGACGTTGTGTTCTTATAATGTCGCCAGGCTGTTATTTCCGCTAGGGCGGAGTTTGATATTGTCAGCCAGCTTGGCTGCCGAATCTAGTAAAGGATTTACGGAACTCTCTGGAATTCTGATTCGACCAATCAGATCACGAGAAATAGATCATATTGCGATTCAACTCGCCCATTTAATTTCAATTCGCTGGAATCTATCTTTCCTGTCTATAAATTCTAGTATTAGATCGTAGATTAGAAGAATCAGACCTTCTTCCCTTGATATTCCGTGTATATGCGTTCACCATACAAACGTTATTATCTCGGATTGGCTAACAGATATCCAGCGCCAGTGAATTTCCAAATCGGGTTAAACAACGCGATAATCCCTCATACTACGGACGGAGTAGATACTGATATTTGATAATTTAATGATGATAAATGACTTGATAGAGAGCATCCTTTAGATAATCTGACCGACATGCTTAAGACGGGGTTCGCTCATATATAAGTGTCTCCTGCCTAGACATTCCTCCATCCCTTTCTTAGCTAACCCTTGATACTAAGCTCCCTGCTCTTATCCCCTTGCTAACTTTCTGGAATTTGTATACAATTTCTCTCCTCTTCTCCAGACCGCATTTAGCAACATCGTGTCCTCCACCAAATCCTCGCTATCCACCGCTGTCATGTTCGCATCTCCAGAGTTGTTCAGCTCAGTGTTGACATACAGTGGGAGGAAAGTGCATCTCCAGAGATTTGAGTAGCGCATTGAGCTGATCGTAGAGACACCGTCTATTATTGCGGCCGTAGTGGGAGTCATCCTCATGCGATCTTGGAGACTCGCCTTGGGCATGCATTTATTCCCCTCTGTCAGGCTGATGTCGTGCAGTTTACAGGTGCACACTACCGAAAGCACTTGTCTTGAAATCATAATTGAACAACATGAATTTGATACAAATACACTATAGTACAGACAGACATCATAACTCGGGTATCTCATCATAACTCATATGCAAAGTCCTTAATAATAAGCACGACGGTGATGGGTTCCACGTCCATCAGTGCCATGCATGCGGCGAGTGCCAGCGGCCTATAACACCAGTCAGCTTATCCTTTTACATAATCGACAGCACAATCATACCTTTACTGCTGGTCGATGTGTTAAAGCGCCTTTTAATCTCAGCATCGCTCCGGACACCTTGTCTCCCAGTGTGACCTTTCGACGGTGGTGATGTACGGGAGCAGTGGCCCTGGTACGACCGTAGGCGCCGTTATGGCGCGTCGTGGTCGTCTTCGTCTTGACGGTCCGAGTGCGGGCATTAGGACCACGAAGACGAGTCAATAGACTGGGCTTGGAGGTACGAGTGGTGGTCGTGGTGGGACGGTGACGACGGAACATTGTGATAGTGGTTGGTTGTACTTCTGGTAGATCTTCGATGGAATGGTTTGTACAAGTATTTGGATCAGATGGCACAGCTTGAGATGGATGATAGTGAATGGTAATCTTTATCTCCAGCTTGATGTAGTTTTTATAGCATCTTCTATCCTTTTTGAGACATCATAGTGGTGACACACAACGTATGCCAAGGGATCTACATCTTCGAGCAGGTAATATGACAGCCCTTGACAGCCCTTGGACCAACGCCCGCACGTCATGTGGGATCATCACTACGTCGGTCCCGCAGCTATAATAGTCTATCAGGACTTAATTAGTATTCTAAAATTATAGATATGTAAGGATCAATGGCTCAGTGGACGCCCTTTTGTTCATGTGCTTTGATATAGATAGGGCTGGAATGACGTCATTGTGGCTGGTGGCCACGAACTCCATTTCGTTGCATGGCTGTCTGATTAGATGTACTATGAAGTAATCTGTTATAGAAGGGTGTAGAGAATGCCCCTCTGATTAGCAGGGATGGTTGGTGGCTGTGGAAGAGCTTTAGGCAGACAGATATGGATATACTACCTCTGCATAACTACTGTTGAAAGGGAAAGCAACAAAGACCACAAGGACATGTCTTATAGGAAATGTGTGACATATAATAGAAGCTTAGATGGTAAGGGTACGGCATGTAAAAAGGCAGACTTATATTTACCATAATGCTCTTCGCGTTCTTTGAGGGTTGTTCGCTGGTCAGATGCCGTTTTATAGCTTCAAGTTGTATAGTTCTGCTGTTTCATAAACACAAACAGTAAAATCTGAGATAATATAGCTACTTCCAGGGTCTTCGGCTTATCCTACTGCAGCAAAGTTCCTCATCCCATTGCTAGTAAACCGCTCCCCCGTCACCGTCGGGTACGTCTTCAAAGGACTCTGAATCACGGCTGGTAGAAATATGCAAGGCTGTACCAATCTCCAAAATAACCAGTGGTCATTTTCTGAGGGCGCCTTCACATGGTAGAATGTTCTTTTGAATCTGTCCTCTGAAAGGAACATCAGCAGAGCGCCGACGTTGCAGACACCGTTCATCACCGATTCCAGAGCTAATGACCAGTGCTGGACTCGGACAGATTCCCAGTCTACTCTACCCTTCTTTGTCCAAAATGCAGCAGATGATGGTGGTCTACCGGCCGGGAGAAGAAGCTCTCTGGCGATGAATCTTCTCAATCTCCGGGTGGAGATATCATGCTCGGTCCGTGTAAAGAATCCGGCATTTTCAGCAGCGTTCAGGGCTTGGACATTGTCGGTAGCGTCGGCAATCATTGCGAGCAGGATCGCCTTCAGACGACGGATCGACAGTCGGAGCCGGATCCAGACTGCCTCATGCCACTGAAGGGGACTGCTTATGGATATCTTGACGACTGACTCGTGCGATTCGGGACTTTTGGCCCCATGGTCCACTATCGACCAGGGGCAAGCGTTAGTGTCATTTAGCTTGTCATTTTATTAATGGGCCGCATCTAATTCCCAATGGGATCAACCGTACATGTTGGTTCCCCACTCTAGCCTTGTCTCTCTAATCGACTATGAGCACGATGTAACATTGGTACTAGTTCTGCCTGGCGAGGCTGAAAAATTCCCCTACTGCCTTGACAGTTTGGACGCTGCGCTTCAAACATGGATTCCAGTCGGCCATGAGATATGTAGTGGCCTCGGCCACGCTATGCTTATAGCTGGAGAATATACATCATGAGGAAGGGATTGTTGGCCTTCCTCTCTTTTGCAATTCGGACAAGTAATGCCATTGCTGATGGCAAGGGAGATAGCCCGGCTGTTGTCGAGCTTCGATTCAACCGGCAACGGAACGATGACATTCTCAAAATACATCGCCCTGCGTCGAGGCGCGACTCGATACTATCTGAAGGGATACTCAATGAGGTATGCCACTGTGAGTTCACTTTGACAGCGAAGCTAACGTCACAGGATGCCATGGCGCTATACACAGCCAATGTCACTGTTGGGACCTCAGAGCAAGAGATTGCCGTGGTATTAGACACTGGAAGCAGCGACACCTGGTTCAATATCCCCTCGTCGAACTTTTGCCAGAACATGGCGAATGACTGCGAACGGTATGGGATCTATGACAATAGCTCATCGCGGACCTACACGTTCCTCAACCACGAGTTCAACATCACATATAAGGATGGCACGAAGGCGACGGGGGACTATGTCAAAGATACGATTCAGTTAGGCGGAGTGATGCTGAGTCAATTCCAGTTTGGCATAGCAGAGGAGAGCACCTCAAATCGTACGCTTCTCCATACATGCCCAACCAACATGCGTTGACTGTAAGCAGGAGGAACATTGGGTCTTGGATTTCCTGCGCTTGAAGCTACTCGCACTCAGTATCCCAACTTTCCTCAAGCCCTGGTGCAAGCTGGTCACATCAAGTCGGCTACGTACAGCCTCTGGATGGAGGATGTAACCTCGCACAGTGGGACAATCCTCTTTGGAGGCGTGAACACGGCGAAGTATTTGGGACAGCTCCAGACAATTCCCCTCCAGCCCACTGGCGGCGTGTACACATTCTTCCGTGTCATATTGACCGGGCTTGCTTTGCAACAGCGCGGGTCAAATACAACCAAATATCCAGATACCGAGTTTCCCCTCCTTGTCACCATCGACTCAGGAGCAAGCGTGACTCGTCTACCCAAATCGCTCACCACAGCGATCTACTCTGGTCTGGGAGTCACACACAACGCCGAGTACAATGTCCCCGTTCTCCCGTGCTCCATGAAAGACAGGGACATTACTCTGACGTTCGACTTCTCCGGTGTCCGAATCAATGTCAGTATCCACGAGCTCGTATTGAACGGGGTCGATATGGACGGAGACACTGTGCTGTGCGTGTTCGGTATCTATACAAGTACCAGCGGGATACCCGTATTGGGCGATACCTTTCTCCGTAGCACGTATGTCGTCTTTGATTTAGCCAATCGGGAGACCTCGATGGCCAACACCAACTTCAATCCTGGGGTGGACGCCATCCTCGAAATCGGGACAGGCAAGGATGCGGTGCCCGGTGCGACTCCGGTGCCGTCGCCAGCTACAACGGCGGTAAATATGCCGACTGCAGTGCCTTTGACGAAGGGGACAGAGGGTAACCATGGCAGTATAGCAATTAATGTCCAGATGGATGTGAAGTTGCTTTTTGCTGGCTTGATTGTCTCCCTTGTGTCAGCTCCTTTATAGCTGTGTTGGTCGCTTGATTACGAGAGATTCCATATAGAATATCAAGGACTCGATTGCAGATACTGCATAAACGCTTCATCGATTTCCGGCGTTTTGTCGCCAATCCGACTCATCTCAGCGTAGTTGAAGTCACTGTACGATTGGTCATCCGGCCACATGTCGCCAAAGGCCTCCGAGTCGGCCTTTTCGGCCGGCACAAGAGTCTCCACGGTCGCTGCTGGGAGATTCAGGTGCTGTGTTATGGGTTGCAGCATGGACGGCAAGGTCTGTCCCACCTTTGTCAACAGCAATGGCAGAAACCGTTGTCGACCACCTGGGAGAGTGTTCACAAGCGAGAAGAAATGCTTCAAGTAATCCTGCGGGCCCAAGTTGAACCCGGACGAGCGCAGTCCCGCCGTCGATAGACAAGCCATGACATCGGTGAGGGTGCAGGCTACTTCGAAGATTTTCTCAATCTGTGACGGTTAATCAGCATTGTTGTGTACAGACGGGAAGGTTCACCAACCAGTCCAATCCCATGCGTTTCCATACTCTGCGTTGACAGCTTCCACGTCGCCAAGGACAGGTCTCGGGCAATCTGCAGCGGATACCGAAATTCCATGCACGGATGGCTGGCTTTGCTGGATAGAAAGCCCGCGGTGGTGGACAATTGCCAGATCATGGTTCGTAGCCACTGCTGCGAGACACGGAGATCCGCCATTGGGATATCGGGAAGCTGGAGGTCGGGGGGAACTGCATCACAAATATGTTTGTCGAGAAGAATGAGCGACTCGCGGGAGCATGTGGTATGCGTACCGTTCCACAGCCCGAGGAACGACTCGTCGAACGGGCGGTAGAGGTCGGCCAGACAGCGGAATCCAATACTGGATGTGTCTTCAGGGGAAGGATCTTCCAGAGTCGGACTGTTGGCGGAAATCTGTAGGGTGACGGGCCGATGTCTTCGAATGGCATGGGCTCTGTTTGAATTAGAACTATTCTACACGAGCCATCAAGTCAAAATACCGTTCAGAAATCAGAAGCAACCAAAAGAGCTTGCCAGAAGAGGGATTGTCTTCATCGCCCTCTAATGCGCCTGATTGAGTATCCAACATGCCAGCGGTGTACAAGGTGGTCGCTTCCCGGAGGAAATAGTACGCATGGCGCTGATTCCCCAACGCGATATGACAGCCGTACAGAAGAAACGCGATGGTGATGCTCTGCCGGACAGGGACAGTGAGCGGATCGAGATGCTTTCGCGCTTCTGTCGCTTCATCGAGCAATTCGCGCCCGGCGTCCATACTCTGGGTCCATCTTGGGCCTGCAGCTTGGGCGGAGGAATACCCCGTCTGCATCATGACAAAAGCACAAAAGGAAACCACCAAGCAATATGCATGAATACAATGATCCATCTGCTCCACATATCTCTGGAAGGTTTCCGCCTGTAGAATAGGAACTGTACCTTGCATGCGCGCGAAGAAGTACTCGGAGCAATCCCGGATCAGCTCCCTAGGAACGACGTTTTCCTTGCGCGCAAATCGACATCGTCCGCCCGTTGGATTCACAATAGAAGTAGCCACTGTTAGACTTGCAATCGTAGGGTTAGATGGCTCATTGCCTTGAGCATTCTGTGTACGCAATTCAGAGAGAACGTTGGCCGACTGGCCTTGTCGCCCTTTCTTCTGTCGGACCAGTGATGTTCGACAGCTTAGCCCGGCCGATCGACACTGGCTGCAGGGCCTTTGAGCGTTACATTTGACTTTACGACGTCGACAGGCATCACAGGCTTGCTTGACCATCTGCGTGTCGCGGGGCATCTTGTAGGTCTGATTGCTAGGTGCATGATTGAAGAGAAATTGCGGGGAGGATCGAAAAACGGAGAAAAAGTGGAGGTTTTCGGAGTCATCCCACGCCAAGATTAACCCGTATGAAGGCAATGAAAGGGACCTAAATTCCTAACGTTGGTGTGAGATTTACAGTGATTGGACTTGCAACAATCAATTTACTGCTGGTCCTTGTGGATATCCTGCCGGACTTGGAGGCCTTGACGAACTTCTAGGCATGAAAAAATTATACATATTCCATTGTATAGATGATTATACCACCATGACAGCTCCTGCAAATGCCAGCCACGCTGGTAGATCTGCAACCAACATCCTAATGCGATGAAACCCCAGCCACTCTTCCATCTCCACTGTTGCTCCATTCTCGTTGCTGTCCTCGACTATACGTTGGATCCGAGGCGCCACAAACGGCACGAAGAAGAGATGCGCCACCGCACCCACAACGCCGGCCCAGTAGAACGTTGTGCGCGACAGGGGCAGGGCACTGCGCGACCGACTCAGTAGAATATTTGATACACCGGTGGAGATGGTGGCTAGGTTAAGCGCAAGGACGGAGACGATCTGGCGATTGAAGATGTACGTGTACCATTTCGGCAGGACAGCGTCGGAGGATTTCCGGATAGACGGTTGGAGGAAGGCCGAGTTGGAGAACAGCTCAACCAGGGCATGCACGAGACTGCCTGTGCTGGTGGCTAATGGCGCGACGCGGAGTAGCTGGAGGGGATCGAATATGAGTCCAGAGGCCATGATGATGATCAGTGCCGTAGATAGAGGATGGAATTCAGGAAAGTTGAGGATGAGCGGGATTAAATAACAAGGCGCGGGACCCGTGGGGCCAGCGTAAGACCTAACGCAACGCTATGCAGGGATGCATCAGGCCACACAAAGTGTTCTAGACATTGATTCTTTGACTTCAAAGATGGACACATATTATATAATCTGATTAGTCCTTGTGATGCTCCTCTCGCACCTCCACGTGTTCCTCCTCGCCCTCGTATGGATCAACCACCGTCTCTCTGAACTTGCGCGCCGACACTCCTTGCTCAAACAGCAGATCCAATTCCTCATAAGTCCTTCCCTTGGGCTCCGGCAGGCGAAAGTACGACCAGACCAAGCAGACAAGGCATGTTCCCGCCCAAAAATATGCGCTGCGGGCACCCCAGTTCCAAGCCGTCGAGTTGAGCTGATAGTTGGTAAGCACATTGATCACAATGTTACTGACGTTGTATCCAACTCTCGCCAGCACGATCGTCTTGGCCTTGAGTCGGGTGGACGACAGTTCCGACACCAGCGAGTACGTCACAGGTCCGATGGTAAAGTCGTAGCAGAAGGTGAAGATAATCAACATCGCACCGATCGCCCACTTGGCTGCGCTATTGTCTCCCGGCGCAAAGGATAGACTACCTGTGATGACGAGCAGGGTGAATAAGCTTGCCAGACCGTAGACGTGCAGCGTGCGACGACCGGCGTAAGTCATTAGAAACCACGATCCCGCGGTCCCAATGAAGCCGAGGGCATACTGCGCCAGCGAGAGATCGAAGGAATGCACCGTCGGCAGACCAGCCTGGACGCAAAAGTACGCAAAGTAGCCCATGAGGTTCTGCCCGCACAGTGTCTGAACCAGCCAAACTACACAGACAACTTCCGTTCGGCGCAGGTTGGTCCCCTTGAAACAATCGGTGTATTTGGTGCCGCTCGCCAGCGCCTTTTCCAGCTCGTTTGTATGCTGGATCATGGCGATGGTCTCGTCCGGGTCGAAGTTCGGATCGTTGGATGAAGTAAGCCGCTGCAGGGCCCGTTTAGCGCCCTGGAGATTGCCCCGTCGGACATGCCACCAGGGTGATTCGGGTGCGAAGAGGATGCCAATGAGGATCGGGAGGGGCCATGCCCACTGCACTGCAAAGGGAATCCGGTACGCCCACTGGTCGGTTCTTTGTATGGATCCGCGATTCACGCCCACCGCGACAAACTGTCCAATTACCCAACACATGTTGATAAAGGTCGTCAAGTACGGACGGAGGACCACCGGGCACACTTCAGAGGCATATGCGGCGGGCAAAGTCTGGAAGATGCCCCAGGGAATACCGGCCAGGATCTCTGCAGCGAGCAGCATTTTGATGTCGACAGCGAAGAAGAAGAGAAAGACAACGGCGTTCATTGCCGCCAGCGCGGAAACCATTGTCCAGCGGTATCCCAGTCGTTCCGAAATCAGACCGTTGATGAGCAATCCGATGACTTCACCCACTCGGGCCCCGTTCGAGAGTGCAGATTGCCACGAAGCGGGGACCGTCCATTTGCCAGACGCCGACTGAACCCCGTATTTCTTATTGAATGCCGGAGACGCGTACATGGAGCCGAGCAGGGCCAGATCGTAGCCTTCCATGATCAATGTCGACGAGAGGAGGACAGACCAGCCCACGGCCTTGGGATACAAGCGAACCGCTTGCCAGAGAGTCATGGACTGCTCTTTGCGGGCGGCCTTCTTGCCCTCCGCGAGAGGTCGGGGCTTTTCTCCATCCATAGCGTCTGAATTGTTGGACATGGTCATGTAGCGAGTAGTTTCTTAGCAAAGTGGCCAGCAAAGCACCCGAGTGCTAGACAAGCCTGGCTGCAGATGGAGGACATGCATGAGATCCCGGACATATGGCTCTATTTATATTCAGTATATCTGCATATCGTCAGATCCCTTCTTGGTTCTCGAGATGCGCCAGAATAATCAGGACCCTTGCAACATGATCTGGGGAATTTTGCTTTACCCCACACATTTCCATGTGGGGGTCTGGTAGACGCACAGGAAAACGAGCTTTCCTTCTTTCTCATTGGCTACGGCTATGCAAGTCGGCCTCTACTCGGAGGCAAGGCGGATGCAAGTCGGAGCGACCATGTCATCGTGGGTGATACGGGTCATTGACGGGTCACTGTTTGACTCATATCAAAGTATAAATTAGCCATACAGGTAAGAATAAAGGTACATTGAGAGACAGTGAGCTATCGCCGCATGACAAAAGCTAACTTTGCGCTTCAGCTAATCTACCGAACCCAAACCAGAAACTGTTCTATGGAATATGATATGTTGTTGATTACATCGTGCCATCCAGCACGGGTCTATGGCCTCCAGTGCTCGCCGCGATCGGATCCAACCAGGCAATGTTGGGCTGATGACCATCCGGCGTCATGAACACATCCACGGGACGAGCATACGGCGCCACCTCCTTTCTGTCTAATATCCGGGTGACATTGCCATTCTTCTCCGCGGCCTGATTATATCCAGGCCCGTAGACACCATAAACAGCCATCAAGGTCTCACTGTTGAAGTTGTTGTCGGGTGCTCCCTTCCCCACTGTGTATCCCGCGGGTAGAATGCTGGAATCAAAGTATGTATCAATGAAGACCGATCTGTGGAGGTTATTCCAGGGGCGTCCCAGCGAGCACCGTCCCTTGATGTCATTTACAATGGATGCATTGGCTGCGATGACCTGAGAATCGGCAATGTACACACCGTACTTGTTCTCGAAAGTCGTGTTGGTGCCCTTCCAGGCTGTAATGCCGCCACCACAGCCGCGAAGGGAGAGAGTCGTCTTTTCGATGAATGCCGTGCCAAAGCCATATAGAAAGTCGGTCTGGCCCGCAATCACGTTGTCGTAGAAATAAGCATTGGCAAGTTTGCCAACGTACAGCTGTATTCGTCAGCGGTGATCTCTCAAGGTTCTTTAACAACATACAGTATCCTGGTAGCTGTAGAGACCGCAAGAGTAGAACCCCGCGTTCGCATATCCCAAGCCAACGGCGTGGGCGGGTCCATCTGAATATGGAACATACTCGTTGCGAAAGTCAATGTTGCACGCGCGGAAGTCGGAGCATCCAAAAGGGGTGTCGGCAGGCACTGGATATCCTGTTGGACCTGCGCCGGTAATGGTCGCATTATAAGTGGGACCGATTGTCAGAACGCCAATGTAGACATTGTCCGGGAATGCGGCATTGTGGTTAGCTGCATTCCAGTAGATTTGCACATCGTTCTGGACGGGAGTGTTGGTGTCGATATCGCCATAGCTCTCCCGCTGCCAGGGGCGATTTGACTGGCCCAGGAGCGTTAAAGGGCCGGAGCGTGTCACGTTGAGCTGCTCCACATAAGTTCCGGCGCCGATAAGGATGACATGAGATGAGGTATCATTGGGCAGCGAGTGGATGGCCGCCTGGATGGACTTGAAATGAGCTCGATGGTCGGTCTGACTGACAAACAAAGTGCCATGGGGACAGCCCTGGAGAGGATCAGGGGTGATTCTTTGGCAGGATTTGTATGTTTCTGCAGGATGAGCACCCTTGCCGAGAGCTTCAGGGAGGAGGCCCAGGGCAAGAAGAGCGGAAGATGGCCGCATCCTGTCTATTATCTTGACGGTGGAACAATTGCACAGTCATCTTGGTGGGAAACTGTCCCTTCATAACGAGTGCTGGAAAGTGCGGATAAAGTCGAAATGAAGCTATATCCGTTGTGGAGCCGAAGGATGACCTGTAGATCCCCCTAGGATTCCTCAAGCTTTCTAAGGCTTCATCCCCGGATAATTTGGGGTCTTGCAATTATTCCTCCAATGAGCTTGTATCCCCGGTGGAGTACCCGGCGTAAACATCTGGTTGTCAATGGAGAGAGAAAGCCTCTACATTCTGTTGATTGATGATAGTCACAAATGATCTTCAAGCAACCTGAGTAGTGGGTACACCAATGTCTCGGATAGATCACGATATTAACCGGTCTGCAAGTCGTCAACTACCAGGAAGGAAGATGACCTGCAATTTTTGAGACTACACATTCTCAGGTCATCGAGATGATGGTACCCAAGGCACGCCTACAACTCGGATATTCGAAAATCATCTTTATATAGCGAGATGGGCATTCAGCAAGGTATACTGTGATCAACGTCTCCGCTGTCGGCGCGAGATTCTAATTATAACATTTTTTGCACATTCAGAGCTAGGACTAAGCAAGCGCTGCGTCATGGAATACACCAGCTCGTTCTAATATACATAGATTTCTCCAACCATCTTTTAAGCATTATGTCAAATTTATGGTCGTGATCATGCCAAATAACGTTGTTCATCAGGGGTAGAGATCGAGCCTGTAGATCGAGGTCGTCCACTGTTAGGGAAATATGATGAGATTGCCGACATGGGAAAGGGTCTCGGCAAGGGTAGGTAGTCATATATTCGTCAAAAGATGCGTTCCGTACTTGGCTTCACCCACTGAGGTCGCTGACATTTGTGGGTATCCCGGAACCGCCTGATTTTCTCCATGTCCCATCCGGCTGAGAGGGTCGTGTCTTCTGTGGCAGACTTTTGTGCGCCTAGTCGCATGGATGGAACAAAAACGCAGTGACCAGAATGTACATAGGTATATGAGAAACACTGGGGATGCTCATGGCATGCAGTCGCACAGGCCTCAGCAGATCTATGGCCGGGTGATTGGGGCGGTTCTTGCCATCCGCCCCAGTCACCATTGTCCCAGTCTGTCTTATAGTCGAGGGTGCCTAATCTTGTGTACTCGAATAGGTCGGCGTATAACAATGGAAGCTAGAGTGTCAGTGTTAGGAGTTGTCGAGGACAGACCAGCGAAGACCATGAGACTTACCTTTCGGTCCCGTTGATTCTCCCACCTCGCCAGCCCCGCCATATCTTCCAGCGATAATTTATGCATGCTAATCACCGGCTGACACCAATGCCGTTCATTAAATGGAACCCCATGCACAGGATGTGGATTGAACATTGGCCACATCCCAGACAGCTTCACTCCACTTTGGTAGAGTGCCCATCCAAGTATTGAATCACCGCAACAATCTTTATTGATCAACCCCTTGTAACGCTGACTCAAAGAAGGCTGGCTATACACGCCGTTGCTCCTAGCCTTACGAGCCACCAGCCTCTGGATTGCGGCAGTGGACAACACAAACCCAGCACCCCCATAGGCAAAGAAAGAGGGCCTTCTTCCCGGAGTTGGGGAGCCAAAGTATAAAGGAACAGAGGGATCAAACTGGTCAAGAAGACGAAATATATTATCCCACACAATGTATGTATCAGACTCGATAAAAATAAACCACTGAGCAGTTGGATTCATTTCATAAGCGCGTTCGACCATGGGCAGGAACTTGTATTTGTCAAGTGTCCAGCCCTGAGAACCACCAACAGTCTCGAATTGGCCGCCCTGGAGCGCGCTATATGCTTGAAAGTCGGGCCGATTCCCCCAGCTTCCTGGCAGGGTTGCGAGAATATCATGAACATGGTGACCATTGATTTCCGACTCGTGGTCAGAGACGACAATGAGATTAGTTATGCAGCGGGTAACAGTGGCCAGATGGGTATCAACACGACTACGAGGCTCTGTACTGCCGATTTTGAGCATGACTTGAACACGCGAGAGGTGGTATGATGGGAAGGAGTCGCAAAAGTCATCACCGCCACTACTTTCCTCAGTTTCGTTGACGTTGTGCGCATTCGAGAAGCGGGACGTTGTCTCCCACTCCCAGTAATCAACGTAGGGCGAATTTGGGAAGCTGGATATTGTCGCTCGGTCCCAGTAATGGGCATAGAACAGGCCAGATCCTAGCTTTAGACCGAGGCAAAAGATAAACATTGACAGGACGAGCACAACAGAATGCTTTTGTCTCTTCTTGGGCCATGATTTCCAGTACTCGGCGATGCGAACCGCAAAGGAGGATGTACCGCGAAAAGCCGCAGTCAGGACGCGGGTTGCATTATTGAGGTACATGAGAATGCATGTAAAGGGCACACTGCTTCAGGAGGAAAACAGGACAGTGTCAGATCTAGACCGATAGATGTCAGGGACCAGTCCCTTCTATATAATACACTTGTTAGATGATCTATCGGTCATGCATTAGTGTCCTTCTTGTTTGTGGCTTAGCAGGAAAGTGTGTCCAGGCCTGTGATAAATATTAATAAAGATGGAGTTTGAAACGAGAAAAGGTACAAGGGAAAAAATCTAATCTAAAAAAGAACCAACACTACCTAGGCCTGTGACTGGACGCTGATCCTAGAGATACGGGTGGGATTGCAATCATCAAAATGACGTGGCTGATATGTCATTAGATAAAATTTCTGTCATCTTTCAAAGTTTGTTGTTTCCCTTTGGTCTTGGGAGAGAGGATCTGTCCTTGGTTCCTTCCGACACAGATGATCAGTCTGTCTGACAGCGTCGGACCTAGATAAAATCTCCTGTCCACTTGATCACGAATCCCTGTTATTGCATTAAGCTAGCACATATTAGCAGCGAGTTGTCATCGCGAATCTCGAATGGATGCTGTGCGTCCTCACACGGTTGTGGGTCAACCAAAGCTAGTGTGGATAATCCATGCCCTACGTTACATCGTGACAGGCAGACACTGAGACAACAACGCGCACAGCAATCAACAATATAGATCACTTAAGAGAAGCATAGGACCCTGGTACTGGCTGATTCGCAGTGGTAAAAGTAGAAAAGCCGTTGATTCAGTCTTCTAAAGTGGGAAACTGGCGCCAAGGGACGAACGGTTCATTGTGGGGATCAGTCCGAGTTTGACCAACATAAGCCCCAGCCTCAATGGGCTTGTGGGCCCGTGTTTCCCATTGGTTGTTCTTCTGCTGACCGGCGATGATGCGCTGGAGCCTGGAGCTGTACACCCTATCAGATCATTATCTGCCATGACTACCGATGAGAGCCAACTCAACAAAAATAACTAATTGCATTGCGTGATAGTTGCTAGGACACCTCAGATTCCATACTAATGGTCAACCCTTGGTACAGTGCAGGTCGAGAAGGGATCGATCCATCTGTCCGGTTGTCAGTAAGTCTACGTCAGGTACATGAGGACCTACATTAGTGCAAATGGCCTCGTCGGTGCCGGAAGGACTGAGGACATTGATATTCTCAGCACGGATATTCTTGCATACCTGTTTTTGTCAATCAAAGCGGACTATGAGGAACATTCAAGAGGAAACATACATCTGGGCTTGAGCAGACAAGGGTAGCAATAAAAGGCGCCCTCTTCTTACTGGTAGTACCGTCAAAATTCTTGAACAGAATATCCTCGACAATGAGCGAAGCCTAGGACCGATCAGCCGAGTTTGTATGTCCAACTAGCGAACCATACCGGATGCTCATTGCACGCCGTCTGATTTGGCGCAAAGTAGCACTGGGTCATTTCAATCGCCCAGTCGTTGTTATAGTTGTGCATGCCATCGTAGGTTACGTTCCTGACCCAGCCACTGCCGCCGCCAGTGTTGGTGGAGTTGCCAATTGCTCCAGGCCAGATTTTGATACGAGCGCCATCCTGACGAGTCAGCTCGTCTTCCCGCTCTGGAAAGTGGTAGCGGATCACGTACCGACGCATTGTTCAGGGAAGTGTTATAGACCAAAATATTCTCCACGATGTCAACCTGGCCGACGTACTGGCCAAGAGAACCGACGGAGATGCCATGGGACCCATTGCAGTACAGATTCTTGCCAGAGGTGAGTCAGTCTCTGGTAACGTACGCTTGTGAGATATTACCTGCACGAGGATATTCGTACTGTTAGGCTTGAATGATACACAGTCTAACCATGTCAGTAGATCATCGTCGTTGAAGGGATACAGCGACCAACCGTCGGAGTTGAAAATGCGAGAGTTTTGAATCACGATGTTATCAGACCGATAGGTATCCCTGTGTTTGTAAGAGCCAATTCAGACAGTTTCATGCAAACTCAAACATACCATCCATCTAGCGAAGTTAGCTCCGAAGTGTAGAGGAAGAGGTGACCAACTCACCTGAATTAGCTGTAGGATTGCTATTGCTTGATGAAGCGTTAAGATACATGCTGTCAAAGACGATATTGCTCGAGTTAAACACCAACTGAAACCAGTTCGGCGAGTTGCGGAGGGTGATATTGGACACAGATCCGCCATGTAAGTCCATGTACGTGACAAGGATAGGACGCTGGATAGTCTTGTTGTTCATCCTGGCGTCCCACCAGGCCTGACCGTTGCCGTCGATTTCCCCGCCGCCGTAGATGTTGATATCAGTGCCTCCGATTTGAACAAAGCTTGAGCTGTCCTGGAAGGCGTACTTGAAGGAATTGGCCAGCCAATAATCGATATCATTGGTCATGACGATTTTGCCTTGGATATCTACCAGTATAAGTAATTACATATGATCCTCAACCATGGTATACATACCAACGTCGACCCGCTTTAGAAATCTGATATCCATCGCCTTGCCAATGGTATACACCTTACCCTTGTCGAAAACAACACGACCACCCGGGCTGCATTTGCGGAATGCACGAAGGATGTACTTGGAGTCATCAGTCCCATCTCCGTGGGATTTGACATGGCAAGTCTTGTGCCTTGCAGGGGAGAATGGAAAGGGCTTGAACGCGCCTTGAGGAGTTATCGCGATACTGGGACGTGGGGAAAGCGAATCGAACTCTTCCTGGAGGGCAGCTGTGAGAGTCAAAAATTGGCAGACGGCCGCAAGAAGAATAGATTGGCCAAACATCTCGAACTATTGAAACTGAACGCTCTAGCAATTTGATAGTGATGTGTTTGGTATCTGACGAAGTAACGGACCATAATATATAGCTTGCGTCTGCTTGTATTCCATAATGGGCATTTGGCTTGGCTGTTACACAGGCTATTAACAAACCAATGACCTTGATAGAGAATAGCAAATAGCCTGCTGGCCAAGTCATTCAGATTTAATGATAGATGGAAATACATTGCTCCCCTGGCACGTCTTGCAGACCCTTTGCTTGAAGTAATGGCAGTCGGCATTGGCTTTACCCCCGAGACTCGCTCCGCCAGAGACATAGCTTGGCAAAGATTATTATCATTTCAGGGTCTACTTGTCCAATACTGAATCGTCCGGCCCGCCAAACACTCATTTCTTTGTCAGAGAGGAGATGTCAACGCGGGGTACGGGGATTCAGATCAACAGTAAGACAGTTTAGTCGACGTTTGCCTCTGAAAAGGATCTGGTTTTTGCACCAATGGAACGGTGGAACAAGGAGATCTGCAGGGTCCGATCGTTACTGGTCGGTCTACATTAGACCGAGACATTCTTGGAAGTGAGTGATGGTGCAGATCCTCTGCGACTTCACCCCGGAATAATAATAATGGCTACTTCGAACATTGCATCTGGGGTTTCCGAATCGTAGAAGCGATAGACTGTCCACTTCTATGTAGACCACTCATTATCTAGGCGCCAAGACCAGCCAGCCATCATGGTGTTATCTAGCCTATTGACGACGATAATACTCATATTCCTGACCCTTGCTGTGGGTGGAAATGGCTCGAGGATAAACCGGCGGCAAGTCGTCCGTCGCTTCAATCCCGTCCGTACCAACTTGTCCTCGACGACTCCCATCCAGGTGGGAAATGGCAACTTTGCCTTTGGAGCTGATATTACCGGGCTGCAGATTATTTTGCCGTACAACATTCTGTCCTCCTGGTGTTGGGCCAATGACTCTCTGCCTACAGAGCCGGGCCAGGATGATCCCTCCGACTTCACCGGACTGGACTGGTGGACTCATGGCAGACCGGTAAACTACGAGATGCCAAAAACGGCCGAAGCAGCCATCTCGACTTGGCTCAGGGCGAATCCGCATCGTGTCAACCTGGGAAGGATTGGTCTTCTGTACAATGGCAAGGATATCTCGCTGGCGGACTTGTCCAAAATGTCGCAGAACTTGGACCTCTATACTGGACTTTTGACATCAGAATTCGTTCTCGGAGGGAAGAAGGTAGTTGTGCAGACCGTTGGAAGTCCGAGCTCGGACGAGGTTGCGGTGCGCATAGATTCGCAACTGCTACAAAATGGCTCGTTGAGTGTCTTCTTCGACTATCCCCTGACTACCGGCGCGGCATCATTCCAAGCGCCATTTGTCGGTGATTGGAATGCTGTGTCGAATCATACAACGAAGCTGTCCGTCAATGACCACCAGAAAGCCGTAATTCAGCATTCTCTGGGAGGAACAACCTACTACAACAGCATTTCGTGGCTACCCAAAGGGAACATCAGCGGCTCGATCAACAGAACCCATCGATATGACCTCAACCCATCTGGAAAGACCACGTTTTCCTTCACTTCCGCCTATACCCCGGAGAATAACGCCGAGCTCAGAACTTTCAACAAAGTAAAAGCAGAATCAGCGACCTGGTGGGCCAAGTACTGGGAGTCAGGATCGTTCGTCGACCTGACGGCCACTGGAAGCTCAGACGCCGAAGAATTGCAGCGGCGCATCATTCTCTCGCAGTATCTCCTCGCGGTCAATTGCGCGGGGAGAGACCCTCCCCAAGAAGCAGGTCTGCAAAACAACGGATGGTACGGAAAGTTCCATCTTGAGATGGTCTTTTGGCATCTAGGTCACTGGGCCCGATGGGGTAAGTGGGAGCTTCTCAACCGCAGTCTCGGAGTGTACAATCGCTTTCTTCCGTCCTCCACCGAACGCGCCGAAAAGCAAGGATACTCAGGCGCTCGACTGGGCAAAATGAGCGATCCATCCGGTCGATCTGCCCCGGGCGAGATCAACGCGCTGTTGATCTGGCAGCAGCCGCACGCGATGTATTTCGCCGAGCTGGAGTATCGCGCCTTTCCCACGCCTCAGACGCTGAGGAAATGGGACACCGTCTTGACAGAGCTCGCCGAGTTCATGGCCTCGTATGCGTGGTGGAATAGCTCGACGCAGGTGTACGATCTAGGGCCGCCAATGTACACATCGTCGGAGAACACGAACCCGAATTCAACATACAATCCCACCTTCGAATTAGCGTACTGGCGCTTCGGTCTGCAAATTGCCTCGGAGTGGAAGCGTCGACAAGGCCAACCTGTTCCGTCTGAATGGGTCCATGTTCAAGATAATCTGGCTCCTTTGCCCGTGACAGACGGGGCGTACGCCATTTGTGCAGATCTTCCGGATATGTGGACCACCTACGATTACATTTCTGATCATCCCAGCCAGATTGCCGTCTACGGCCTTCTGCCTCCCACTGCTGGTGTGGACACCGGGATTGTCAACGCGACGATGATGAAGATCAATCAGGTTTGGAACCTGACCAACTCATACGGCTGGGATTTTCCCATGCTGGCTCTGACGGCTACCCGTTTGGGGGACTCGCAGCACGCCGTGAACTATCTACTCGACCCCGTCTTTCAGTTTGACGACGTTGGCAATCCCATTGGCGGTACGCGAGTGCCTACTCCATACTTCCCCGCCTCATCTTCCTTGCTTCTTGCAGTTGCAATGATGGCAGGGGGATGGGACGGTGACGAGGGTCCGCATTTCCCCTCTGGTTGGAATGCAAAGACAGAAGGTTTTACTCCAGGTCTTTGATGAGATATATAATTAGACGAACAGTCACGTTAGCTATGTTTGTGGCTAGAGTCCCTGAATATTTTGTTCATGGATTCTATATGTCAATGCAGGAAGTAATGATATCAGACAAATGGATTGAAGAGCTAATACAGTGTAGACCGTCATTCAGAAATCTTGACCCTTGGCTCCACAGCACCACTCAATTGCTTGTAACAATGACCAGCAAACTTTTTGACCTGGAGGTGTGTACCTAGCTGGGTAGGGGATATCGTCGGCTGCAGGGCATTCCATCAGAATGCACAATTAACGTAAAATTGATATCTGTATCTACATACCTAGGTAGAAGCTGACGTAGAAACGATGCAACTTAGTCGAGTGTGAAGTATACTAAAAGCCAGTCCGCATATCTACCTGGACAAAGTCCCCGTCCACAAGAAAGAGATCATCTAAACTAGGACCCACCTCCATAAAGGGTGCCAGAGAGAAGATGTCATCCAGGGGATCCAATGTCGTCGTGACGTTGTGGCGATGGGCAACTGGGGAGAGGTGCGGGCTCGCTTCCACCACCGACGATGAACCCCCGACAGAGGCTGCCACGGACTGCATGTCACGGACATAACCCGCTTTGGCCATTAACCGCCCGATTGGCTTCCACAACGTACCCTTGCGCGCATGCTCCTTCATGCGCCAGCGGTCATAGAGAACCTCTACTGCAGCCCACGCCCTATCGCAATCCTGGCAAGGGGGCCTGGTACAAATCTCGGACAGGACGAGGGCAACTGCGTGCCACTGGGAGTAGGTATCGGATCGCCAGGCCCAATGAGCGATACTCGGATTGCACAGGACGAAGCAGGAGAGCTCCAAGATCTCAATGGCAAGGTGAAAGATTTTATCCTGTAGACTCGCCTGCAGCGGGGCTGTTGATACGTCCTTACTATCCACCCGCTTACGGGGATAATGGACCATCAACCATACGCGGGCGATGATCAGCCGCGCCACGGTAGCTGAGACGAAGAGGAAGGGGTCGGTGGGATCGCAATACGCCAGATATCGGGTCTCCAAGCGGCTCTGGAGCTGCTCGGCCAATGCTTCCCGTTCGGGCAATGACAACTCGGTGACGGATGCACTGCTGGTGGTTCTTGCCTGACGGCGGTGCGGTGGAATAAAGCTGACCTTGCGAACGATGGGAATGGATTCGAAACCTATCAGGCTCAGCGTCATCTCAGTGGCGCCGTCTCGCTCGGCCGGCGGCTGGACCAGGTCCGCGGTCAGATCAGAATCATTGACATTCAACGGTAGCCGGGTATCAAAGGACGACTCGGATACAATAGGTTCGTAACCGTGATATTCGGACGAGCGCTGGTCGAGGCCGACGATAAACCACCACAGTCGTCGTCGTAGTTCAGTCTCGAGGGGCCGTAAGCCAAAGGCCACGCCGTCACGATGGAGACCCATCGCCTGTGCAATATGCACAATCAAGGCTGTTAGCGACCAGACAGTTCGGGAGTCATCTTCGTTGCGCAGGGCACAGAGAAACAAGGCGGCCGCCTGCAACAAGATCATGTTCTGGGTATTCAGCAGATCGGCGCGGGCGAGGGCCTGCTCGACGGCAAAGCGACCGGTACGAAGGGCCTGGGGTCGCGGTAGGCCGAGAGGGCACTGGGTCTGGTCAGTAGTACTGATGATCGCAGCATAGTATATGGCAAACAGGAGGGCCTCGGTGTTGCAATCGAGGGTGTCAAGCGAGGCGACCGCGTCCCAGAAGAGCTTTGTCAGGGTCGGCATATGGAAGATCTTCACCACAGGAGCGACATTGGTCTGGAAGATCTCGAATAGGGCTACCGATTGAGAGATGGACGGATGGTAGTCTCGCAGCGAGTGAGCGAGCGACCTGAAGCCCATGATGGCGGCATTCAAACCGACTGCGCCGACTGGTTCCCCTTTCTCATCTGTTTCTTCCGGCCAGATCCCTTCCTCGTCGTCATTGTTATCCGATGAGGATTCGTGTAGCAAATCCCGCAGTTCTTCAATCTATAGTCCTTGGTCAGGTCTTATCGAAATTTAAACTTGGGGGTAGAGAGAAGACCTCATCGCCTAGACTAGCCCAGAGTACGTTGCTCACATAGACGCTGGAGGTGCTGTCAATGGCAAGACGACCGTTCCGCTGGTCCCCTTGGGGTGGCAGAGGGGCTGTGGATGAGTCCAGGGGCTGTTGCTGGGTCTGTTGGCTTTCCAGCTGTCTAATGATGCTCTCCAGCCGGTCAAGTCTATCCAGCACCGCCGGGTTGTTCGTTGATTGCAGTGGCCGCTTAGGGGCGCGCCCCGTCCCAGTGGGATAAATGCAGGTGGAGGCAGCCCGAATGCAACCCCCACATGGTTGCTGTCGGTCACATTTGACCTTCCGTGAGCGACAGAGCAGGCAGCTGCGGCGCGGGGAATGGTGTCTCAGGGTGAATGATTCACTCATGCTGGCGGATATGTATATGCTAAGGAGCAACCAATGTATTACTACCTAGTGTTTTGATAAGGGAAGAGAACCTAGTGGAGAGGAGTCGGAGAGTCAGTGGTTCGGCGGTTCGGCCTCGGATAACTTATGCGACTCCGAAGTGCCACTTGAGTATTTTTATCCACGGAGTGCTTCATCCAGATGGATTTACTGCAGCAAGAACGTCATATGTAATCCAGAATCAATCCATAGTACCTTAAAAGAGAAAGAATGTGAAGGACCAATATAGAGCCGCGCACTAGGCTGGTTATTGCCAGTCGCCATGGGAGAGTTCTTCGGATTCGGTCCTCGAGTCTCATCACTGCTTGAGGATGCTGCAGATATGGTCTGCAAGACTTGATCAATGGAGCTGTTTAAAGAATGGACTGTCTGCTCGAGGCGCTGGAGCCGATCCTCAATGTTGCTCTCTGCTTCTGAGCGTCGTCGCCTGACTGTGCCAAGGTTTCCCGGATTGAAAAAAGGCACGTCCCGCGAATATACGCAGCTACCTGGCCATGGCTTGCAGTTGCTGCACTTGGGCAACTCTCGGGAGCATCTGCGAAACCGTCAGTAAGCTCAAAATACTTGATATTTCAGTAAATACTTGAGTTTCTTCTGTCATCAAAGGTCACACTCTGTTAGCTGACATAACGCCCCTCAGATCATCGGCCTACCCACCGCAAATCGAGCAAAGCTGTGCCCTGATCGTTGAAAACCACTGACTTCCATAAATTCCATGGGGATGCGGAGAGGAACTCCAGGTATATCATTCAACAATATCCTGTCAGAGTAGTCTCAGAGTGCACCGAAGCGAAAACAAAGAAGAATACATGAAACATGACGGGTGGCGGACAGTCCAAAAGGAGAGTTGCTGAGTCGCTGGTGTCGGAGACTCTGACGCACATTTCAACCAGCCTGGAGAGACAGTTACACGCTTTGGCGAGGGGCGCGACGCACCCGAGATTGATTGCCTGCAGCTGCGTCAACTGTTACTTGACTCAGTGGATGTACGTAAGATCCGATGGAACCATGAAGTGAGCTCCGTTGAGAGAAAGGAGAGCAACCCTTCTGGAAGTAAGGATAATGGCTACACTATTCACTTCACAAACGGCAGCTCAGTGACTGGGTGCAGGCTTATCGTCAGTGCTGATGGTGCTTGGAGCAAGCTTCGCTCTCTGGTACGCTGATGCGTCAAACGCGGAAGTCTGCATGTAAAGCCGAATCACTAAATATCTCACAGCTTACGCCAGCAAAACCCGTCTACTCTGGAAAAATGTACATCGAAGGCAAAATATCTCACAACAATCCGAGCTACAGCACAGCCAGGGAGACAGCCGGTCCACGAACCATGATTGCGGTGGGCCAGCAGAAGCAAATGGCCATGCAGCAGATCTCCGACGGCACATATCGCGTGTATTTTGGTCTGGGAGTGCCGGAAACGTCTACCACCACCGCAGTGGTAGCGCCGTTGACAAGACCGAAGCCGTACGTCAGAGGCTGCTGTCGTTGGACGATTTTTACGCATCCTGGGCGCCACAGCTCAAGGCCATTATTGCGAATTCTGAGGGCCCCTTTCGTGCTTGGTCTTTGTACCGCATGGAGCTAGGTGACATTGGCTGGAAGCGCGAGGTCGCTCCTGGGGTGACTTTGCTTGGAGATGCAGCGCACGTGTCGACCTCGTTTGTGGGCCAAGGGGTCAATTGTAGCATGTACGATGCAGTTGTGCTGGCTGAACGCATTCTTCAGCACTGCGGGAGTGTTTCAAATCTCACCAATGTTCCGACAATCAGGGTGGAAAGGCCTTGGCCTCATATGAAGAGGATTTGTTCAAGCGTGGCCGGGACCTGGTCCGTCGTAGCACGGAGAGCGAGGAGATGTTATTTGCTGAGAATGCGGATGCGCATTATATTATTCTTCACATTTGGCCCTCTAATGGTATTATCCGTATTCTACTCTCATTCCAACTAATGTGTGGTCAACATGACAAAAAAAGTCTGCGTACTCTCTCATCAGACATCTCAAAATCAGTATATGAGCTACGCTCTTCAATTTTACTCCTAAATCCTAGTAGCCAAAATGTGGAGAGCCATTTCTGTGTGGGCAGATATGGTTGCTTTGGTTACGAAATATGGTGCCTGACTTGTTTCTACTGTGTCTCTGTGGCTGCTTGCTGTAAGCGTGCTTGGCAAGCCCATCAGGACAGCGTCTTTGCTGATTGTAGCATAGTCCCATTTTGCCAAACCGCTGGAAACGAGCTTGTTTGGCCCAGAATGCAGTATGATTTGCTTAGCATGCTTCTACATCTCATGAGGCACTGATACTGTATCTATCGGTCTTTGCCTTGAATGGTTAGATTAGTTTGATTCTAGATATATGGGAGTCCTGATCAGGTACTCTGCAGTTAGTCATTAGTGCTTATTTCTCCTGAGTCCTGCGTCTGAACCTGACCCCTCTTCCTGGTCACAATACCTACATTGATGTTGTCCTTTATTGACAGCTTGCCACAGTAGGATGAATGCTACATTGGCCTCCACGTTGTCGCGATAGTGTTTTAGTGAAAAACATCTTTATGTTGCGAACATCTAGCCTATCATGCCGGCCACTGCAAGCGCCCCCCTTCCCCTGACGACAACATTTACGCCGCCCAGCGCGTGCCTTAAAGATCTATGGGCCGTCAGCAGTGCCCCTAGTCACGTCCTGTGGATGAACCTGGGCCCCATCGATACCACAAAATGTCTCCCGTCCGGCTGGGCAGCGACTACGTATTTTTCACCCGGAATATGCCCCAGTGGCTATGTCATCGCGACCACCTCGAAAAACATGGCCGGGACTATGACAGAGACTGTCGCAACATGCTGTCCGGTGTAAATCTGTCTGGCATCTATCCCCCGTTCAAAAGTGCAGCCAGGCTCACAGTACATTTTCAACTTGTTTTCTAGGGATGTTGATTCGAACACGTACTCCATTCGACCGAGCGCAGCGTCGACAGAGTCCTGGTGGGCGTCTGAGGTGTGTGCCTGGGGACCTCCGACGGACGCTGTGACGCGCTATACCTATACATCGATCGGCACGGACGGTCGGGAGACGAGTGAACCCGGCACTATGAGCAGCCCAGGCTCGTTCAATGCTTATGGTGTGGAGGTTCGATGGCAGTCAACTGATTTCACCACCCCACCAGCTACCAGGGCTGTGACCACCACACACGCTGCGCCAGCCGAGACACAAAGCTCTACAAGAGGTTCATCCAGCCTCAGCGCGGGCGCGAAAGTGGGCATCGGCCTGGGTGTCACTGCCGGGGTAGTTTTAGCAACGGCCCTTGCGTTGGGCTTATTATGGTCCCGGCGACGAAGACGCCAACAGCCCAATGCGACGCAAGATCAGCCTGGGAATCCCGATTACAGTGAACTGGCTGAATTGCCAGGCACAAGGCATAGACCACTCACTTATGAAAAGGCAGAGTTACCTGCTAATCCTGCACGAAGTCAGACAGAACGATTTGAGTTGGACGGGCAAAGGTCTAGATGAGAGCTATTGATGTGGGACTTGTCTAGATAGCATACCAAACTCCTGTTTTCGTTCCTGGATATGACATTATTTCTCTTAGCACCTATGTGATTTGCTGAGAATGCGGCAGAGCTACTTCTCCAGGCTATCAGTGGCGCTAATGGTGCATAGTAAGAGCGCCGCATGAAGGTAGATGTTGTGTTATTATGTTTCACATTTGGCCCCTATAATGGTATTATCCATATTCTACTCCTAATATACAACCATCAACACCATGGTGCATTAGGCTAGCGCCCTTAGAAAGGTTTCTCCAGACGTCAAGCTGTCAAAGACCTCTAAGCCTTAGTCTTCAGGAAATCTACCACTGCTATAACAAGAAGTCTGTTAGCAGACATACTTTAGGATAGAGAAATAGGCAATAGGCAAATCACCTGATCTCAGCTCCTCCGGCCGCTCCTGAACCACCCAGTGTCCACAGTCTATATTGACGATCCGTGACTGAGGAAAGAAGGAAGACATGCGTGGAATCGCAGTCTCTGGGATGTAATGACTTCGAAGTGCCCGAATAAAAAGGGTAGGATTGTGAAATTGTACCGCCTCGTTCTTGTGCGGGAAATCGCCCAAGGGAGTCAATGCTGTGTTGAGTATATCCAATGGAACGCGGCATTTCAGATACGGCGAGTCGCTATCTTTGACAAAATTACTCAGCAAAAATATCCGTATGGGTAAAGACTGGCTCAATCAATGTCAGCATCCATCTTACGAAGGTGGAAATAGAATAGTGGCATGTACATCCTCATATTCTCTCAGGATCTTCTCAGCCTCGTGGTGGGTTTTCACCTTGGCATCCCCGACTTTTGCCATTCCTTCCAGGTACCTTGGAAAGTCATCTACCAGGGGTAAATGGATTGGGCAGTTATCAATGGCTACAACATCGGAGACAAGCTCTGGTAGTTGAAGAGCGAGTGTTAAAGCAGTTTTGGCACCCCTGGCAGTAGATTAGCAATAACGAGAGATCCGGGATGCCCGCAAAGGGAGTTCCACATAGAATGACCGATAAGTGTTGCTCTCTCCATCCCGTGGCTCTGCATGAAAGATGCAACGTCCAGCGCCATTTCCATGTAATCATGTTTCAAGTGATGGCCCGACTCCCCATGATTACGAAGATCCTTCATTCCGTCAGCTTGAAAGTCGCCAAGTCTTGATTTGAATGCAATGCTTACTACAGCGAAGACCGGTCTTGATAGATCTCTAGCCAATAACCTTAATCAAAGAATGAGCCCGGAAAGCAACGGTGTGACAAGACCTCATAGTAGCTTACTTGCTTATCCGTCGGTTTTCTCGCTTCGACCCAAGGAATCCATGTAGGAAAATTATGGGGACATGCTTGTTGGCACTCAAATGCTTGCAATCTGCAGGTGTGAGGCTATGTAGTTCATAAGCCAAGGCGACCCTTGAGGTTGCAACTGGCGAAGAAAGTGGTTTTATGCGCGCGAGGCTTTGACCCAAATTCTTTAGGGCAGCAGACATAGGAATTAACAAGCAGGTATTTAACACTCAGGCTTAGTACATTGGGTCCCTGGGATGTTATTTTGGGATCACGTCCATCCCTGGCGGAGAAGAGCTGATATGACTCATCTAGCTATTTTGGGCTGCTCTAAACCACACTAGTCAGTTAGTAGTTAGTGGGTGAATCCTGACTGCTGCTTTATCTTCACCTTCATCCTCTTCACACTGTTTACCTGAACCTCTAATCCTGAATATAACACAACAGTAATCTTACTCAACCCTCTTTCTGTTGACTGCCCTGTTCCATCACTCTAGGATCATGTGTATAACAGAGTTTTCACAAATAATACTTACATGTCAGCCCAGGGTCTCAACTCACCAAGGTCAGGGTAAATGAAATCATCATCATCATGATCATCATCATCTCTGAATGTACAGCCTGCCTCCAGCCTTCTACTCTGTTGCTTAGGGTGCCGGTTTAATAGCCCATAAGAAGCCGGTGTGATAGTATCTGTTGAGCTAGCATAAAGGAAAATGAGTTCAAACAGGGGATAATTCGAACCACCCGGCGTTGAATGACGGTGATCTTCCAGTTAAAAGAAAGAATTGACTACAACAACATTACAGAATAAGGCTCACATGTAGTGCCGCAATAGCAATAATCCATTGCTTTTCCCAAAGCGGGAAGCGTCGCATTCATCATTCTCAAATAGGCAGTAAAGCCGCAGTATGCACTAACGTTGCTGAGCCCAGATGCCTCTCAGTTCACCTTTCTGGAATGGGTCAGACACCCCTGTTCTCCAATTTAACTGCAGCCGTGGCCCGAATCACCCGTATGCGACCACCTGCCAACAACACAGTATGACTTACAGTGGCAAGCATCAACAAGTTCGGGACCAAACACCCACAACGCTTCAATGAGACTTTCAGGCCCGAATGCCTTGCGCGGCAGCATAATGTTTGCCCTACCCTCAGTGACCTCTACAGAGAGCTCGGGATCGCGACCGTCCAGGGTTCGAAGCCCGAGAACATCCTCCAACCCATGCTCCTCCAGCAAGGCAGAGAGTTCCATCAGAAATTCTGCGTCCCTAGTACCCTGAAGGACCGGGTGTGAGGATTCCTCATCCTCGGCAAAGTCGAACTCATATGGCATGAAGCTGTCTCGGAAGAGACGGTAGGAGCGCGGCACTATTGCGCCCTGGTACTTCGGTACGATGGGATCGGCATTTCCGCCTACCTCCCAGGGCGCTGAGACGTTTCGGTAGTCGACCAGGCGCTGGGTGGCCGTGATTGGGAAGTGTCGGTGCAAGAGAGCAATTCCGTAGCGTTCGTGAACCCCTCGACGGAGAAAGAGGTCTCGGATGTCACTGAGGAGGACGTTCCTTGCGCCCTTGTCCTGAAAGTTCTGGGCTCCGACGGAGAGTGTGGGGAGAGAATTGTATGCATCTGGATCGTACATTTGTCTACCTGGGATGTAAGTCCTGAGTCGTGGAGACGGAGGAGCAGCAGAAGAGGTGGAATGCTTACGCCTCCATAGTGATCTTTGCAGCGGGGATTACAATCAGCAAATCTTGTAGGGCGCACAAGGCGTTTTAAAGAGGAAACTGTGAGTTGCTTGATATTTCATCCGAAGCAAGGAACAACAGCTCCTATTTATGCTCAACATTAGGGCTATCCTGCTGTTGCTTGCCTTCTCTATTTCAGCCTCCCCTTTACCATAAGCCTACTGTAATTTGTGCCCGCACAATGCTGGAAAGTGTCATGGATGTAGATTTAGGCCCATTGGTGATTGTACATCTGTAGAAAGTCGGGGCCTTACTACTGGTCACCTTGAAGGCTCCAATAATGTAGAACGAAAAGAACACATGCTGCACAGAATTCATAGCCTCAACTCACAGCCTGATCCGAAAACCCGTAGGACTTCTTTGATTGGAAAGTTATTGTTTGCTTTCCTCACACCCGCCCCTGCCACAACTACCTATTAATGCGAGGTGCTGAATCTAGCCAATTCCCTTGGCTACCCCTCACAGCCTTGCGCTTAGGCAGCAAGGTGTCACAACCACCATATAGATATCGCCAATGGCATCAATGGCAATATGTACGCCAGTGTAAAAGGCTTCTATGCCAAGTCCTTTGAGGCGAAGCCTTGAAGGGACGGTACATGTAGGCTGCGCCGTAACTTGCGGATTGGTTGTACACTTCAATCCAAACACACCCTGCAATATTGCGGTATAGAAGATTCCCTTCATTCCAGGCAGTGGCTATAATCAATCAGTTCTGAGTAGTTTCATTAAAGCTTATGGTCAAGAGGGGACACTTCCTAGCATGTTTAATCTAAGAAGAAGGGTAGGTTGGTTTACCAGAATTCACCCGTGACAGCCCTCTATAGATTCGTCTACCTTAATGTTGACGGTCATGCACTGTATGCTTCTTATAGCCTCTAGCTGTGTTAGCAGTAGCTGGTTACTACACAGCATAAGTTTGACAACTACTAGAGAAGTGCAACTCACTTGTCTGGGCTTAAGAATGCAGCTGCTGTGCACATGAAAAATGGCGCTTGCATCTATGCCCAGTATATCATCAAGACCTTCTCACTCAGTGTGATGCAGAAGGAAGTTGCTAAATTCGCACCACAGTTTCCTAACTGGAAAGTCTCAGCAATCAGCCAGCCTTGCGCTGCGAATGTACACAAAGTCTTCGCGCATTTGGACAGCCCTTCTGGGACAATGCGCAGTGCCCCATTTACATGAATCCAGAGACTAGACCGATTAGGGTTTCTCGAGGGCTTGGGGCTTCTTGTTGCAACAGGGGTGAATAATCAATCCTATCAGGACGAGGCGTAATCCGACAAAGAATCTCACAAGGAGGCCACGCGGCTCTCGCTTGTGTATGGGAAGAGAGGATGCAGACCCACGGCTGAAGTCCATTCCCTGTCCTTCTCACAGCGAATCATCAGAGCATCAAGGAAACCATCGACTGCTCGCTCCGTGGCGCTCATTTTTGAACTGATATTCACGAACGATGTATAGGAGAAGTTTCCATACTATCCAGAGACAGAAAGCTCGGACGAAAACAGTGCTGTAACTGAAGATGGACATGTCTGGAGGTGAGGATGATCGTGAGAATCTTGACTTGCCGTTAATATCATGAGAGCGCTTGCTTCACTAAAAACGGTGAAGTACAGATGTTTTACAATCCATTTCGGCTGTACTTGTCCTCGATATGGGTTTGGGGCCATGGCTGGACCAGACTCGGACCAGCACAGCATGCCCCGCTGAGATGACTGGAGTCTCCTAGACTGAGATAGTATCTGCAACTTGTATCATCTCCTTTTTATGTCAGAGAAAATCTATTAGTATTGTGAGGAGTACCTACTGCCTCATGCGTGGCGCAGGTACTAAGACAGGCATATACAGGAGAGACAGATGGGCGATAACGCCACGTTGCCCTAGAGCCTCCTGTAACTTTCGGCGTCTCTTGTTCTGCCCCCGCCGAGATCATGTCGTAGGTGGTCTCTACGTGATAATAACCTACCTCCTGATTTGGTTCCAAGTTTTCAAGCATGTCTCTCCACTGATGAGATCTCCATTGGCACCGCTCTTCTGGTGTTGTCTTAGAGGTTTAGAGCATCTGTGTTCTCTGATAGTGATAAGTTACACTCTAACAATCCATAGATTCATTTTTGAGGTTTCTTTGCAAAAGCATCCAGTATAGTCACTAGCTAAAGGCATATAAGATACGTATCTCTCCAGTCTTAGCCAGTGATCGATACGACAGTAATATAATCAACTATGTCGACCACGAACACCCTTCCACTCAGCAATCTGGGCGTTCTCCCAGATCTTCTCCGAATGTCCCTGAACGGCGAGATCAATCGCTCCCCGCGCCAACACGTCCACCCGCACTGAGGGTGCCAGACCACGGATGCAGTCGGCAAATGTTCCCTGGCGAGTCAGCACCAAGCCCGGGCGCATAATGTACGACTCAAATGTGGTGGAGTGAGCAGCTTCGTGCTCCAGCAGGATATTCTCAGCTTGACCCTGGAGTAGTCAATCTCTACATACTGAAGATAAGGAAGTGGGAGTGGGTTCATACCCTCACACGACGATAGCCCGCAAAGAACCACAGAGGTTCTGACTGGTCTCGCTCAGCCAAACCGCCGCTGACATACACGAAACGAAATTTTGGACTTGCAGAGGCTTCGTGCCCTGCCTCATTTGAAGCAGTAAAGGCATTGTAGAAGGCCTTGGCAGCCTGGCTGGTATACTCCAGTGTCACCCGCCGGAAGGCCTGTTCATCGGAAGCGCGCGAGGGAGTAACGCCTAGCGTCCAAATACAAGCGTCTGCGCCTCGGAGAGAGGCAGAGAGTTGGGGATCTGAGTAGGAGAGAAAATCTTCGTCTTCCATGCGGTGGACATGGAGTTTGGGATGTGTGGTGGGCAGTTCACGGCGGCACAGGGCAACAATAGAAGTGATAGAGGGATGGGCCAGGCACTGTGAAAGGACCTCTTGTCCCACGAACCCAGTCGCGCCAGCAATGATGACCTTCATGGTGCTGTCTGTATAAAGTTTATGGACATCAAGAGACAGGACAGGTTACAGCGTCGAGCGATATGTGCTCACTGCATGTGGTGGGCAGTGGTCAAATAGTGTGACCGTGCGGGTGACGGCTGATAACGAATGTCTCGATTGACTGTCCCCCCGACTTTATTACCTGCTAGACATCATTGGACATTTGGCTGTAAGTGGGGAAGATCCATGCAGCTTTAGTGCTGACGTCCAAATACGCCTCGGCCACTCGTCCACGCTAATGGTTACTCCGTATTCCGTAGAAGCGGCGGCTAATCCTGTTAGAACACGATCTCTTCTCATTGGAGCCAACGAACTTACACATTATCGACTTCTTTGTGCTTATCGACACACGCGTTCAACCGTTGGCCGATAGAAATCACCTATACCATACTTGCATCAACTCCATTCTCGAAATTATGGGCCGGATGGTCACATCTACTACAGTTGTATGTCCACAGCAGTAGCCTTTGGAGCTCAGGAGTCATAGCCTTTTGCCAGTCATGTCAACTACAATCGCCAAACGCAAGCGCGCGAGAAAGGCATGCATCCCATGCCATCAGCGCAAGCGGAAATGTGACACAATGTATCCCTGTGCCATGTGCACCACTTATGGATACAACTGCAGGTACACCGACGACGACACCACTGATACTACGGGTGATGCCGTACTTATTTCACCCGCAGCCAAGCGCGTCAGCCTCGACGGTGAAAACCGTCCGATGAACAAGGCCGCCACAGCGCGCAGTCTAGGCAGCCGGTCTCACATCGTGCGAGGCTCCCACGAGGCCGACGGCTCGTCGACAAAGAGTCCCACCGTCGTGGACAGCGCCTCTCCGGGCATCTTTGATGAGCAAAGGTTCAGACACTCTGGGGCATCGGCGGCCACGGCGTTCCCACACGTCCTGAGTGTGGCTCTTGGCTCCGACAGTCCTCCCAAAATGCGGTCCTTTGCCTACAACTTTGGTATTCGCCCCGAGGAGGCATCTAACGCTCACTGTTTTCTGGGGAATCTCATCTCCGAGAAAGATCTCGGTTTCTTCTCAGGAGTGTACTTCTCAACACTGGGCCCCATCGGCGACGTGATAGACCCGAGAATCTACGCCCAGCGATGTCGGGATTATTATCATAGTCCCGGCAGCAACGCGGTCGCCTTTGCCGCCGTGGCCGCTGGTGTGGCCGCTCTCGGGTCGTTCCTATCCGTCAACAGACACCCGCGGGAGTCGGACCTGGTGCAGCACGCCAAAGCCATTCTCGATGATCCGGCCTCGATGCGATGGCATGGTATCGACCATATCGTCGCGTGGGGCATGCGAGTGTTTTACCTGCGGGCCACAACCCGCCCCAGCAATGCCTGGATCGCCTCGTGCACCCAAATGCACCTCTGTGAAGCGATAGGGCTGCACGAGGAAGAGAGCATTAAGAAAATGGCGTCCACCGCGGGCGCCGCTGTCCTTGGACATGATGCGGACCGACTAAGGAGGATCTTTTGGATCTCGTGGGCTGGGCATACCATGTTGTCCTATGAGTACGATCGTTCGCCTGTTCACTTTCGGGAGGTTACTAGCCAGTCTGTCATTCCGGTGTCGGGGTCCTTTGCCGATCACTTCGTTCAATTAATCCAGATCATCCCATCGCCCAACTCTCCGTTCCAGCTCGAATCACAGCCCCCAACTCTCACCGAGGAACTATATGAACGTCTCAGAGTATTGGGCGGATTCCAAACAACACATCCGTTCCTGGTTGTGACCAAGGCGGACATCGCGTTCTGCTTCTATCGTCGCCTTTACCAGCTCAAGGCCCGCATACCGGACGAGGTCATCAAGCTCGTCATTGACAGCGGCAACGCCGCAGTGGAGGCAGCCGAGCAGCAAGCTAATCAGGGTCGTCTGTTTTGGAATGTCATCGGTGGCGTCTTCCAGTATGCCTGCATTCTGTTGGCCATCGACACGCCGGCCGCCTCTGTTCACATTGGCGCGGCCTTCAAGGGCTTGGAGAACCTGGTCAAGGCTGCCGATACAGCACTGACGCGTGAGGCGTTGTCGATGGCGCGGCATCTACTCAGTCTTAATCTGGCGAAGAAGCGAAAGGAACTTGCTCGGTTGGAAATTGTCGAGGCGAACTATCAATTCTTTCCGGCGCAGCCGGCATCCGAAGCCAACCCTGCGGTGCCAGATATGGACTGGGAGGTGGACTGGGACCAGTTCTTTATCGAGCCATATCTATCGATGCTCGGCCCTGACATTCAGTTATAGTCCCGGGACAAGATTCAGTATTCTATTCATGTAAACTTACCATTGAAGATATCTAAACATACTCCTCCTGCGTTTCGCTCTTTCCTGCGCCGCTTCTGGCGTCTTGGAGTGATGCCACTCCACAAAACAGAAAACCAGAGCCACAGCTACACCCAAGCCGGAGAGACCGACTCCCATGTAGAATGCGCCCCGGTATCCTTGTAGAACATCCTTCCCTCCATTCTTGACCTGTCCCTCGACCGTGCCGGCAAGCCCGAGCCCAATGGAGATGGAGTAGTTGACAAATGTGTTGACCAGCGACGCGGCGAGACCCTGATGCTCCCGGGGCATAGCCCGACTCAGGATTATAGTGCCGGCGGGGAAGGACATGTCCATACCCCAAGGGGACGATGATCCCCACGAAAGTCTGCGCCCAATAGACCTGATGGACTGGCGCAGTCGCAAATATGATTCCTCCGATGAGGAAGAAGGTCATGGAGATGAGCATCACGGTCGAAGTGCGGAAGTGACTCAAGATCAGACCGGTGGTAACCGCAGCAAATAGCCCACTTATGGCGACCGGAGCGAACTGGGCGGATGTGAGCAGAGGGGTCTGATCCCTCAGGATCTCGAGGAGATTCAAGGTATAGAAGACGAAGATCCCGAAGCTGGACCAGCCGGCGCTGATGCAGGCTAGGGTGAAGAGGGATTCTATCTGCAGGACGCCGAAGGGGATCAAAGGGTGGCTCACCCTCTTCTCGACTAGGACGAAGACGACGAACATGACGATGCCGGCAATCATGATGCTGTAGGTGTAAGGTGTCGGCCAGCCGACAACGGCGCCTTGGTTCCAGGCGAAGTTGAAGAGAACCAGAGCGACCACGCCGGTGATGGAGCCGAATATTTCGACACGCTGCCAGATACTGGCACTTTCAGGCTCAGTTTTGCTCGGCACCGGGGTTTCGGGAATGACAAAGATGCCCAAGACGGCCAGCAGAAGGCACGCAAAACGCAGGACCCAATAGGACCAGGGCCACCAGGTTATCTGGGAAAGCAGGCTGGACAAAACGGCGCCGAGTACGAAGCCGCCGGGGGCAGTGGCACCGAACAAACTGAAGATCATGTTCTGGCGACATCCCGGATCGTAGCAGCGACTGAGGATAGCGACGGCGTTGGGCAGTAAGAGAGCCGGGCCGATGCCCTGCATGGTGCGGCAGAAAATGAAGAAGCCGGAGCTGCTGTAGACGGCAACGCCAGCAAGGGCGGACCACAAGCCGAACCAGGCGTAACCGCCAACGAAGAAGGGCTTGTGGCCGAAGACATCGCCCAGGCGGCCTGCGATAAGGATGAAGGTGCCGACGGTGAGGGAGTATCCCGCAGAGAACCAGCTCAGCTGGGCAGGCTGGTCGTCGATGCCGAATGAGCGACCAATGATGTGTTGAGGCACGATGCTGAGGGCAAGACCGGCTTGAGTCAGGAGCTGGGAGGAGCAGATGACCGCGACGAAGAGGACTTTACCGGCGAGGGACTGGGGGCGTTTGACGTTGCAGTTAAAGGGTTGCAGCTGATGGCCTTCGGTGGTGCCGTCGGGAGTCTGGTTGCATACGCCGTGTCCATAGTCCGCATTCGAGGCTTCGGGGGAAGTCTGCCCCATGTTGTCTTTTTGTCTGAATGATATCTGTGCGGTAAATATGGCGGACTGAAGCTATGACGATGGCGTTGCCGACTTTGAGTCGTGGTTCTATGTGTTGACAAGCTGCCATGGAGTATATCTAAAATTTGTGCTCCTTGAGGTTCGAGACTGAGCTTCTGCGAGCGTCATAAGGTCATCTTTCCCTGCATATTATTTCCAACCTCATCATCTTGACACTGCCGAGATATACGCGGAGGTCTGTTTGTCGGGAATTGAATAATATCGGCTATGCTGTCTTAACGCCGCTCAATGTAGGTGCGGTGCGGCTATTGCGGAGTTAGTCAGGACGACCACTGTCGAGTAGATAGAATGATAGTACCACTTTTAGTAGATGAGGCCCTGAGTGCGGCTGCTGCGGGACGATCATCAGTAATCCCACTGTATCTCCGTCCATAGGGGCCTTCGCACTGGGGCGCCAGTATCTTGGGTGGATCAAGTTTGAAGGTTTGCCCCAATCAATCCCGATAGACGAGCTGGAGAATATGTAGCTGTTCGGAATTGCCGAATCCGATCAGGTGTCACTAGCTGAGATGGAGAGAATGACATGAGTGGCTCTGTAGAGATGGTGAGACTGGACCTAAAATATATAAATAACAGCAATAGCCAGACACCCACAAGCTCAAACGGCAACAACAGCTTCAACACCACGACCACAACAATAATACACATTACTCATCAATTCAACATCCTTTCCAAAAAGAAAAAAAGCCAGATGCCCGAGTACGCCAAGAACCAGCCAACCGGCTTCAAAAACGCCATTGAGAGAGTCGCCATTGTCGGCGTAGGTACATCCCTCAACAGGATCAGATACACAACAGCTGACAACGTCCTTAGGCTGGAGGCACTATTGGATCCCACATCGTTGCAGCTCTCCTTAAAACAGGGAAGCACACAGTTACGGCTCTCACCCGCAAAGATAGCAGCAACAGACTCCCTGAGGGCGTCATAGTCGCCCGAGTTGACTATGATTACGAGGCCACCATTGTCGACGCGCTCAAGGGCCAGCAATTTCTCATCATAACCATGGCCCCTACTGCGCCCCGGGACTCCCACAGCAAGCTCGTCCAGGCAGCCGCTAAAGCGGGTGTTCCCTACATCATGCCCAACGGGTACGCTGGCGACACTGACCACATCAAACTCGGCGAGGACACGCTGCTGGGACCCGTGGCCAAGGCTAATCGGGACGAGATCGAGAGGCTCGGCATGCAGTGGATCACGGTGTGCTGTGGGTTTTGGTACGATTACAGCTTGGCGGGTGGCGAGGCGCGCTTCGGATTCGACTTTGACAAGCGTTCCCTGACAATTTACGACGATGGCAACACCAAGATCTCTACTTCAACGTTATCGCAGGTTGGGCGCGCTGTGGCCAAGCTGCTGAGCCTGAACGAGCTGCCTGAGGACGGAAACGACAAGAGCCTTACTCTGTCGACGTTTCTTAACAAGGGCCTGTACCTTAAGAGCTTTGTCGTCAGCCAAAATAGCATGTTTGAGAGCGTTAAGCGCGTCACTGGCACCACTGACGCTGACTGGACGATAACTCATGAGGACACCAAGAAGCGATACGAAGATGGCCTGGCGCTAGTCAAGCGTGGTAACATGGCTGGCTTTAGTAAGCTGCTCTACGCCAGGGCGTTCTACCCGGATGAGCAGAGCGAGTTCTCGGCCAAGGCACAGAATGAGCTCCTTGGTTTGCCGGAGGAGAGCCTGGATGAATCTACCAAAGTTGGGATCGATATGGTCCAGGAACTGCAGCGTCGTCCTGAGCGTATGGCGTCATAGAAAACAACATCTACAGAGCTTACATTCAATCCCAAGTGCGTTGCATAACCAGGTCTGACAGAAACAGAAAACGAAAGAGAAAGAAAGAAAATTTAAGAACCATCTCGGGCAGGATGACACTCCTGCGTCCGATCAGACTGATTCAATCCGTTAGGTTAATGGACCGGCGCGGCAGATCAGTACTGACTGGCGGATCTAATCGAAAATAGAGGGAGGATTCCAGAATTGTGCAGTTGTTAAGTTGTTGACCATCGTGGTCTACAAAATTCTCAAAGGCAACAAAGTACCCAAGCGTTTGTAAGATAGTGAGATGGCTCTCTCCTTCGCAGCTTCGTTTGCAGACAGGAATGCATATCATACATATTCCCAATAGTGTGGCAAAGCCAGGCTTACTAGCACAGTGAAGAACTGTGGTGCACACCACTGTAAGGACTCCTTGTGGTAGATATCCATGAAAGTGTTAGAGAAAGACAGCGGGACTACAGCACCAAGATATATTGGGAAAATGCAGGACAAGAGCTCCTAGCAAGATTAGGCATAGAGGGAGGCAAAAGTATGCGGTTATAAAGGACGGTTAGGTAGTCTGTATGGACAGTGATGGGCAGAGGTTAAGTAGAATAATCAATGTGTCATTTCTCCTCTTATGTATGGAAGGTAGTAAAGGTAGATGTCATATCAACTAGCAAGGCTGAACCAACAATGCAAGCACGACCATCAGATCCCCAGATGAATCGCTTCCTGAGCCTCCAACAGCTGCAGATACACGCCCGCCACATTCCACCGCACCTTCATTGTGCGAAACGCCTCCCGCAGACTCTGCATCACTGCTGCTGCATGTGGCGTCTCCCGTTGAGCCCCCATATGCGCCCCGCAGATGCGGTAGGCAAAGTACAGCCCCCATGGGGACATGTCTTCTAGGTCGCGGCCAAGGAAACATTGACGCTCCACCAGGTTGGCGCTGATCCGGTCGGTGATTTGGTCCAGCACGACTCGCGCCCGTCGAGACCGGTCGCTGTGAGGATCAGGGGCTCGGTCGGGGACAAGCCACGGGGTATACAGGGCGACAAGCGCACTGGTGATTGAGACTAATCAGTTTGATCAACTGGCAAGGGAGGCTTTACAGACCTGTACACAAAGGTAATCTGATCATAGTCCGGACAGTCAATGTTCAATGCCGCAGCCAGCATCGACTGCAAGGTGCGATCGAGCTGCATCCAGACCTCGTCGTGGATGGAGACGTCGCTTCCGAGGTGGTGCAAGACCTGCCCTAGGAGTCGGGCAGCCTGACACAGCAGAGCGAACTTACTCATATGGCCCGTCATTGGAGAAGACAGGGTCGAGAGGTCCTCTGGTCGGACAGTCTACTCCAGGCATTAGAGACTGGCGGAACACATGTGTACGGACATACCCCCTGGTCCCATGCTGCATCATCCGCGGGTAGAAGATCGTCCAAACGTGGATCGTCTGCGGCGAAGGGTCGTCCTGGACAGCCGATGCTCACGAAACTACGCAGGGTCCAGCCATTAGTCTACTGTACATACAGTATGCATGCAGCCGAGTGACGTACCGATCGAGAATTACTATCGCCCACCAGACTCTGCGCCGTTCCTCCACCTCGACAAAGGTAAGCACTCTCCGGGACGGCACGGTGCGAGAAACATTGATGCCCAGCGCGTGAGCGTACCGCGCACATGCCCCAATCGACAGGTACGCCGCCGGGTAGATCCCATGGCCCAGTTCATACAACGCCACCAGGACCCCAGCCTGCAGCACGAGAATGGAGAAGGCACCTTCGACCTCCACGTAGAAACGCCGAACGGCGTCATACAAGGGGGTGCGGGGACCCCGCGCCCCGGCCGGGGGGAATGTGGTGATCAACTTGAGAGCCAGGAGCAACAGGACTACATCGGGGCAAGCGTGGAATGCAGGCTGCAGATACGTATCGTAGAATCTCTTTTTCGAGATGAAGGGCATCCACTTATGGATGTGATCGAAGAACCGGCCTGCAGTGAACCGGATCTCGTCCAGGTCACCAAGCAGATGCAGGATGTGGGGTGGAACAGACACTGTGCTGTGTGCTGTGTCTACCTGTCCGTGCTGCAATAAGCCCGGGTCGAGGAAGAGGATGGTGGGAAAGTCTATGGTGCGGACATCCCGTTGCTGCTCCTCGTCCAGCGGAGAGGGGTACCATCCCCTCTTCGGGTCCGATGCGGTAGTTGAGTGCGTGCTAGCTTCTGGCCACCAGTATGCACATGTCCGGCCTCGTCTGTGGCGGCATGGGAGTCAGCTCTGCCATCTACGGGGTTGTCTACCGTACTTAGCGCAGGAGGAGCACTTGGGAAGTGCCTTGTCGCACCTTCTCTTGCGTGATCTGCACGACTGACAAGCTTGCGGAGCCCGTTCGAGGCTCGAATTCCGACGGGAAGTCTGCATGATGTGCGTAGTCTGGGTGTGAGTGGTGACTGAGGGTGTAGAACATCGACTGACCCTGTCTGCCCGAGAGTGAGAGCGGGGGTAGCTGCTGCTACTGAGGCGGCTGCAGATGGGCGGAGAATGCGGCCGCAATGCCCGCCTTGTGGGGACCGCCTATTGGCAGCCGTACGGCAGACCGGATGACAAATCCAGGGTCCAGGGATCCGGGGAATTCTATACACGTTCATAAGTTATAAAGACCTGGACACCACTCTCATGATCGTGGAGTATACAATAGACGACCTCATCAAGCTTATCTCACTATTTTTCTCTTCACATTCTGAGCACTTGCAACCTGCAACGGGCTGCACAAGATGGGTTCCTCAAGTCCCTACGCTGCTGTGCATCTCGACCCCCAAGGAGCCGGGGATGCCCGGCCAACCGCCCTCCAGATCATCCAAGATGAGGGCCTTGAGGGCAAGCTGGCTGGTAAAATAATTGTCATCACTGGTGGCACGTCAGGCATTGGTGTCGAGACCGCCCGCGCCCTGAAAGCCACAGGAGCCACTTTATTTCTCACGGCCCGCAACCTGGCGAAGGCCCGCAAGAACCTGGCTGGCATTCTTGAGCCCGGTCGTGTCTCTCTCGTCGAGATGGACCTAGATTCCTTTAAAAGCATCCGGGCTGGTGCGGAGCAAATCCTCTCCACTACAAAGGGTCAGGTTAACATCCTCATCAACAGCGCGGGAGTTATGGGGCTGCAGAACTACAAGCTCACTGAGGATGGGATCGAGGCGCACTTCTCCAGCAACTACTTGGGATCCTTCTTACTCTTCCAACTGCTAAAGCAAGCTCTGCTGATCAGCGTGACGCCCGATTTTCATTCCCGCGTGGTCGTGGTGGCCTCCTCCGCACACCGCGCCGCCACTCTCCCATCCAGTGACAATTACAACTTCGAAAAGGGCGGATACAGCCATGAGATAGCCTACAACAACTCCAAACTGGCGGCTGTGTACTTGGCTAACAAGATCGAGAGGAACTACGGTGCCCAGGGACTGCATGCCACCAGTCTGCATCCCGGCGCCATCAACACCGACATCTCCCGCAACATGCCCCCCGAGTTTCTGGAGGGACTCATGACCAACCCGTACATTCTCATGATCTTGAAGTCGGCAGAACAGGGTGCAGCGACAACCGTCTGGGCTGCTGTGGGCAAAGAGTGGGAGAATAATGGTGGAAAGTATTTGGAAGATGTCAGGGAAGCGGAGCGGGGTGAGGACGATGGTCAGACCTTTGGAGTGGGATGGGTAAAGCAGACCTACAATCCCGAGGAAGAGGACCGCCTCTGGAGAGACTCGCTGAAGATTGTTGGTCTGGAGGGTGACGCTTGATTCTCAGGAGATGAGTGCCAAGAGCTCATGGATTAAGATTCATGTGCCATGCCAGCTATAACGGAATTTGCGGCGCTATGGAGCGGTCATTGTTATGCCATCGCGGATGACTCGGATCTGTACTCGGCAGCAGCGCATGGAAGCAATCCTTGATAATAAAAGTACGACTGACTATGTGCGGGGCCCAACTCAAACGATCTCATCTCGGACTAATCCGAGGCTAAAGTGGCGCAATTTCCCCTAACCCTATCGCAAGGCTAAGCCCCTTAGAAGCCTAATTAGCAACTGCTGGACTTGGCAAATAGAATCCAATCACCTCACCATAGCTATGCCAGAATATGGCTGATAGGTCAGAATACCAAGATCCGTAGTAGTGTCCAGTCTGGGCCCTGTCAACAAGTGATGATGAAAATATATTGTTGAATCATGCCATCGTCTTTGCATTAACAGGATGTGCTTCCTGTCTCCTGTACCGTCCAGTAATATCACTTGGATTTCCTCCGTTCCCAGTAACTAAACTAACTAGGCGCTTACAGAAACTTACACCTTGGGGAAGCGGACGGGATGGAGGTGTGTTCCGAACCCGACAGTCCGGTCCAGTGTCCACCTTCTGTCTTTTTCTTGCCGGAAGAATCTGTAATTGGATGGGACATAGGCTCCACCAGGGGATCAGCGGGAATGATGCATTGATTTTAAGCAACACAACAAGCGGGAGGATCAATTGCCTGCCAGATAGACAAGGAGTATTCTGGGGCCCTGGACAGACAGAGACACATTCAAGCCAACAGCCACGTTACACGTATATGTGGACAGCACACAAAACAGGATTCCGGAGACTGCGGCGTAGTCAACTTGCATGAGAGGGGGTCAATCCTGGTGGAGGGCACTGTTCAGGTGGGGTGATGGTCACTTTAGCATGGCGCTTAGCCATAATTTGAGCAGGGGTTGGAAATGAAAGTAGTCGTAGGCCTCATCATAGAATGACGATTATGGATAGCTCTTTCCCCGGGATGTGACTGGGTAATTCGGCTGTAATGAGTGCAGCACTGAGTGGTGTGATAGACGGGCAAAATCATATATACCAGGGTCTGAGTGGAGAGATAAAATGAGTGATGGAGAAGGGGAGGCTAATGAGGATATTTTTTCATTAACCAGGGTGCATTAAATATTGTGTCAGATGGAACAAGGTGAGAGATGTTAGAAAAAGCCCAAACTAACAGCTTGTCTGATTTCTCCGTTGTGGGGATGGGGCGGGGGGATGGGGGAAAATGAAAGAATATGACGGACTGCAGCTTTGATGGTAGACTTTTGTTCTTTACTCTTTGCTGCAGTATTACCTATGCATAGACAGTATCCATAGTAGGTACCCTATATCTTTTCTCTCTAAATATAAGTTCTAACTAAACCGTGCACAACCTGAGTATACTCCATAGAAGGATCTAACATTAATATGATGCTACTAAGGGTTTAATATCCCTGCTAGGTGATGATTCAATATTGATCCTATAGCATCGAAACTCTACTAGATGATGACTTGATTTTGATGACCCCTGTACCCGTGAATGTAACATCGGGTGGTTGACCCTAGAATCGGGTGGCCGGTAGCGCCTGGAGTTCGAAATATATAAAGATAATAGTCTAGGAGTCAAGAGGAATGTCTGGTCCCTTTGTTATACTAGAGTTCTGATCTCAACCTGGGCTGCTCTGACAACCCAACAGAACTGTGACTTCCTACTATATGATTGGTTTGGCTCTTTAGAGCCTCATATGCATGGAGTAGTTACTTCTCTCTAGCCTCTCTGACACTGGAAAAAGGTGGGCCAGCGGAGTGCCAAGAGATTCCATGTTGCTGAGTGCTTACCTATGTACAATACAGTGAAGCTAATAAATGCGAAAGATCGGCCTTGGCTGAGAAGAAAAACTGGGATTACTGTGAGCCGGACAGTTGGCATCAGCCGATCTTATCAGTGTGAACAACCACTTTACTGGCGAAATGTCTCGCAAGCTAGCTAGTAGAAGCACTCATGGCTGCTGGACTTGTCGACTCCGAAAAAAGAAATGTGATGAAAATCACCCTTCGTGTTTCCGATGCACTTCTCTGCAGATAGCCTGCGATGGTTATGGGCCAAGGCCTTACTGGATGGACAGGGGAGATCTGCAGAGGGAGCAAGCTCGGTACAAGACGCATCTCATCGCCCAGATTAAATCGGCTATGCGAGAGAATGGATTACCCGGCACATCGCAAAACGGGGAACATGAATTAGACACTCTGGTTGCTAGAACCATCGCTACATCAGGCCATCCTCAAGCACACCCAACACAAGAAACTCTCCTGCGAAGTGGGCTTGCACCCGAACGCACCCTTCAACTTCTCGGCAGAGACGGGCATTTGCACACCTTCAGCGAGCCGGTATGGAGTGAAGCACTCAACAACGCCGATTTCTCGACGGAACTCTTCTACGATCAGCCAGTCCGCATGAGCTCATATAATCAGCCCTCCGCTGACGCTTCTGAGATACTAGCAACGAGTATATCGCCTCCCACTGAAGAAAGCAACGTGCGAGGTTCCATCGATGTCTCAAGATCAAATTCCTCATCCGAAGCAAACATGAGCGCATTGGATCTGTTCCGCGACCCGATATTGAGTGAATATTGCTCATCGGAGCTGTCTGGATACAGCAGTGAAGCGGACTGGTCGTTTTACGCGCAAAGGTTCTCGCGCTCAGGTTCCACAGATCTTGTTTCCCAACCGGCCGGACTCAACAATCCAATTTTGCACGGAGATGTGGAAGACATCTTATTCATGTATTACTTTGATCATGTTTTCTACATGCATTGTCCTTTTTACTTTCCTTCAAATAGGCAAGGGCGGGGTTGGCTGCTTTCAATCTTGAAGCGGGTTAACTCAGCCTATCATGCAGCTCTTGCTTTGAGCGAATATCACCACTCGACTTCAACGCAGCATGGCAGCGCTTATCCTGTCAGAACGCGAGGTGCATACTACGATCTGGCTCTCCAAGAATTGCAAACCAGCCTTCCACGACCCTCAGCGTGGACCGGAAACCGAGGTCTCCCCCACAATATCGAAGTCCTTACCACCATTCTTCACCTCTTGTTCTACGATGTACGCTCTTACTCTTCCGTAGTGCCATCTTCAGTGCTAATCATTCCATACAACAGTCATGCAGTGGTCGAAAACACAACTGGCAAGTACATCTTAACGGTGCGAATGCCCTACTTCCATCGCTTGTGCAAGCGCAGATGGGGTCAGCTACAGCAAGAAAACACCAAACAAAAGAACGTCAGGACAGGACAATTCCGCATCCTGATACTTCACTAAGCTTTTTGCTCGGTTTCTTTGTTCATTTGCACATTGTCACCTGTGCCTCAACTCGATCAGGCCAGTTTTTGATACCGGACCACAAGGTCCTGCTCGAGAGAGGCGAAATCAACTTGGCGGATTTGATAGGCTGCAGCAACTGGGTGGTGATCTTCATTTTTGAAATCTCATCCCTAGACAAGTGGAAAAAGGAAGAGGAGGATTCTCACAGATTGAGCCTCGTAGAGCTGACGAAACGTGGTTGTGAAATTGAGGAGCGCCTACTGAGCCGACTGGCTAGTATCGAGAACAGCCTTGCGCCAACAGCTCCGGTCGACGCTCACCTACTACCTGACTTTACCAAAACCATGATTACGAGGATATTTGCTCTCTCAGCTATCACCTACCTCCATGTAGTCATCTCCGGTGCTTATCCTGATATTCCAGATATCAAGTCAAGCGTTTCGAAAACGATTGACGCTCTTCGAAGTTTACCAGACCCAAAATTGTTACAACATGTGGTCTGGCCGTATTGTATCTCTGGATGCCTAGCGGCCGATGAGCAACAAAATGTTTTCCGAGAGCTTGTGTCCATGCCACCCGTAACGCATGGGACTTGTTTAGAGGCCTTGAGCATCATGGAAGAATGCTGGCGGTTCAGGAAAACGGAATCAGGCAGTCATGATTGGGCGTCTATCATGGAAAGACGTGGTCAGTATATTCTGCTGATTTGAATAGATCTAAAAACTAGAATTTCAGGCAGCAACAAAGAAAAGGAATCTACTGTATTTCGGTTTAGAAGGATATAAATCACTTTAAAGGAAGAGGCTACTAGATTTAGCTCCTGCTTCTTGTACGTCTGTTTATTATGTATCACATTATCGAAGGCAAAGTAATCATCATTAAGAGAGCAATCTATAGCTTGGGCTGCTGGGCTTGGGGTGTACATCATGAATACCTAGTAACACCAAGTTTGCATGATGATCCACGTAGCTGGCATGGCAAGCTCTGACTGGAGCTGAACGCACTTCAAAGGGGAGATTTATAGCAGTCACATTAAAAAGGTGAGGTACATAAACTAAACCATATATTCCTACACTAAAGGTTGACCTTCAAGCAGGGAGTGTGCTGAATGGCTCTAGATAACAGGTGCAGTCAGTTGCACTAACAAAAATTATCCCAGTTTCGCTGAGTTCCTATATATCCACTATGACAAGCCTAGCTAGCCCAAGCAGTCCCTCCCTGAGAATCTTATATGGATGGGATCAGTCTGCGCATCCAAAATCCTCCAACAATCACACTTGTGCCAAGCACTACAATGTTGACCAAGGAGATCTTCTCCAGAACCCCACCCTCTTCAATAACGCGGCCCACCTTGTGCACAGGTCGATTTAGTACAATGTCTTTGGAAGACCCTTCAGCTTCGTAGTCCCCATAGTTCACTTGCTCCATCAGCTCCTGGAATTCCAGCACCATGCCTGGCCAGAGATTAGTGATCCGCCCTGACTCAGTCTTGTACCAATTAGTGCATTGCGAGTTGTTCACGGCGAAGTCTTTAAGTCGATGTTGCAGCTTCGCATTGTACTCCTCGGTTTTTTCAGGCCGCGGCGTCAGGATCAGTGATCCTCCTTGCTTTCGGGCTTCCAGCACCGGCTTGATCAAGCCGTTGATATACCTGCTTTGGGCCTCGATGATCAGAATGAAGCTGTTATGGAGCAAGGCAGTGTTGGGTCCAAGTACGATTCCGAAATTGGGCATGTCGTCAGCGCAGGTGCCCTGGTAGGCCTGAGCGCCATCCTTCCACATCTCATGCAAGGCACGGCCGTTCCGGCCGAAGATCCTCATGGGATGCAGGAAGTCGGTGGCCCGAAAGCCGGTGGCCAACACGATGAGATCGTAGTCGGAGTCTGCATCCTCTGCCTGTCCCGCAGTGCCGATAAGACGTACAGTATGGTCATTGATGCTATGAATAGGTTTCGCCTCAAGCTCAACATTGGAACGGCTCAAAGCTGGGAAGAAGAAATCCGAAACAACCACCCGCTTACAGCCCACCGGATACTTGGGTGTTAGCTTTTCCCACAGCTCCGGCTGATTGGGCAGCTGCTCGTGCATCATGTCCAGAGCTGCTTGTTTCAGCTTTATGTTTTCCTCATGCTCGGCGAAGTTGTTAGACATGTATTCCGTTTCGTTGAGGTCCACATAACGTCTGCGCCAGTACCGCTGCCAGAAAGGGAAATAGCGGTAAAGGGTTTTCCTCAAATTGGAGATTTCGTAGTCCCCACGAGGTACGATCCAGTGAGGTGTTCTTTGGAAAACCGTCACCTTCTTCGCCACTTTTGCGAGCTCAGGTACGATCTGGACAGCACTACAACCTAAGCCGAGACAAACGGTCAGTCGGATGACAAATGCTTTTGCTATAATGGTCGACATACCACTTCCTACAACGGCGATTCTCCTATCCTTCAAGTCGTACGCCCAGTCCCATGCAGCACTGTGCATAATCTTCCCTTTGAAACTTTCCAAACCGTCGATTTCTGGCCATTTTGGTTGGCTTAGCTGGCCCACAGCGCTGACAAAAAAGTCACTAGAGATCGTGTAGTTGGAAGTGGCCTCGGCGTCTTTGGAGCCTTTGGCAACCGTCACGCTCGTGTTCCACTTCTTCAGCTCGTCATCCCAGGTCGCAGATTCGGCCGTGGAGCAGAACCGGATGTGCTCGTACAGCCCGTAGTCCTGCGCCACCCGGGTCAGGTAAGACAGAATTTCTCTCTGCCCTGGGAAATCTCGGCTCCAATTGCTGTTGGGGGCAAAGCTGTAGCTGTAGACAATGGACTGCAAGTCGACAGCGCAGCCCGGGTACGTGTTCGCGTGCCTATCAAGCATTGATTAGACATTCACCTGCATTACACGGAGGATCGCTAGTATTCCTCACCATGTCCCACCGATCCCGGCCGACTGCTCCAAAATGACAAAGTCTCGGCAGTGATTGCGTCTGATCAAATCAATGGCAACGCACATACCTCCAATGCCGGCTCCGACGATGACCACGGAGGTATTTGTGAACTGCTGTCCACTGCTCAACGAGAATTCTGGCCATGATTTTTCGAACGCCATGTTTGGTTCAAAGAAAGTTGATGAGCAACTTGCGCTTTTTCTCTTCTTGCTGCGGCAAGCTGGAGGCAGCAACGCTAGCCGCGCTGGCATAGGCAGCATATGTACCCATCACCCACGAAGCTTTGAATGCTCTGCGGACTGGGAGACGGTATAACAAGATCCTTAGCATGTCAGTGGGTAAGGTCCCGAGGCAGGGACCCTGGCCTCGGGCGGCAGAGCTAAGAAAGCACCTTGGAAGCGGCGGCCCAAAGTGGTGGCATGATGGCCACCAGAGATGCATGGATACTCTAACTCGCTAATTCTGTGGTGCATGCTAACTAACGTAACCCACGGCCGAGCCGCGAATACGACCGAACCGCGAATTTTTGCCGCAAATCATCCTATCTTTGAAGCTTTTCAACCACCAACGTCATTAATTAGACTATCTACTAGCTGAATATATGGCTATTTATTAGGGCAACTTCTTCTAGTATGTCCAATAGTCCAACATCCACTACAGGTTGGCGGAGCGCGCTGACGAGATATAGGTATAGGCTCATCAACCTGCTCATTAACCTGCTCATCAACCTGCTGAATACGGTCACGACCTCCCTGCACAGATATAAAGAGGTTATTCCCTAGATTAATACGCTTCCTTGCCTTCTTCTTCATTTTCCGCTCATTCTCAGCCCGTAGAACCTTGATTTCTTGTTGTAGAAGAAGGTTTGCATTCATTGCCATCTGCGCAGCCTTTTCAAGATGCTGAATATGTGATATCGGACTGCTAGAAAGTGTCCTTTTCTTCTGAAGACTTTTCTGTAGACTGCGGACCTTTTTATCAAGCTGGCGAGCATTCTGGGGTGTCTGAAAAGCAGAAGATATTGACCCTTCAATATCAATAAGAGGTGGTGTTGGCGTACGGAGTTGAAAGGTAATCTTAGCAAGGACCCGGTCTATATCAAGTGGATTAAGACCAGCTCCTGCGAAGCCATTGCATATATTCTGTTGAGTAAAGACTGCTTCACGTGCAGGAGGGTATAGATATAAGAAATCCTCTTTATCAATATGGTTGTTTCCAGCCATCATCATCTCCTCAACTAGTTTCCCATATGCGCGCTTAAGAGGCCCAAAAACCCCAACATCTAGGGGTTGGAGAAGATGAGATGTATGCGCAGGCATACAGAGACAGATAATTGCATTCCCTTTGCAAAAATCATCAAATTCAGCAGATAGATGGCTTGAATGGCCATCCAGAATAAGTAGCCTTTTTGCACCAGTTGAATATCGTCTTGAAAAGGGGTCGAATATGTGCTTCAGCCACTTAAGGCCAATCTCATCTATTGTCCAGCCATTAGTGCTATTGGTAAGCCTCCAGTCTGGAGGAAGATTAAGTTCTTGATACCAAGCAGCTGGGTGTTCCTTCCCTTTTAGGATAACTGCTGGTGGGATAGAGATCCCTTTTGAGCCCACACATTCAATGATTGTAACCCATTCGCGGTTTCCCTGGATAACTCTGCGAGGTCTCTCACTGCGTTCCACTGATGTAATAACCTTTGAAGTAGTACTGAGCCCCATTGCAAAGCCAGTCTCATCAAAGTTCCAGATATCATCTTTATGTATGCCATGCTCCTGGATAACTTCACGGACAGTCTCAAATCACTGTTTTATGACCTTAGGATCCTCCTGCTTTGCACGCTGGTATGTAATCCTCCGATTATATCTTGTACGTAGTTCAGGGCGTCTTCCAGTGAAGGAATAAGACCAGTTGATACCAAGGACTGCAGTAGGGTCCTGTGTGCGCTTGCGAAGTAGAATCTGCGCCATTCCACGCAGGAACTCTGGGCGAATTGAAAAGCCTCGTTTATCTGCATCTAGCAGTATCTTAACAAGGGATTCTTCTTCAATAGTAGTTAATTTATGGCCGTTAGCACGTGTTTCTGATCGTGGTTTGATGCCAGCAAGCCGTTCGCGAAGGGTAGTTTCAGGTACACCATATATCTGGGCAGCTTTCAATTTTGATTTAACTTTCTTCTCTTTCCAAGCAGTAATTGCCATTTGTAGACGGGCTTCCTTAGATAAAGGCATTTTGTATGGAGATAATAAAAAAATGACGCGTTGAAGAATGTTGATTTGGGAGAGCAGCAGGGGCAATAAAAAATTCGCGGTTCGGTCGTATTCGCGGCTCGGCCGTGGGTTACGTTAGCCCCTGGAGAAGCTTACTTAAGTACCCAGTGATGCGCTGGGCTAGAACATCTAATGATCCCCTAGAGCGGCAAATATATTACTGGATAATTAAGGGAGACTTGATACCTAGTTCTTACCTCCCGGGGTCTAATTTTTGGCGCTCACCTCGCTAGCTACTAAGTAGGCAATCTTCTCTTCCTTTGGGCAGTAGAGCTAAAACAACATTCCCAAGGAGAGATCGAAGTTCGCGGGCGGCAAGGCTAAACCAAAGTTGTCACAAACCAGTGTAGTAGTCAAAATGCAATGTGGTAGTATTAGAAGAAGTTGGGTACTCCAGCAGTATGCCAAAACAATAATCAATCTGCAGAGGGCAGTGCCATTTGTGAGTCTATACTTTACAAGTACCGCTAGTTACACAACAGTCCTACTCAGTATAGCTTTATACAGCCTCACACATTCCTCTCTCCACAAGCAATCCAGAGATGGTTAGTTTACTTATTTCGTCGTCTGCCGACGTAGACCCCAATGGCAATGGAGTATCCCCTACAGCCAAGGGAAAACCGCAACCGGGTGATTCCAGACAGAATGTATCTTCAAGAGAGAAGTTGCCTGTACGTGCTCTTCAATCACGAGCAGACAAGTCAATCGAGCATGATCTTGAGGACATAGAATGGCCTCAAGATATCAAGCTCAAGCCAGTGGTTCAATCTGCGTGGGCAATACTTCTGTCTTGGTATGGGGAGGCGACCGATACTGTCTTCGATGTTGCGTTGCCAGTATCAAGAGTCGAACAACTTCCTGGACCCAGAACCATAACTGTTTGTGTTCTGGTTGAAGGAGACATGACTCTGAGTGCATTACAACACCAAATGAGGTTATCTGAACTGCCGGGAGCCCGGACCACTCATCACATTGGCGAGGAGGCTGATCTGGGCTGGCAATCCCAATCATTGCTAATGGTGCAATCCGCCGTCGAAGCGGATGAGGCGCCCATCTTCGACGAAGGAATAGAGTTGAACACCTACGCCATCACTCTACAATGCGAAGTAAACGACACTTCACTGCGCTCGAAAATGGTCTTCGATTCGACTGCGCTCAGCGAGCAGGTCGCATTGCGAGTCGTCGACCACTTCGGCCACATATTGCGT